GTATTTGTTATTAACTTTATTAAATAAAATAAATAATTTACTTTACATCGAAGTGTCGGTCTTAAAAAAAATATTGTACGTCGCGCGACCGAAAATTAGTGTTAAGTGGAATTTGCTTGTCTCGACCTGCAAAACACTACTTTCAGGTCTTGTAACTTAAATTACTATTTCATCTATTTGAATCAATCACGCGCCTTCATGGACAAACAGTAAGCAATAAGTATTTGCTCGATTTACCGTTCGCCGTTCGGGCTCGGTTAACTTTAATTTGAAACATAATATTCCATCCAAATAACCGAGGTAGATGTTTCTCTAATTAACCAATTCTAATTCTGTACGAGCATTGCCTCGAGCAAGAAGAAAAAAATAGGATTTTCCTGGATATCAGTTTGTTTTCTTGATGAGTTTTCCACGTGAGAATTTGCTCTTTTGTTCAGTTGAACGAACTCGTCGTCAGCCCATAGCATATAGGCATTGAGTCATAGAGTAAAAGAATTAGAATCCGATTACAATAAGAAGAACACCGCTACGTCATAACCATTACTGCGAATTTCGAATACATATTATCGATACCTACCTATCAATAAATAAAGTATAGGTAAGTAGTCAGGTATAAAAAATTGTTTTTTCTATACCCACATGGGTATTAGTCTCGGTATTAGCTTATCTACGCACATACTCCAAAACGAACAAGTATCCTATTGCGTTCAACTGAACGAATATATTTCATATCAATTCGTGGTAGTGAGAACCTGTAAAAAAATCCTCCATTGAGAGTTCATATTTTGATCACCCAACTACTATTATTTTTAAAATTTTAAATAAGTGACAATTCTGTCAAACTGTCAATACCTATATTTTATTGAGGTTGAATCACATACTTTGATTTTCTTTTACTATACGGATAATGGTCGCACTGCCCAGCTTTTTGAGTGCCTTTTAAAAGGAGATAGAAAACTCCCCCATTTTAAACCCTTATTACGTGTTGCCTACATTTTGGCGCAATATTTTTAATAGGTGCGTTTTAATCATCCGCTTCTGCTTCGGAATTGTCGGTTTTCTTATTTTAATCTGACAGGTTAAAACGACTAAACCGACAATTCCGGAAGCAGAAGCGGATGATTAAAACGCACCTGATATTTTGCTTGTTGCTGTCAGTGTCAATGAATATTATTTTTGAAGTCACAGTTTATTCCTAAAGAATTAGTTAGCTCACTCGGACCAGTTGAAAGTTCCAAAATAACATCCACTCCAGGGATACAAATTCAGGATACGCTGTCATATATTGTATTATCTGAGTTGCGCAGTGTATAAACTGAAACATTGAGATAAAAAGTGCCGACGCAGAGTGAGCGATCTGATTCTTTAGCTATAAACTGTGTCATAGGGTTCAAAATGGCCGCGCCCTATGTTGGGCGTGTCGGACCTCTCTCTTGCCCCGTATAGGGTTGAATATTGCTGCGTTTGAGAATCCACATCGGATGCATCTCAGATGTAAAAAATCTTTGATCACGTGATTCAGTATACGTAAATGTAATGGGACAGATGTGTCCGATGTGGATAAAAAAACGCTCTAGATGTAAAAAATGCATCCGATATGGATTCTCAAACGCGGCATATATACACTGAAATGAAATATTCTTGTGTAGAATCTATAAATAGCATTTATATTTTTATTTGATCTATAATTATTATAAATAATTAGTTAATTTTAATAAAACTATGTAAAGTCAATTTAATTACGAGTATTAAAGCAAGGAATTTTAAGCGGCTCGGTGGTAGTGAGGTCAGAGTCTTTCATGCGAGAGGCCCGAGTTCAAATCTAGGATGGAGACAAATTAAATTAAATCTTTTTTTCTTGTTCATTTTATTGTATAAATTAGTAAAAGTCATAAATTACTTAAAACTAATTAATTTAAAAATGATTTATGACTTTTACTAATCTTAATAACCTAAAATATTTTTTTATATTTGTAGATTTTCGTTAGTGGGTCGTAGAAAAAATATACTGTACAACTCTTGTTGCATTATCTATTATTTTTTATACTTACAAATATGTCCGACAGTTATCTTTAATGTACCTCACTAGAATTGTGAATAGCTTCAGAATAAGCTACCTAAGGTCAAACTTGTTTCACAAATTTAAAAATATATTTTATTGATTAGTTAGATTTGTAATATTTTTTGTATTTATCTTTTGAATAACCCTGTATAATTAGAAATTAAATACAAAATTTTTACAACACTTAAGATCTGTCCAATTTCAATACTTAAAGAGAATTCGTTTATTTTGATTTGTAGTTTTGTTTTGGTACACTCATAAAAACTACATCGGCAATGACGAATTCCATGATTCACCATCAAACGCTCAACTGGCAAGTTTTTAAGAAAAAAACCTGCAAAGTCTTGTCTACTGCTGGGACCTTGAACCTATGTGAACGTTTTTAACTCGTGTATATCTGCGATGAGTTTTGGCGAAATAAGTTCGAAAAAAAAGTTATATTTGAAAATTTTCGAAACTACCAAAGTATGAAACGACAAAAGTTCGGATGGCAAAATTTTGAAAGTGAGAAAAGATGAAAACAAAAAAAATCCAAACAAACGATCGAAATCGCATATGATCGAAATTGCAAATTATCCAAAATAAGATATGATCGAAACACATTTGTTTGAAAGTACTCATGGTCGTTATGATATATAAGATTAAAATGGTATAAGATCGAAAGCATTATATTAGGAAATTAGTAAATAAGTTTTTTAATTTTATGTATAATTTTTTTTTTGTGGGGATAAACTGCGATGGCTCCATGCCGCACAAGTTAGGTAAATTAGTTCGTTTTTATTTTTCTCGTATCATATGTCATGTACCTACAATTTTTTTTTTTTTCGAAATAATCCGCGATGGCTACAAGGCGCACATGTTAGGTAAATTATAAAAACTTGATTAATTTACTTAACCTGTGCGGCCTGGAGCCATTGCGATTTAATTCGTACAAAAATATATATATATATATATTCGAAATAATAATTATGTTGGATACACCTTCACACGTTGTAAAACAAAAAGATCGGGTTTCTGTTATTTTAAAATGGTTATAATCGTCCCCATATTTTATTAAATATTGACTGGCACCACAAGATGAAACAGAGTTTCTGAAACATAATATGTAGTGCCTGTACTTAAATTTTATAAAAACAATGAAAACGACCGAAACATAATACTCCAAATTCTATTTTAGAATTTAACCATTTGAAATTAACTAATTCTGAGAGTTTAATTTTTACTTTCCTATCTGTCTACACGTATAAGGAAAGTATAGGAATCATGATTTTTTTCGACCTCGAGTTTTCGACGGATTTTTACGTTTTGAGGTCCCCTGAATCCGTTTTGACTATTTTCGCGATGATGTCTGTGTGTGTGTCTGTGTCGCATAACTCATGAACCGATACACAGAAAAACACCAAATTTTAAAATTAAGCTTTATTCCAGCGTCTAATGAACTGATTAGATTTTGGGCAGAGTCGGAATATCTGGGGGGGTACTTTATGGGTGGTCATTTTTATATTTTATGGAATATATGTTATTTACGTTTGGAGAAGAAAATTCTTCAATTAAAAATTACTTCTAATATAATTATCTATAATTTTTGTTCTATACAAAATTTTCCTTAAATGGTCTGTATTCGAGAAATTTGACAAAATGTAAAAAAAATATTTTTTTATAAAAATTGTTCAAATAAAAGTTGTTTGTAATATAATTCTCTACAATTTTTATTATATGCATAATTTTTCTAAAATCGACCGTATTCGAGATATTTGAGAAAATGTGTAAATTTCGAATTTTGAAGAAAACTCAAACACGGATAAAGAAAAAACATGAAATTTTAAACTTAGGATTTATTTCGGCCTGACGTGAAATGATTAGATTTTGGACAAAGTCGGAACATCTAGGGGGGTACTTTATGGGAGGCCGTTTTTATATTTTATGGAATATATCTGTTATTTATGTTTGGAGAAGAAAATTGTTCAAATAAAAGTTACTTCTAATATTATTATCTATAATTTTTGTTTTATGTCAAAATTTCCTGAAATGGTCCGTATTCGAGAAATTTGACAAAATGTGCAAAATTCTGATTTTTATGAAAATTGTTGAACTAAAAGTTGTTTGCGATATCGATCTCTATAATTTTTGTTCATACATGATTTTTCTAAAATGGACCGTAATGGAAAAGTGCTAAATTTAAATTTTTCAGTATTTTCGTTTTCAATGAATATCTATAGAAAAATGTTTCGAGGTAGATATATGTGGACAATGTATATATTTAGTTTATCCTCTAAACATTTATAGAGATGCTGCAATAGGTTGTACAAAATAACCGGAAAAAGCCTATAATAACTAGATAGGAAAGTCATGTGTTGGACACATCAGATTTTTTAATAAAAATAATACATTCTTTTATTTTTTTTTTCTCGAAAATGGTTCATTTTATCGACAATTAAGAAGAGTACCCTTTCTTTAGCGTAATGTTGAAGGTATCGAAATTTATTTTATTTTAACTCCTTATTATACAGGGTGTTAAAAATGTAAGCATTAAAATGTTCAACCTAGTCCGCCCCTGGTAAACTAAACAAGCTAATTATGTTTTAAGGGCAGTATTTTAAGAGGTTCTTACTACTGTTTATCATATTAAATTTTCATTAAATTAAACTATGTAGTTTGAAAGTTATTCAAGAAAAATTGATTTCCAGTAGCGTTCTTTTGAAGGCCGTATCAGCGCTAGGAAAAAAATTTATGGGAACTTGTCATCTTATTTTGTAATGTTCTATCTGAATCCGAGAGACCTCCCACATTTTCCCAGACATCCTGTATATTCGTATGGGCATTTCTCAATGAAACACCCTGTACCTATAGGTTCATTCAAATAAAATGGTAATACAATACAAATTTATAAACAAAATAATTTATTAACAAAAAAATTTACAATAAAAAACAAAAGTTTCTGGTAAGTACCTGCTTATGTTTTAAAGAATTGCTTAAACTAGATAATGAAAATTAAAATGATATAACAAAAATAACTGCAATATGCCTAATTTATACAATAAAAATTTCCAAAAAATATACATAAATATAATAAAAGAAAAACAAATTAATTACAGGAGCTTCTAAATTAATTGGTTATTACAATATTTGTCATGAAAATGTATTTGTAAAGTATAATTATTTAAAAAATCTTAAAAAATGACTAGCAAATTCAATGGTAGGCAAACATACAGTACTTAAAATAAGTTATTTGTTGATGATACTTCTGTATCTTTTTGCAACCAACTCTGGGCATTATTTTTTAACAATCTAAAAATACCAAATTGCATATTTTCTTCGCTATGTGTTAAGGCACTTTCACCAGCAAAATTTTTCTTGTTACAATCAGCCCCGTTTGATAACAAAATTTCCGCAATTTTAGTGTTACCTTTAGCGCAGGTGTAATATAGGGGTGTATTACCCTTAGCATCTTGTTCGTCAACCCTACATTCCCCACATTTTAACAACTCTCGAACTATTTGAATTCTTTCTTCGATACAAGCAAGATGTAAAGGTGTATATAAAGTTTTAAAAGTTTTTACGTTAGGTAAGGCTCCGCTATCTAAAAGTAATCTTAAAATTTCAGTTCTACCAAATTTTGCAGCAGTATGTAATGGCGTATAACCACTAGCATCACACATATTTACATTAATTGAAGCATGAGTGTTGTCATCTTTATAATCATCAAATTGTTCATTTTTACATTTATCACAAACACATAAGGGATGGCATTTATTTCCATCTACAGTTTGAATATTATTATTACCGTAACCTAAGTAGAAACAAGTCAAAGGGAAATCATTATTTTCTATAGATTTTAATAGTAATTCAATTTTTTTGAATTGATCTGTACTTTTCGGTCGAATTCCATGACTTTTACAATTATCTTGCTGACTTGTGACTAAAGATATGTTACTAAACTCGATAATTTTGTCAGTTTTTTTATATTGTCGTGCACTGTATTTCTCACATAGTCTCACAATATAAAAATTTGGAGCAACTTCGAAAACTGTTTGGTTTCTTTTATTTTTTACAATAACAGAAGCTCCGTTTTCTAATAAAATTTTAACTATATCACAATAACCCCATCTGGAAGCCAAAATTAGGGGTGTATCGCCAAAAGAATTGCCAATGTTCAACTCAACGTCTGGTGAGGAGTAAAGCAGTGCTTTTGCACAATTTTCATGTCCATTTAGGCTAGCTAAATGCAAAGGAGTATTTTTTTCATTATCAGTCAGATTAACATTAGCTTTTCTATTTATTAAGAGCAATAAAACGTTTTGTAGGCCTCTACTGGCTGCATAGTGAAGGCTCGTTTTACCGAAACAATCAGAAAAGTTAATATCAACACCCCTGTTAAGTAGAAATTCAAGGACTTCACATTTTCCTAAACAGGCAGCAAAAATTAAAAAATGTTGAGTGATTTCACCAAAAGGAATAAATGAGTCAAACGAATCGCTTTTTTGTTGGATAATGTTTTGGCAATTTATACAAGCACATAAAGGATGGCACATATCTTGATCTATTTCATTTTTGGACATGATTGGCAAACTTGCCAATGTCTTTGTATCCCCTGATTTTATGTGTTTTTCTAAAAAATTTATAGCTATTTCACCAGACTCTAAATGACCATGGAGGTTATTTTTGATATCCCAAAACTCACTACTTCTTATAAACTCTAATGCGGCTTCAAAAGATGAAATGCAAAATTCAGTTTGATCAGAATTTTCTATACTGAACTGAAATTCTTTTAAATAAGTTAAATTAGAAAACCAATTATTAACATTTAATTTCAGTATCAAAAAAACTAATATTTGTAATACATTATCAGATGTAATATAACTTTTTACATTCTTGCCAGATTCAAAAATAATGCTCAGTGTTTTCTTCAGACATTCAGTTTTATCTAAAATAGTCCAGTAGCTATTTATCTGATTTAGTTTGCTTTTAGCTGTTAAAATGACATCTGAAAAGTAATTTTCAATGCCTAAATGTTGGTACTGAATATCTGATGAATTTCTTATGATTTTATTCAAATATCCATCTTTTTGATGAGTTACTGTGTTTATGCTGAACATGAGTTTTCTTCCTAAACAATATTGCATGTAAGCTTCCACAGCCACTTTGAGATTATCTAAAAATTGACTGTTGAGAGTACATTTTTCTTTTAAAGTGTCATTCTTAAAACAAATCTGCAAACATTGTGAGAACAAACAACCTATGACCTCCTTCTGAGTTTGAAGATTTTCTATTTCTAATTCATAATTTGTCATGAAAGTGTTAACTAAATTTTTAATTGAATCAAGTATACTATGACTAAGGCTTTCACACCACATAAAATCTATACAATCGTGCAAGTTTGACAAATTTTTGCTAGAATGAGAATCACAGAATTTGCGTTTTAAAAATAAGGGTCTGTCTATACACCATGCTATAAACTTTGTACTTCCATTTACATAAAACGTTTCTTCAAACAAAATATCCACATTAGTTTGGCTATTATTCAGATCGGTAATTAGCTGTTTATCTTCAACTTTGATTTGTTTCTTACTTAACGTAAAATAATGATTATCATTACATTCTTCTGAAAAAACTAAAATATGATCCAATATTATGTCTGCAGTTACTTCTGAAGCATCTAGTGTTCCATTTCTAGGCACACAGATTATCCAACTTTTTATTGACGATTCTTCAATAATATCACTGTGATTTTCGTGGATTTCTTTGAAAAATGGATTTGCTGATAAATTTTCATCATATTGAGACCACATTTTTTAATTTAAATCTTGACCATAAGTTTATCTAGAATCTAGAACATACTATAGTAATATAAAATTACAGATAACAGATAAATATGTATATATTTTTAGAAAGTCTGATTGTGTACCTGTTTATGTTATGTTGTTATATAGATTTTTTTCTTGGAATGGAATTTAACTTTTATTTAAATCAACAAAACAGTCCAATATGACATTGACAATATTGACATTAATATTGATTTAAATTCGATTTTGGTTTTTGGTTTGGAAGCTCTTCAAAGGCCAGCAAAGCCAAACAAAAATCACTGAAACTCACATAATATAACTTTATTAAAGATTTACATTTATTAAAATTCAGGAAATTAAAAAAAATATTAAGAGAGAATCACGCACAGAACACGAATCACCACAGAACACTTCGAATCACGAACACAGATCACTTAATCACGAATCCTCAGTCCACAGAACACTTAGGGCCGATTCCACCGTTGTGTTAAACGGAGATTAAAATGACACTGATGTAAAATTGTCATTTTAAACTTCGTTTAACACAACGGTGGAATCGGTCCTTACTTTCACAAATCACATTATTTAGAAATTAATTTATAAATTGATTCAATTGGTCTGTGGATTGGTCAACCTGATTAAGTGCCAACTGTGCCAACTCAAATATTTGTCAACGTCATAATAATTTGACATAACCTCAAAGACTCAAAGATAAACAATGTAAAATACATATCTATTAATTGAGATAAATAAATATATTTTAGTTTTCAAATGGAAGAAAAGCGAGACATTATTTATCAAATAGATAAAGATGGTAAGGAAAAATACGACAAATTTTAAGGCTTTGCTTAAATTTATATAATTGTAGACTTTTATGGATATTTCTTAAACCCTGACTCCAAAAACATTTTAAATGAATCGTTAACTATTAAAGATCAAGTTAAAAAGCTGGCAGAAGGAATAGAACTGATAAATCAAGAACTACACAAACAAGTTTTAGAAAAACATGAAGATTTGTTGCAGCAAGCTAACAATGCAACACAATTGGAGACAGTTTTAAATACGATGAATATCCATGTTAAAACTTTGTTTGCAGATGCAGAAAGGCTAAAAGCACAGGTAGTACTATATTTTATACAGATTTGCGACATATTTATATTTGTTTTAGATTACAATACCTTATAATGAATTAGAAAAACATACTAAAGTCTTGGGTCGTTTACATTTAGCCAGTCATATTTTAAGACAGGTAAATAGACTGCAGCAACTTAGTAAAAGGCTATCAAATACTAATGACCCTGTACAAAAAGCAACTTTATTACAGGAACTAGGTAGGAACAGGACGATATTAATTTGCTTAAGTATACCTAATTTGTTTAATATTTTAGAACAGCTAGCTGCAGATCCAGAATTGAAAGAAATAGAGATAGTAACTAATGAATTAAGAAATATTAGAACTCATCAACAAAAAGTTGTACAGTTAGCTACAGGATCTTTAAATCAAGGTGTTAGGAATGAAAATGTTACACAAACAACTACAGCTTTGCAGGTACTTTACCACTTGACATTTTAGTTCTTATTCTGAAATTAAGTTGTTATAAAAGTGGCTCTTGTAGAATTGAAAACCACTCTTTAAAGGCACTTTATTTTTTATTATAAGTATATTATTTTTATAGATATTTATTAATCTGGGTACAATCCAATCAATAGCTAACAATTTTGTTGAAAATAATTTACATGAATGCAAAGAGAGTCTGAAATTGGCTTTTGTCGTAAGTTCTGGTACTACAAACAAACCTAAAGGTGGTCCAGGACATGTCAGTCTTATGTCTTCACAAGGATTCAGAAATAAAGTTTGGTCTGAAGTAGAGAAAGTGTTTTCAGAGGATATCTATTCAATATGTAAACAGGTAAGTTTTTAAGACTATCTTTCTGTATTATGAGAAACCTGGAGAGGCTAGCCATGAGATTAGTGTGCATTCACATCCTCACAACAGTTAAGCAGTGATTTATCCAGTCACATCATGAATGGGTAATGGCTGGGATGCTCCACCATGGGCTGTACACCATGGTAATTAACCAATTAGTGTGTAACCATTGCTGATGTGGAATGAGTGATGGTGAGTGAATTGGTAAATGGGAAAGTAGTAGGACCTTTAAATGATGCTACAATAAGCCACAGGCTGGAGTGGTACCAAGCTACAACCAGATTAGAGTGATAACATGGGGATCTAAAGGATGGAAAAAATAAAAAATATAAGACAAAATTTAATTTTTCAGATAAAATTTCTACAAACAACATTGAATAATCTCTATTTGCCTAATGGAGACTTTAATATTGCTCATACATTTTGGGTTGGTTTTGCAAAAGTATTTCAAGAAGAAATTCAAAAATCCTCTTCTGCTGTGCAACAAACTCTTGAAGAAGACTATCCAAAATTGTTAAAATCTTACTTTGAAATGACTACTAAGTTGAAATATGATATTTTTTCCTTTGAGTAAGCATTTTTTTTTTTTTCAATAAGCAAATTATTCTCTATTTTTAATTTGAATGATACATTCTCTTTGTTTTACAGCCATGATGTTTTGAAAAAGCTAGAAAATTCATATTTGTCATCGTCTCTAACTAAATTGTTGGATCCAACTCAAGCAATGTTTACTGGAGAAAATGCTCTACCAACTCCAGACCAAATAGACTCTTTGATTCGTATTACAACAAAGTAATTATATAATAAAATAATAAATAATATATTAACAGTTATTCTTTATAGTGAATTAAGTGTGGCACTAATAGAAGAAAATTTAAGTGAGCAGATCTCAAAAAATGTTGCTAAGTCTATTAAAATGTTTGCTGTAAAAACAGAGCAACAGTTAGAAACAGGACCTGAGGCAGCACAAGTTATAGGTAATGTATTATATTTAGTAAATAGTGTGTTTATTTTTTCATTCATATTATAAATGATGGAAGTTTCATTTAAGCATGGGATTGTTTTAGGTGGTACACCAAATACAGGCCAACAAAGAAATGTAAACCTAGCCAATTCTTTGTACTATATGGAGACACAAATGCAAAGAATGTTATCAAATATGAAAGAAAGTTTAACAGAATCCTGTGCAAAAATTATAAATGAAAGTTTGCAAAATCTTAATAATTTAGTTGGAGCCATTATGCAGCCATTAATAGGTTAGAAAAATAGGCCCATACTCTCTAGTATAAAAAAGTGTTAAACATGATAATTTTTTTTTCTGCTTTTTTAGTATCCATTAATTCCGTTATAGAAACTATAATAATTACCTTACATTTGGAGTCTGATTGGGCGAAAACGCAAGCTCCTGTTAAAATGTATCATTCTTGCTCCCCTTATATGAAAGAATTAAGTCAGTTTATATCCAGAGTTTATCAAACTTACCTTGAGGATTTTAAGAATAAAGAAGTATTATCAGTAAAGTAAGTATATTATTTCAATATTTCATTAACCCACTATAAAACAGTGATGTAAAAAATAGTTCATTATTGCAATAGTACTTTATAATAATGGGTAGTGTGAATAAAATTTAAAGAATGCAAATTTTACACATTTAACACTTTCACTGCTCAGTAGATATTATGATCCTTACTTCTATGTCGACATTATATATTTTTTTAAAGTTTGGGTCTATTTTTAACAAAAAATGCTAAAAATCAACCAATTAGAAAATGTTATTTTAAGACGCCTAAGGGGAACTTAATATAATATGCACAGTACAAAAGTTTCAAGATGTATATGACCCCATATGTCGTCACTTAATATTTTTGCAAAATTCAAGAATTAAAATAGCCAAGGGAATAAAAACGAGAAAAAAGCACAAACATATAAGTTTATTGCTCAAAAGTTTTCAATTACAGGTAAAAAAAATATTAGTAAAAAATAACTGATTAAAAAATTAAAAATGGATTATTCTCCATTTTTTTTTAGCAAAAAGTTCAAAACCCGGACATAATCCAAATATATTTGCATATACTTTAAATTCCCATAATGGTGTCTATTTGATTTTTTTAACAAAAGCTGCGAATTTTTCTTGCCATTCTCTTCGTATACTTACCTGCCTCAATTTTTCCTGGTTAATGTTTAGTAACCTCTGTATACAGGGTGTTTCCTCATTGCGTACATTAAATTTAAGGGTGTATTCCTGAGCTAATTTCATGAAAAAAAGTCCATATAAACATGGGTCCGGAAACGCTTTGTTCTAAAGATACATGGTGTTAAACATTTTTTCAAAAAATTGATTTTTTTTTAAATGTCATTCAACCTATTTTTTTATATTGGGTAGATTTAGTTTTAGTGATTAAAAGCCTACTGTAGCCCTAACTAGGTTAAAATTATTAGGTCCAGTGCCGACCCGGGGGGATTCTATCCAATTATTTTTGTTAAAAAAATGTACCCCTGTATTTTTAGAACAAAGCGTTTTTGGACCCATGTTTATATGGACTTTTTTTTCATGATATTAGCTCAAGAATACACCCTTAAATTTATGAAGAGGTTGAGTGGTGTGTACACACTGGGTAATAAGAAATGAATGTGACGTATTTAAAGTGTGTAGGTAGTTTTATTAATATTAATAAAACTACCTACACACTTTAAATACGTCACATTCATTTCTTTTTCTCCTTAAATTTATGTACGCAATTAGGAAACACCCTGCTATGATATATCCAGATTAATACCAAAATGGTAATCATAATATGTAATTTTTTGCCAGAGACTTTGCAGAAAATCAAGTAGGAATTAAAATAAAGTAGGATGTTGCAGAATATGAATAGCAAGTTTTTTTATACCAAAGTAATGTTTTGTTAGGGTAATAAGACATCTGATATCTGTCTGATCGATTCCACCCATGTATTTATTATATTCTACAACTAGTAAAGGCTCGTGTTTGACGCCCCCTCTTAACTTCAGTTTCGTTTTTTAAATACTTCATCAGGACCAAGTTTTATGTTATTGCATAGGATTATATTTTATTATTTAGCTAACTGACAACAATTGTAGATTAGATGAATTTAGAATGTCCCTTATTAAGGTAGGTAATCTCTTATTAAATGCTGAAAAATCTTATGGGCATGACCTTTTCAACCCATTTCATCCAGCTTATTGGTGTAAGCAGCAAAATTTAATATTAGTCCATTTGGCTCCATCAATAGTCATCATAAAGTTTTATACCATATTTATGTCGTTTGTTTAATATTTATTGACAAAATAACAGACTACCTATCAATGAAACGTTGAACGCATCTAGCGAGAGGGTCTTTCCTGGATAATATAATTTACTCACTTTGTCATTAATAACTGACTTAATTTTGTACAGATGCTCATTTGGTTCCCAGTTAGATGGCCAAAAACCTGTGGGACAATTGGTATAAAATTAAAATTAGTCAAAACTTTAATGTCAAAATAAAGTACAGAATGATTGTTTTCTTTGACTTACTGACGTCACACTAATGCGAACATAATTTTGATATTTAAGTCAGAAACTTTCCAAAACCCAACACGAAAATCATTCATTACCCATTGTTAACAAAATGGTTGCCTGATGAAGATGATACACAAATCCAAATTTTACTTTGAGTTCACTATTTTCTCTCTTTACTATGCATCCAATGCTAACAACCACAAAACAATAAGTTCGCCATTCTGTGATTGAGTTCATACGTGTTTGATTGCAATGTATGTTATTTTTATTACACACCTTTTACTTCTAGTACTCTAATTAAATGAAAATAAATCAAAATCTACCTAAAAAAAAGTATTTATTGTTTCAGCCTTTACTTGATGAAAATCCATTTGATCTTGAAAGAGTAAAACCAAATTTGGTAGATTTTCACACTTTTATTTTAAAAAATATAAAATTTTTTAAAAAACACTAACATGACATATGTTTCGAAGTACAACTTCTTTTTCAAATGTGACTATTTTAAATTCGGTATCCAATATATATATACGAAATATTTAACAAAACAAATTACTTAAGAAAAACATCAATAACATTACAAAATAACTATTTAAAGTAAATAAGGGTACTTAGGTAATTACCTACCCCCTTCTGGAAATCAATAGTCACATCCCTTAAGTTCAAAAAGCATTTTTGTTTTTTCAAATATCTTAATTTTTACCAAAGTTATGAAGAATTTAGTGTTTGAACATTTAACAAATTCAATTTTTCGACCTTCGCCGCCTCAAAATACTAAACAAATTTCAATCGTCCATACCGCGAGAACGGTGCATCGGATCAAAATTTCTCAAAAGACATGAAAATTAGCATTTTTCCTAAGTTTTCAAATGCCGTAAACTGCGTTTTGAAAATATTGATTTATTTCCGACATGCGCCTGCGCAAAATTTCGGCACTTTCGAAAAACAGCTACATTTTGTTTTGCCTTTTTTCGAAAAGATCACCTCAAAATACATAGAATCCATTTTGTTTCATCTAATTACAATTTAATGTAAGCTCAAAACCCGTAATTTAATTCGATTATGATGAATATTAATACTAGTAACATGTTTTAAAATTTCACAACGAATGATAACATTCGAAAAGTAATAAAAAATGTCAAATTGAGAATAAAAAACAAGACCAACATAGAGGCATACATTTTTGTGGTTCATATTTTGGGTATTTATTTTCATTTAAGAATATGGCCACATTTGAACAGATGAATACCCCCTATTATTTAATTATGTTATTCATAAAATGTTTAAAAAACTTTCAGATGTAACGAGATTGCAGTGAGAACCATCGAACTATTTGTTAGACATACCTCACTGTTACGACCTTTGGCTCAAGGAGGACGCATTCGTTTGCAATCGGATTTCCACCACTTGGAAAATTCTTTAAAAACGATCTGTCCCCACTTAGCTGACTTGGGCAGGCCGTATCGTTTACTAAAATCTGTCGCTTCATTGATAGTTCTCACGCCGCAAGAGATAGTATCAGGGCAAACTTCAGAAAGTTCAGTGTCTCACAGCACAGTACTGTTGATGTTATTCGCTTTTGCTGGACCGGAACTGGCAAGCCCACATCAAAATACCGGATGGTCTCTTCCGAAAGTGTCGGCATGGTTGGATGAGCATCAGAACGAGGCAGAGAGGTTGGATTTAATTGTTGGTGCTTTACAGAAATATGAAGGGATCGTTAGACAAAAGAATTCGGTCAATTACGATCCTGTGTATCCCATTATGTCGCAGTATTTAGAAACTGCTCTTAAACAAGTTAATCAGTGAAGATAATTTATTTATTTAAGTAGGATACATATATTTTAAATAATGTCCTCTTATTTTATTTTGTTAAGTTCAAAGTAAAATTTAATATTGATTATGTTTATTACTATTTTCTCCATATGAAAGATTTGGTGCATCAGAGTAAATGACGAGTGCTACATTTAGTTTAGGTAAGCTATGAGAGTGAAAGGGAAATTAAAAAAGTATTTTTAGCAGTATACATTTATTCTGCTCTATAAATATTACAATACATTCTAATTTATAATTCGTAAAATAAAGTGATTTGTTTGATTATAGACAGTCTCAATTTGATATAGAACTTTTATAATATTTGATAACTCATCAAATATAATTTCTAAACCAACGATATATATTCTGTTATATTGGTACTTGAAGTTGTGTATAAGGCAAGTTAGATATATCAAGATAAGAAAATCGTTGTATTTAAATTTGAACAAAAATGTGTTTATTTTAACCTTATATTTTATAAATATGGTTTTATTTTAAAGCTATTTTCAAAATATCTCATGAATCAAAAATTACAATAGGTTGAAATAATGACGGTTAAAAAAAAAGTGGAATTGGCGTCACTGAAAAAAATATCTGAACATCTTTTAAAGATGAAATTCCCAATATTAGTAATAATAAGATAATTGTTCCTACTAGTAAAATTATCACAGGTTTCGTTAAAAAAATAATACATCTATAAAGTGATAAAAAAAAATGTTTCGAAAATAGGTCTTTGAAATATCACATCTCCTTTTATAACAATATTTTTTTGTATATGATTCAGAGGGCACGACCTGTGTCTGTCTTTATTGGTCATGAGCTACTTTAGAAACATTTTTTTGTAGATCACACATATTTGAAATATGCACTTCAATAAGTAAAATTATATTTTACGTTATTTCACAACACTTAATTGTTATTTGTTGACTGGGCTTCTTATCTGTTAAAAAGAAAATATGAGCGTCATGAATTTAGTTTACAGTAAAATAAATGATTACTTTTTTCTATTTTGAAGATATATGGTGATTTAAAAGTTAATGCGTTTCTTTTAACAGCACAAAGAATTCATTGAATTTTTTTTAATACCTACCATTTATGCGATAATTCAATAACAAAGAAGATAAAGACACATATTTTGGCTAATACTAACGGGATGCCTAAAATAAGCCTTGATCAGTTTTGTCGAAATTTTGTTTCTTACGTACTTACTTTTCTATCGATGAATTTATTGGCAAAAGTAGTATAATAATTGTACGTGACTTTTAATCAGGTGCAACGTAAATATAATATTGAACTTTTAAATCACCCTGTATATCGTAATATATATAAAAAATAATGTTGCACACACCTAATTATACATAATATATACAAAATTTGATTATATAAAATTTCAGATAAGATATTGAAATTTATCCCACCTTGAAACTAATCTTTTTGCTTAGCATGGAGCACGAAATAGGTACCTATGTTGTTAAAAACTAATACGAGTTCACAGGAGGAGTGGAATAATTTAAAAAGTTTTGCTAAATAAAATTGTTAAATTTTACGGAAACAAATCTCAAAAATCCCCCTACGAATTATCAAACCATCACCGAACCCCAAAGTTGAAAACAAATACTTCTATCGTAGCCGGTAATCGAACCCGGACATCCTTGTATGCTAGACAAGAGCCCTTCCTTCTAGCCCATCAAGACATTGACTGTCCGACGGCAATCAAGCTCGTTCTCAAATCTTTAAATACCTCTAACAGCATCGGTACATATGAGAAATCCATTTATGCATACTAAGCCCATAATTTTCGACTGCGTGAGTTAATTCAATGAGTCATAAAAATGAGTGAAAATGTTATTTATAGAGTTATAGAACAAAACGACATCATTCATTGGCAGCACAGGTATTTAAGAGCCATCAAACATTATTGACAAAAAAATGTAACGTTATCTATTTAGATGAGACTTGGATCAACATGGGTCAAACTGTTAACTATGCATGGTATCATAACAAAATAAAAAATCGTAGAGATGCTTTTATAAAGGGTTTAACCACAGGTCTCAAATCACCTACACAAAGAGGTCCACGTTTCGTTATTGTTCATGCAGGATATGAAGGTAGATTTTTACCTGGCGCCGCGCGTTTTTTTGGCAAATAAAAACGATGGCGATTATCGTGACGAAATGAACGCCGGCTGTTTTGAGCAATGGTTTGAGGAGTCGCTGATTCCTAACATCCAAAAGTGGACGAAAGCACGTTGTTATGGATAACGCTTCGTATCATTCCTGTAAATTGATTTCCAGCTACCTAATGGAACAAACCCGAAATAAAAAATTAGTTGTTTGAAAAAACATTTTCTTTGACGACTCCTCTATTTAAAATCTAAGATGCTTAAAGTTGCCAAGGTATACAGAGAGCATTACGACAAATATAAGATTGAGGAAATAGTTGCAAAACATGGGGTAACTGTTTTACGCTTACCACCGTATCATTGCGAGCTTAACCCGATCGAGATGGTATGGAATCAAGTATAGCGCTATATTGCTATAAACAACTTTTATTTCAAGACAGGATGTTCATTCATTGATAGATGAAGCATTTGTACATGTCACTGAACAAAACTGGCCTAATAGAAATTTGTAATTTTGAAGATCATTATTTATGACCCGGATAGTCAGGGGCTGGAGCGGGACAAAAGCGGAGTTTTTTAGGGTGCTTTTAAATGACATTTAAGCGTGTTAAACTGTCACTAATCGGACTAAACCGAACGCTAAAAGGGTCGTTTGGAGTAAAAAGTGTTAACTTGGCAGACCGAACGCAATGATTATTGTACATGTCCAGCTGACTTATGGCATTAATTTTTAACAACATATTTCGTGCTTCATGCGATAATTATGGTTCCACTCGTTGTATTAATCTATATTTTGACAACAGGGAATATCAGAACAAAAAAAAAATAGTACTTAACAGTTGTGATGAACATATCATTTCTAGCCAGTAAACTTTCAAAAAAGGGGCTATGGACAAATGGGCTTCAGTGAAATTTCCTGATATGTTACAGTTGTATTCTTAAGCAATAGTGTCCGTGGATATAACTCAATCCTATGACTCGTTTTTGATAAACAGGGCGTTATAGTTTCAAATTGGCCATTTTTAAAAAAGATATGTCTCTTAAACTACTATGATTACAGATACTTTACGAAAATAATGTTTAAATGATATCGAACAATATTTCGAGTATAACATTATTATTAGTTACAAGATGAGGAGTAATAAATTATTGAAAATCTAATTTTAATTTTTACTTTAGCATGAGAATATTCTCTAAATTAATATCACGGTGAAATAACCTTGCTTAAATAATCAAAATCAATTTTATTTATTTTATATCGCATGTTAATAAGACCTTAAATCATTTTAAAATATTTCTAGTTTATAAACCGCATAAAGTATAATTGAAACGATATATAACAAGAAAAACTAGAAAAAAATTTTTTCGTCGGTGAAATTGCGTAATTTTTTACATTTACTTTATTTTGAGTTTGCCAATAAAGTGTAAAGTTATATAAACTTATTGTAATTAGTTAAGTTATGAGGTATAAAACTTGGTAACGATAGATATAAACAATTAACTGGTTTCCTTACGTAAAATTCTATTAAAATTAAAAATAAGGCACAGATGCGATCAAATTTTTGGCCCACTCTTTATAAAATGTTTAAATATCTTAATATTATCAACCAAGCTAACACAAATTCAGCTACCAAAGTAGAATTATACTATAAATCAACATTCCGTCTTCGTAATGTTTGGCTCACCCAGTAACTAATACTTTTCTTCATATATTACTCATATTTTTTGATATCATCTCAATAGCATATTATAGCAAAAAACCTTGAATACATAAAAATTTTGAGAATCCCCATTTGTTTAAAAAAAAATTGCCTTTTTTTTTCAACTTTGTATATCAAAAACTAGTCATAGTATTGGGTTTTGTCCATGGACTTTCTGATCGACATCTACCGTATAAAGAAACCATAGAAAAGGCACTTCTTGAAATTATGTACAAAAAGTACCTATAGGAGTGTGTGGCGAGGAAACGAGTTTAATTGTTCATATCTGTCATTATCAAGTCATACCTCATATTTAAAAAACTGATCATAAGTTCATATAACTTTTACACTTTATTAGCAAACTAAAAATACAGTTAAATGTAAAAAAATACGTAATTTAACCGACGAAATTTTTAAATATAGATTGAGACATGGAAAAAGCATTCTTTTTCTTCTAGATTTGTTACCTCTTTTGAATCGTACTGTTTTTGGTTTATCAGGGATTTAATCCCCTATCTAACAGAGAATAAGATGAAAATATAAATGAAACAAAAACTAAGAGTATGATGATTACTAAAAAACGTAATCAGGGAATAATGACTCCTTTGAAAATAGGAAATCAGGAAGTCCCTACTACAAACAAAATCAAATACCTATGTTTTCTGTTAGATAGGGGGTTAACATTCGACCTCCACATCAAGGACAAAGTGACTAAAAATCACGTAGCCATTAAAACCCTCTACCCTATTCTTAATAGAAGAAGCAAAGTCACTCTGTCCAACAAACTCCTTAATTTTGTGTCTCTACAGTTCAGTGGTTTGTGTATTGTGTTTAGAGTTCTTTTCATTGTGTTTAGTGAAAAAATGTCATAAATTAATATTTATTAAGAATATATGAATATTAATAATTGTATAATTTACAATAACAGCCAAACGCTAATGAAAAAGTAAGGTTAACAAACTTTGTTGTTTTTGCCGAGCATCTGACTTATTTGTCCATTCTGACAGGATATTGGATTGCCAAATTTGAAGAATATTCTCAAGCTAAAGTAAAAATTAAAATTTGATTTTCATATGACTTATCCTGAAACTAATAATTTACCTCATGTGTTATATTGGAAATATTGTTTGATATCTGTAAGGCATTATCTTGAAAAATAAACGATTATCATAGTAGTTTGTTACGCCTTTTTTTAAAAAATTACCAATTTGCAACTTCAGCGCCCTGTATATCAAAAACTAGTCATAGGATTGAGTTGAGACACTATTGTTCAGAAAGTCAATAGCTTCAACATATAAAGTCAATAGCTTCAACATATAAAAAATACAAGAAATTTACGAAGTCTATTTCTCCATAAGCCTGGTCCTTTATGCGTTTTTAATATCAATTGAAAAAAGTATTTTCTATTCCGAATACGCTTCTTTAAAATGTAAAATGGCATAAATAAAATTCCTGTAATTTACTAAAAAACCAGCTTATTTCACAAAAATTCTGTAGAGATAGTGCCTCATTTGGACATCTACACTTTAAAAGCACAAATAAAAACGAAAGCTGCCTAGAGTGCAAAAGTGTTATCATTATCATTACGTATTACATCACAAAAACTAGCGGTTTCGTCACATTTATTGAAAAAATATACAATTTACTTAGTTGTCTGTAGATAAACAAGAGTATTTTACAAATTTTAAAGCACATAGTTAAGGGCTTTCGAAAATCATAATTTTCTCTTAGAGAAAATAGTACTACATACATTAAAAAAAGACAATAGAACAAAGTACAAGTATTTTACAATATCAAAGTTTATAAAGTCATGTACAACATTTCATTACATCTTCGAAAACGCATCCTAAGTGCATTCAACATAAAATAGGCATTTTGGCTGTAGTGGAAACAGTAGATAATATACATTTTTTAGTTTTCTATATAACAAGATGTCTCTAAAATATACATATATACCGGGAGGACCACCAGGATGTAGGGAAAATTTGGGAACTTGCTAGGTCTTGGGGCCAATTGAGCTAAAATATTTTCATTTTGGTTCAAAAATAAAGTTTAAAATGAGATTGAGGCAACCGTCAAAAACCAATTTTTTCATATAGGTATAGGACACGATATATAAAATCTGCCTAGAATCTAGAGTAGAATCCAAAAACTTAATAATATTTAGGGTGACTTAAGGTGTAATTCCGGTATAACCGGAAGTGCCAATAGATGAACATATGTTAGCTAAATAGGTTCCAAAACATTTGGCAAGGTCCCAAATTTTCAAATTTTTCCTACATCCAGTTTCTGACAAATTGATCGATGCAGTTCCTGGTCGTCCACCCCATATAGAGACAGATGGGCAGTTAAATAAGAAAAAAGTTAGGAATATTCAATGAATTTACAATACCAGTGCTGGTTTACGAGAAAAAATAATCATAGCATATTCAAAGCAAAAAAAAGGACAAAATCAAGTACAGATCCTTATTAAAAAAGAAATAGGCGAGGATGGCCTTACGAACATGAATATTTATAATGAAAATTGAATAATATCTCATCCTAAAATAAAATAAAAAACAAAAAGGCATAATTCAGTTTTTTAAATCTTACTCAAATTTAATTATCATTAAGCTAAAAAACTTTTATCGAATTTAAGTATATCTCTGCTGCTTTATGAAATCCTGATATAGAAATAAAATGCGGACTAATATGTCTTCATTTTAACTTGAAAATCAATTAATTTTTTAGAGGGAGTGAAAATAAAAAATTGTTGAGTTGAATCTAGGACCTTTGGTATATCGTGTAACTAGAAAACAAGCGTATGCATCCTGAGATCTAATAATTATTTTGAGGTATAAGATTCAATTTATAGTTAGTTTCTTTAGAGAAACATTTTTCAATATTTACGAAAATTCATTGTTTCCACCTTCAGCTATGATAGTTAAAAATTGACACAAGCGATTCAAATAATTTCATTGTTAAACATTGTGAAAAAGGTTTCAAATGTTAATAGCCAGTCCTGAACTGTTTAATTGTTAAAAAAAAATCATCGAAAGCAATAACTGTGTATGTAGTAATTAATTTAAATTTTCCAGTTAAGGGTTTTTTGTATTTTCTATAATACTTCTATTTTGAATTTAACATTTTGAATTTATTGTAAATTTAATCAAAACAGAATGAATTTATACTTCAGCCTAATTAAATTTTAAAAAATGAGACATTTTAGTTTTATTTGTGAACTTTTTCACATTGGGCCTCTTATTACGTACATAATGTTTATTTGTATAATATTTCATGTAAATCGTGGGCGGTATTTTTTAGAATAATATATAATATGTACAGTGGAATCAATACTAACGGCCCATATTTTACCATTTACTTTGAACCGATTGTATCAAGAACACCACATTTTTTTACAATCCATCATCGAAACGCATAAAAGTACACACACATTGCGCTCTTCTACTTTTAATTAATATTTACTTGGATTAACCTTCGCTTTCATCATCTTCGTCGTCTTCCTCCTCCTTTTCTTGTTGCTCCTCGCCGACAGTTTCCTCTTCTTCCACCATCTCTTCGAGTTGCTCTTTCGGGCCGAGCGCCGCTTGGACGGCGTCCTCGAATTCTTGACTCGTTAAAATTTCGTAGGAGGTCGCGTAATTGGCCGTCAAGTGTTTGAATATCGGTTTCGATTTTTCCCAGGCTTTTATGTTTTGATTGATCGCATCAACCAGACATTCGGCGATTGGGAATATTCGAGCTAGTATTCTAAAAAGAAAACCCCGTATAAGTAAATTCCAATGTACTCAAATGCGGCGCTTTCGGTATCAATTGATTTTTGTGTATGAGCATAGAAATAATAGAAGGCCGATATAAAATACAAGCAATTTATTTTTGATTCATATCGTGTACAAAAATCTGTTTCTACAAAGACGCGGTTGTTGGTGAGCATGCGCAGTTTATTCGGCAGATCTCTGCTGTATTGCTACGAGTTTATATATGATGAATTATATAGAAGATCAACTTTATTTCCGAAAAACTGCTTTGATCTTTGATATGGAGAAACTCGATTAACACTCATTAAACAGGATTACAAATCGGAACTCTCCGATAGTTTTAGTGGTGCGCGATTTAGATAAGAATGGTCAATGTTGCCATTTTCTTTTTAACAAATTTTATCGATGTGACGCGTGAAAATTTGAAGGATGTAAAATTATAAACTACCTAATATAAATTCCAAGTTTCCGACAGCTAGGTTGATGCAAAATTGGTTGTCAAAAATTGAAAGAATAAAACCCTAACTGGTTTATTTTTTATTAACACGCTTATATTAGCTTCACCTGTATGTATGTATGTATGTATACTCAAGTGGCTTATTACTGTCAGTATATCCCACTGTCAAGTTCATTCGTTGGCCGAGCGGTCTAAGGCGCGGGTTTTCGATTGCCAGACTCACCGATCGTGGGTTCTAATCCCCACGGCAGAAAAAAAAATATTTTTTTTTTCAGCAATTTCAACTTACAAATTTTTTTTTTAATATTTAATCAAACTAAAAAGTAAAAAATAAATATAGTTTAAAAAAACTAAAAAACACGCTTTTATAATACATCGAACTAAAAAGTGAAAAATAAATATAGTTTAAAAAAACTAAAAAATACGCTTTTAGAGCATATCAAACTAAAAAGTTAAAAATATTTTTTTTAACACGCTTTTATTCAAATAAGCTTAAAACAATAATAAATGGAAAATACTAATATTATTGTGAAAAAAACGTGTCCATATTTCTCGTACATCGAGCGCCCGACGCTTTTTTACAATAATACTAGTATTTTCCATTTATTATTGTTTTAAGCTTATTTGAATAAAAGCGTTTTAAAAAAAATTATTTTTAACTTTTTAGTTTGATATGCTCTAAAAGCGTGTTTTTTAGTTTTTTTAAACTATATTTATTTTTCACTTTTTAGTTTGATGTATTATAAAAGCGTGTTTTTTAGTTTTTTTAAACTATATTTATTGTATAATAAACCATGTGTGAGCCCAGGTACGCGCTATGCACTTTTATATGTAATGTGACAAAGTCACTAAATTTACCTTTAGTTTAATTATAAAAATGTTTAGTAATTTTGATTTCTTGAAAATTCCCGTTTTTAAACATTGAGAGAACCCCCTAAGTTCAAAATACATCATTTTTTACCGAAATTCGAATCAATCTTCAAACGCTCAAATTCATGTAAATTATCTAGTCATTTTCGCAGATGTTAAAAGGACGTTTATTACTCGCATGCTTTTATACAATATTTTATTTTATCTAATGGCGGAGTCCTCTCACCTTATTTGGAGCCAGTTCTGTTTAGATTTTAAATCGTATTGCGCAGGCGCATCAACAACCTTCAAGTTACATAGTGAATCATTTTTTAGTGTAGGAGAAAATAGCATTCTATTATTTCTATGTGTATATGTAATATCTCAATTGTTTATTTTCTTACCTAAATATACAAACGCAACAATCACTTAAAAATTCTAGCTGGTGATCGGGAATGGAAGCTTTTTCTCTATTCATCATGACCACCGGTTCTTTTCCCATTTTCTTTTCTAGATCGCCTTGTGTGAAGAATTCAGCATATATCAATCGGGCTACGTTTTTCGTTTCAGACCAATCCTTAAATAAATAAACGGAACATTGTACAACATATAAATATGTCACAATTTTGTTTACAATCCCTTCTTACTTTTGTCTGATCTGATAAATCCGCGCAAGTCATCAATAGACTACATAAATAGTAACGATGTTCTGGGTTTTTTCTATTAAAACCGTCCTAAAATTAATAAAAAAACAGTGTTAATAAACATGTTAAGAACAGCTTGAAAGTGTCCGCCCACTATAACCTGATCGTGCTCTTAAGACATATGACAAAGCGGTAAAAATTGTAAAGCCACAGAGTACATAATATATGCTCCCTCTGTGTAAAGGGTAGACAGTAGTTAAACAGTACTTTGGAAATTGAAGAGGTGGTAAACTTCGAACCCCGTCGAGAATTTCGCGGCAATGACTAAAGACATTTTCAGTTATGAAAATAGAAATCATATCTAATGTAATTAAAATTACGATAAAGGATGGCAAACATGGGGTTCAAATACTACTGCATAACTGTTATCCTGTTCTAGCAACAACGGAAATGATAAAATATATTTATACAAAAATTAAAAAGGAATAAGCCTTCAATTGATTCTTCTCCAAAAAGTCATGAGGGGCCAAACAAAAAACAAAAGTAATATTTCAAAAGGATCTGGAGAAACACATGCTTTTGGCGTAATTGATACACATTGATCTAGTATGCATGCAAGTTTTAGAAAAGCACAAAATGCTCAAGTAGGGTTTTAAGGGGGTCTCACAACATTCAAAAATGAGTAGGCAAATTAGGTTCCATTTGGGAATATACCCCAGACAACAGAACGGTGTTGATGGGAGTTATGATATTAGATTAAAAAGGGGTAAAATACAACAAATTAATATATATCGTAAAGAAGGCAAGACCATTATTCATACGGATGAAATATATTTACACAGTTCGCACACTCGCCTTATAGATAAATAAAAATAATACCAATCATTTTAAATTGATACCGGCGGAACCGGATAATTCTAATTCTACACAATTTTAATAGCTATTCACAGTTTGTTAAACTATTTACTTGAATACGCGAAATTGTTATTACCATCTGTAAAATAATATTCTACGCCAATGTATCGCGACCAGTTAGCTGTGTACGAAATAAGAACTGTTCAACTTCAGCCTGCCTTCTATCTCCCCTTTCAGATATACTGCGTATGGAAATTTTGACAGATGTTACTGCATAAAATTTCAGAAATAAATTGTAGGGATTTATCTGAAAATACTCACCATAGCCATTGTTTGCTGTCTAGCGTGTATCCTATAATGAACTTGCAAATCTGTTGCGAGAATTAGATTTTTGATCAGATCTAAACACTTGATATAATCTACTCTATTCAGGCACTCTAGGAAATTGCAACCCTACAAATTAAAAAAAAAAGTATTAGAAAATTCGTCTAAAACGTTTAACCAAAAGTTTATAATTATTTTAATGTTTCAAAATACTATTAAAATGTAGCGATGGGTCGAAGTCCACGGACTAGTCTGAAAAGTTGACTAGTCCAAACACATGCACGAAATTCAATTAACTAATTTGTCCGAATATCTTACAAAGGCAAAATATAGTTTAAAAAAGAGAAACGACAAATGATTACTGACTTTTATGTTTTCGAATTTTCGTTTCATATGTTATTAATAAACATGTGAAAAAATACCAAAAAAGTAGTATTTTTTTTTTTTTTATTTGGTGTACGGCTTCAACATCTAAGGTCATTAGCCTAGTGTTCTATGTAGGTTATGGATTGTATTAGTAGTCTAATACTCCATAGTGCAGGAGTATTAGTACTCTAATACTCCTACACCCCTACAGACAGGCCTTGCTACTGTTTCCTTGCGCCACTTTAGGAACAGCACTGTTAATTAGAACCCAACAGTGAATGGTCGAGTATTAAATAAAAAATAAAAGATTTTCTTAAAAAAAAAACGAAAAAACAAATGCAAATATTGTTCTCAAAGTGTTTTTGAAAACGCGTACAGGATGAAGATTTTATTGTGTGTCTTCTATGCCCAAGGTCAACTACTTTTCATTGTGAGTTTTCATTACTTTTCACTACTTTTCCGGACTTTTTCATGAAAAGTCCCATCACTAGTAAAATATATGACTACGTATTGGGACCATGAAGAAAATGTGTTTAAAAAATAAAAATATAGTCCAAAGTTTGAGATAATAAAATCAACATTTGCAAAAAAAAAAACAAAGTCGGTGTTTTAAGAAAACAAAATCAAAATTTTGAAAAACTGCAAATTTTATAAAAATCAAAATTTTGAAAAAATAAACATTAACGAAGAATCTGTACCTGTAAAGGTACGTTTACATCTGACATTTATTGTATGTTAATTATGCAAAGTTGTTTAGTCCAGTGTAAACAAAGAAATTTGTGTCAGAGATACAGTACGAGTGTTCGACAATATGAAGTGACACTTATTTGAAAACTAATCTCAACACTTCTTAGCTACAAGTTCTGACCTGTCTGATAGAAATGGCGAAAGTTGAATAGTCGTGATTAGTGTTATGTAATATGTTTCGTATAATGGGCTATACAAAGGAATAGTTAAAAGTGATATTGAAGAATTAATAAATATATATTGTAATCACCCTGAATTGTAGTATGATAAAATTTGTACAGAACCCTACCAGAAGGGTCGTACAAGAATTAGCATACAATCGACTAGAAATATAATTCAGAAATTATTTGAAAAAATATTTTTTTTGGCCGGGGAACTGTTTCACACTGCTTACAAAATCATTATTGGAAAATACTGCTAAATCTTTGACACTGAATTCACTTATTAGATGTTTATAAGCACCATGTTCTTTACCTCTCAAAATCAACTCCCGGACTCATATAGAACTTGTTTCTTCTTTGTTTGACTGATTTAACATATTTAAAATAACCAAACTCACTGCAACTTGACTTTTTGATACTTTCATCATGAAATATGGGGCGGAACTAGTGTAAACGATTTTTTTCTCTAAAATAGTATCTACTTATTTCGCTACATATGTCAGTGACATCAATATCAAGTAATTTCTGTCATGATGTAAACCATGTAAAAAGTCAGCGTGATTAGGTGTTCGATACTAGATATTTATTGTCGTGAAAGAAGTGTCAGATGTAAACATACACAATGGTTCCACTACGTGTAGACTCTGCATGGAAGAGTAAGAAACCTCATACCATGTGATCTTCAAATGCGAAGCTCTTAGAGGCCGCAGTGGACCAAACCTAACCCTATCTGCCTATAACCGCCAAAGATAAAGAATAAAAAAATATACCTTAACACTTAACAACGTTTAAATGTATTACAATCCTTCCTCTATGGATTCGCGAATCCGAATCAACGATTTGATGAGGGGTTTCTTTACCTTCGATAGGTAAATATTTAGTATTTGTTACGTTACGAGTTACGATTATTCTCTGCGACTTTGAATATCTTCTCAATCGCCGGCGCAAAAAAGGTGGGTTGTCTTCCCATCAAATGGTGCAATGGACTGTAGTAATGTAGCTAGTAGAATAGCATAATGTTTGTAAATAAACAGCCATATTCTTGTTATATTATAATAAAATTAAATGTGTTTTCCAATTAACAACGTTATTTGCACTATAAAATCGTTCTCAATGTTTGTCACGTCGAGTCGAGTGTGAGTAGTTGCAATTGTAGGCGTGTTTCGTTGTGTTTGGTTGAGGGACAACGCCTGATGTTAGCATAATTTGCTTTGCAGAGAAGGATAGAATATTGTTGTTCGTAGCTGTATATGGGGTTGGACAGTCTATTTTTTAATTTTGACTTAATTTTTTTTAAATTTTAATTTTATTGGCTTTTTTTAAAAGTTTTTTATGCGGTACTAATTCGCTCCGTGCGAAGTCATGGAAAGGGAAGCAAAAGCGATACTAGCGCTAGCTGCGGATAATTCGTGCATTTTAGGGGGATATTTTGTAATTTTGGCATATCAAATACACGTAAACATTTTACTTTTTTTCAAAAAAGTAGGTAAAAACAACACAATAAGCAACCGGAGTTGCTGTGTTGAAAATTGTACAAATACTAGCAAAAAAAAACAGTGAAACTTATATAACAAATTTCACTAACAAAGTGGAAATTAAATCAAAGAAATAAATGGATAGGTGTACAATAAGAAGAAAAATTACCTTTATTTTTGTGATAATAACAGTAATGCTGAAAATAGTAGACATCAGAAACTAGAAAGTTTTTAAATAAACAATAAATTATCATTTTACGATGTTCTTTAATATCCCTTTATTCTTAAATGTTCATTCAGCAAGGACTAGATTTCAATATTTCTGCCGTTGATTATAATATTTGGCTGGTATGCAATTTTGTGACTTCATTCATTCTATGTTTTCTTTAGAACAAAAATGAAAATATAAGTAGCGATCCTTTTTATACATTTTAAATTCACGCTATTATAAATGGTTTCTTCAATGACAACTTATTAGACTTAGGCAACTTCTCATACATTTTTCAGTAAATACTGTTGCCTGCCTATATTTTATTATTGATATTTAATGATTATACATAATTTTCTTCAATTTAAGCGTGAAAAATATATAATAATAATAAATTAATGTTTTAATTGTTTTATAAATCCATATACTTTTATTAAAACTAACATATATACTTTTTATTTACGAATTCTATTAAAAATTGTATTTGTCAGTATAGGCAGAAATACTCCTTTAATACCAAAACAAATTGGCGCTGCTGTCGCGCACGGAGCGAATACGCGATCGTAAAAAGATAATTAGCGACTACTATGTATGATATTAGTAACTTACATCTGTGTTAAGTGTGGCTAGAGTTTGAGAAAGATGATGCCTCTCCATGACTGACCCTTCGCTAGAATATAAACTTGCCAAAACACTATTAGACTGCTGCTGAAAGGAATTGGTGGTCCCTCTATGATCGATATCGTGGCATAGACAGGCTATCAAATACGCCAAAGCTTCTAATTTTCTACAACAAACATTATTGCCTTGATAAAAAGTAGAATTTTCATCACTCAACTGAGAGTAGAAAATCCCACTTTCCCTCCTTAGGGAGGAAAGTAATCATATGTTATAATCAGAGAATTACGATTTAAACCCAACCGACTAGCTTTTTGTGTTTTCGAAAACTATTATACTCCTGCTCGACAAAATTGGATAACCATTGTAATAAATTACTTACGATAAATAACCCAGTTCGACCAGTTGAAAATTCTTCAGAGCCAAATACGCAAAATGCGTAACGGAAAAGGCGTGTACCCAATTGTGATACGGTAAATCCCTGTATCCTTTTTTGACGTACAACAGGAACCTCGTCAGTATGTCCCGTTTTATTCTGAACTCGTCCAAGATTTTCAAGTTTTCGAACATTTTCAGTATGTAACAAGGTATCTCAAAGTGCAAGACCTTCCTCGGTATGAACGTGAAACAGTTAAACTCGGTCATGTCGTGGTATTTGTCGCACAAGACAACATCTGCAACATCGCCGTCGCTAACCTGAAAACGGAGAAGAACTATTAATTCAATAACTAACATTGACGTGAAAAATTAGTTCACAATAAGGTATTTTTCGCGGCATAAACCAACATGAACGGTTATGATAGATTATGTTATTTAGACTATTCAGACATGTCTAAATAACATAATGCCGCGAAAAATACCTATGTTGTCACCTACAGAGACCTAAGAAATAGACAATCGACTGGAAACTGTTATTGTGTATACATACTTTTCAAATGCGTTTGACATACTTGATCATGGGATACTTACAAACAAACTTATTAGTTATGGGTTTTCAGAATTTGTTATAAAATTGTTCCGTTCATACTTGCAAAATCATCAACAGTATGTTTTTTAAACGTTTGGGATAGCAAGGATCTGTTCTAGAACATCTGCTTTTCAATATCTTTATTAACGAAATCGTAGAGTGCACTGATGTAAATTTTCAATTCAATTTCTACCAATGCATAATATAAAAGCGGTCGAAAATTGATGTCGCTTTAACATTTTTTCCTTAAATGCATCAAAATGTTTTATAATGTCATTTTCATTAAAACTTGACTATTCAATCATGAGATAAACAACTCATCTCTGCGAAGACCTACACATTTTGTAAATTTTGGAATAACATTTGGTCGAAAGCTTTTATTTATATTACACAGAAAAAAATGTATCCGCTGCATCCATAATGTATGAGTTTGTAGTACAGTAAACAGTTTGCAGATACGGAAACTCTAAAAATGCTTCATTTCGCATTTGTTTGGTCTAAGCTTGAGTACGCTTCCATTATCTGGAATCTTATTTGCCAAACCCATCGGGTTAAATTAGAATCAGTTTAGCGTTGATTCTTAAAATTCATCTGTTTCAAACATACTGGCGTTTACCCGAAAAAAGGTACACCTCATCAATATCTGCTTAACAGACGGACTGTTTTGAAATCATCACCTTTGCATATATGTTTACATTGTGTAACTTAGTAATACCTTAGATATATTTCATTGTATTTTTAAGGTTGTATATATAGTGTCTACCTATTCTTACTTATATTTTTGTAATTAATATTTGTCATAATTTCCAGCACAGTAATTGGAATTGCCTGTTGAGCAGTAAAACAATAAAACAAATAGAATTACGCAAATTTTAACAGTTTTGATTAATTGGTGTTTATGTATGTAATTCCTAATTCAAAATTGTAGGGAAGGAAAAAAAAGGAATTCTACGGAAATAAAAGAAATTATTGGAAATGTTATCAAATTGTATGAAAAATTATTCTATAAGTGGATTTCTTGAAAATATTCTACCCGGAGAACCTGTTGACATGTTAACAACGCCTCAAGTCATGAGATTAAATTTAGGTTTTTTTCTGCATTTGAATTAAAAAAAAAAACAATTGTTCATCGTAAATTGTGCCTAAAACACGTAGATTGTATGTTAACATAGCTCTCAGTTCTATCAATAAAAGGCTTCCTTAATCGACATAATCGTCGTGATCCGTATTAAGCAAAATATCTGATTAAATAGCAATCAAGGACCCGACAAATAAAATTATGTAAATTCTAGAAATAAGACAGGTCACGATGGTTGATATTGTACCGGGTTTCCAAATAAGAAAGAACCTCGTCGGAAGGCGGCTGTGGAATATAGTAAAACACGGTAAAACTATGCCTCGTAGAAATTTGAAAAAAAATATATGTAAAATTCGTCAAGAGGAATCGATAAAAATTATTTTTAAATTTCTAACTTCGCCACTAGATGGCATTATACTTATTACCAATGATAAACAAGTGGAATAAATGAGTAAAATTTGACAACTTAATTTGATATTAGAGAGTTATTGCAAGTTCACTTAAGGTCAGTCACTATTAGTGCCGCTCTTATTTTGACATCTGAGCATACGTAGATCACTAACTTTAATAAAGATTGTGCCTGTCCTTAATAAGAGAGTTATTGCAAGTTCACTTAGGGTCAGTCACTATTAGTGCCGCTCTTATTTTGACATCTAAGCATGCGCAGATGTTTATGTTCTAAAACCACATACTTTGATATTTTCTTTTACTATACGGAGAATGGTCGCACTGCGCAGCTTTCTGAGTTCCTTTTAAACAGAGATAGAAAACTCCCTCATTTTGAACCCTTATTACGTGTTGCCTACATTTTGGCGCAATATTTTTAATAGGTGCGTTTTAATCATCCGCTTCTGCTTCGGAATTGTCGGTTTTCTTATTTTAATCTGACAGGTTAAAACGACTAAACTAAAGTCACAGTTTATTCCTAAAGAATTAGTTAGCTCACTCGGACCAGTTGAAAGTTCCAAAATAACATCCACTCCAAGGATACAAATTCAGGATACGCAGAAGACTGCTGTTTTATTATAGGCGGTTGTCATATATTGTATTATCCGAGTTGCACAATGTATAAACTGAATCATTGAGATCATAAGTGCCGACGCAGAGTGAGCGATCTGATTCTTTAGCTGTAAACTGTGTCACAGGGTTCAAAATGGCCGCGCCCTTTGTTGGGCGTGTCGGACCTCTCTCTTGCCTCGTATAGTAATCAAAGTAGGTCTTTTCCTTTGCATCGAAAGTGTGGCACTGAGCTACACCACTTCTGAAAATATCGTTCCATTTATACAAATTGTATGGATATTACACCTTCCCCCTAAAGATTAAGGCATTGGGTTGGCAGTTCGCAGTCTGTAAAAACCAGCAAAACTAAACAACGTGGTAAGCGCAAAAATCATCACTCCATACGATAACTTGATTGGCGGTATGGGATTTTGCCGGTTATGGTACCAACTGGCCTGTGGAGATTGCCGGTTTAAAACTAATCCTGAATTACAACATGAAATTTCAATGGCATTTTGAAGGATTAGGATAAGGTTTTTTATTTTAATCGCTTATGCGTGTTTAAAACTATATATACATATATAGGTGTTTAGCTTATTTTCGCAAAAAATGGAGATTGCCGCCTTTGGTTCTAGACACCTCATATGCAATTACATGTTTCTAACATTTTTTTATTGTTATACATTCGTTCATTGTATATCTGAAACCATAAACTTTTATAACAGTAACTAACAATTTAAAAACCCTTATTTTATAATTATTTATATAGCAAATATTTCAAAATACCTGGATTATGAAAAAAAAAAAGATCGCTCCCTCCCAAAGAACGTTCAGATAAGATAATAACGTTCCAATCATTAATATCCTTTATAAAATTTGTCAACTTTTTGTGGGGGGGGCAGTAATAAAATAAGAAAATATGTCTTACATTTTGGTTCTCTATATAACTGAGAGTGGAGGGAGGAGGGGGTGGATCGAAAATATCCCGAATCCAAAGCTGTGCGTCTTTAGGGTCTAATTTATGTAAAAAAAAATTAAACTTTTTTTTTATATGGAAGGGGGTAAAATTTGTTTCGCTTAAAAGTCCAATGCATCGTACCCGAAGTTCATTTTCCTAAGTCTAGCGGTTCTATATATCGACATTTCTGTGGGTGAGGGGAAGAAGTAGCGGGGTAAGTCGGGCCGTTTGAAATAGTTTCAGGCGGGGCCTACGGCCACGCTATTAGTTTTTTTTTTCTCTTGCTTATCATTTAGGCGTGGCAGAGAATGAGGGGGAAGTTAAGGAATGGGGGTAGAAGTTTTTCGCGATCCTGTATCCATCCATGTAATATTGTCCATGTTGGTCAATGGATTTCATATATCGAAGGTTGAAAAAAATTCTATTTCCAAAAATGTTTTAATGATAACACTATAAAGCTCGGCAATAGCTACTAAATAAAAATTTTAAAAAATAGAAAATCAGTTCACAAACAGAAGAGAAAATGGTACTGAACTATTTGGTTTTTGCCCCTTTTGGTGGGAAAAACATCCTATATAGCATATTTACGGAAGTAGTAGGTATATATTTTGAAATGTACAATAGTATAAAAACAATGAAACAACAGATAACAAAGATGAAACTAAAGTAAAACACTGTTAATTTTCAATAAATTTCATTTCCTGGTTCGTAATACAAAAATAAATCTAAACCCAAAAACCGGTATCTATATAGTTGATTCCGAAAGTGTAGTCTATTTTTTGAAAATAAATATGTATTAATAAATTATGATAATAAATACCTATAGGTATACATATTGTCGCTATATAAGTATGGTCGCTTTAAATCAATCTAATTGTTAAATTAATTTCGAATTATATTTATGAAAGAAAATATGTAATTTGTTACGTCATCTAAATATTTAATGACCCGTTTTCATCATTGTTTATAAATATTGATAATAGCTTTTAGTGGAACTATACTTTATGGATTGAATCGGGAAAATATAGATCATAAACATTTTTATTACAGTAAATTACCTAACTAAATGATTTAAGTTTATACCAAAATCATTAAATTGATCAAAATTTTATAAGTAAATTCTGCTCTATAGATGGCTAATATACAGGCACTTTTATTAATAATGGGCCAAAGAAGAACTGGAAAATCCTTGATCTAAAATATGAAGATTTAACGTAAAAAACATGTTTATCAATTGTTTTAATAAAACTGTTTAATATTTTCTTAACAGACTTCAAAAAAGGAGGAGATTCTCAATTCGTCAGAATACCTTTTTTTATCAAATTTAGCAGAATAATTAAGTACTTCATAACATTAAAATTAGAAGAAAAAAAACCATTAACAGAGGTGTGCCGCAAGGGCACTTCTACGCCACTGGCATTGAATCTTGCTTGCCATGTACCATAAAAACTTTCATATGATTAAACGATAAAATATGTGTTTATTGAAAAAAATATTTTTTATGTATTTAACCCAGATAAAAAAAAGTTCAAAACATAAAGACTTACTCTCATGTGGTACATCATCAGCTCGTTAGACAGCTGGCTTCTAGCTTGCGCATCTTGTATCTTCTTGTACACCAAACTGTGCATTATAGAGATTCCACAGTATATACTGAAAGCGTTCGCGACTTGCTCATCGAAATAGTCAAAATGTCCGCCGCCCATTTTGTTGCACAACTGCGCTACACCTACGATGCCATCTTCGTCACGAATAGGGAAACACAGGATGTTACGCGTTTTAAAACCGGTCGCCTCGTCCATGCCCTTGTAGAACAGGGGATGTTTATAAGCGTTTTTTATGTTAAGGGTTCTGCCAGTAGCGGCTACGTGACCTGGAATTGAAAAAAATAATATCCTGCAATGGTGGTCTAATGAATTTGGCACTAACACAATTCTAAATCGTAAAAGGCTCACCCGCAATGCCCTGATCTTTAGCTATCCTAACCTCAGTCTTTTTCTCTGAAGGACTAACGCCATCAAATACTTTGGCTACCAAATGCATATGATCCGGATCCAAAAGGAACAAGGAGCATCTTTCCGCGTTCGTCAATCGCCTCGCCTCTGACATGATCTCTTTCAAAAGATCGTTCAGGTCCCCCAGATGCGAAAACAGTTTTCTAGCCACCGACAACAAGCTCTGGCATTGGTTTTTTAGTCGTTTCTCTTCTTCACACTGCCTGGTATTCAGGAGTAAAGTCAAACAGTACCTTAGGGTCTCGTGAACCATCCTTATAACGAACGAAGAATCTCGTGACGCATTTACAAAACATATTAGGTATACTGGGGTTACATATAATCTTTTTGGTAAATTGGCTGCAAAACAAAGTAATCGTACACGTAAAATAGATCAAAACTAGTCCAAAAAAAAAAATTGAACTAACTAACGGTAAAATATAAATGCTTACTTCGCCGTTCCTTAGCAAGAATTGGAACCAAAATAAGTTCACCAGAATCCTCAGCCACGATTTCGTTTATTAGACTTTGTATTTTGGGATCAAGATCTTCTGCGCATTTTAAAGTTTCATCCTTGTATTCTACAATGTTTGGTATGGTGTCCTCTGCAAGAGAGCTGCGCAACGGTACGTCCAGTATTTTGTCTTGGACGACTTGGATCATGGCTTCGTCAGAAACATCGAATAAATTTATGAAAAACACCCTCTCGGCTTCGGCTTCAGATCTAAACTGAAATTTCCAAGTCTTCGATTTGAGATTTGCTTAAGATTTTGTCAGTTTAAAATTGAAAGAAAAACTTTGTAGTCAACGTAACATAATTCTAATAATTGTTCGCTTTATTTTAACCCCGCCTAATAAGTTTGCGCTATATCATAAACGCCAGAAGTTGCCGACTGCATTTTATCATAAAGTCGATTGAAAATGATTAATTAATGTATCCGCTTAGCTTAGTGTAAATCTAAACACGTGCGGCTGTAAAGTTTATGCATTACCCATTATTTAAATAACAACCCACGATCGGTAGTTCATCCTGCGATAAAAATAGTAAGGGCCATTGTTCTAGAACATGGCTGTCCAACATAAGGTCCGAGGGCTGCATGCGCCCCCCTTAGACTTTCTTTGAGCGGGCCAAGAAATATAGAATTATTCCTAAAAAACGAAAATATACAACGATGAATAAAATAACACAAATATATACTATTACACCACTGGCTATGAATAGAGAAGTCATTTAACTATTGGAGATCTCGATTCTTGCTGAACCGCTCTCGAACTTTCGAAAAGGTTGAGTCAAGCGGAACGGGCAAGGTAATAGTATGGAATAGAGACTAATAGACAAAAAAAAGTTGAATACGGTTTGAGGTTGAGTCAAGCAAGACGTGCAGAGTTAAGGAGGAATAGATACTCATAGGCAGAAAAACTTTGAATACGGTTCGCGAAGTTTATTGTTACGATCATGTGTTTATTGGTACATAATTGTAGTTATTTTGTTCTGGTCTTCGGTACACATCAATTCAATTTAAGCTTTTTTAAGTGTGTCTTCAAAGAAAAGAAAAATAACAAACATCGAGTTTTTAATGACCGTTTGGGAATCAGACTATTAATCATGAACAACAATAATAAACTTTAGTGCATTGTTTGTATGCCAGTACTATCAGTTACAAGAGAAAAAGTTTCAGTAGTATACAGTGGGGTCTAGAAACGCTATCATTATGGATTATAAAGCCGGCCCCAGACAATGCGCGTATTCGGCGAATGTGCCTTCGTACTGCGCCTTCGGCATGCCTTCGGTTACCCTCCCACACACTGCCGCATTTGGAAAATGTTCTGATGTTGACACATGTTCGCCGCAGGGCCTCAATATAGAACAGTAGCGGAGAGCAGTGAGTAGTGTTTTTTATATGGACAGTAACGATGAGCAAGCGGCTGCAGTTGCAGCCTGTATGGTAATTTTAATAACGAAATAAATAATACAACACATCGCTAAACTTGGCGCGACTCTGACTAGAGACAGAATAGGCAATCAACTAGACGTAGTTGAGCACTTCGTCTTCCTTTGCTGCGTGCCGTTTTACCGACAAGACTACGGATAGCAAGCGAATGCCGAAGAATAGGCGCAGTTGAGCTCCCACACACTACACGGAGGAACGCGTATGCCGAATATTCGCCAGAAAGCTAAAACAATAAACTCATTTTTTCAAGTCAGACACTAATAACACATGCAGTATTGCCGCTTCTCACGAAGTTCAGCTGGAAATTGTGAAAGTGAAAAAACTTTTTAGTGGTGAAGTATGGAGTGCCTATTAATAATTGTGCAATCAAAATGGCAAAATAATTCAATGAAACAAAAATTGCCGAAAAATTCGAAACAGTCTCAGTCTCGCATCAAACAATTGCAAAACGTGTAGACGATTGCCGCGTTTGAGAATCCACATCGGATGCATCTGAGATGTAGTAAATCTTTGATCACGTGATTCAGTATACGTAAATGTAATGGGACAGATGTGTCCAATGTGGATAAAAAAACGCTCGAGATGTAAAAAATGCATCCGATGTGGATTCTCAAACGCAGCATACATTAATCAGTAGGTATATATTCAAATAATTGCACAAGCTACAAGGAAAGCAGTAGAATATTACCAAAATTTATAAGGTCAATAGGATTTTAAAATACAATTAAGCTTTGTAAGTCTTCACTAGAAAAACATTAATTTTAATTTTTTCCTAGCTGTAAAGAGCACTTATTTGAAGAAATGAAGATTTTAAGAAAGTTTCATCACAGTGAAAACAAACAACCCAAAACTTTACACTATTTTTTTTGTATATTTATATTTTTAAATAAATAAAAATAATTGTACAAATAAGTTGTTTTGTACCTATTACAAATCACTGATAAAGTTCTAGAAGAAGTATTTTATGATGAAGCCTTCATAACCGCAATTTTATTTACAGGGGTCCTTGAGACACTGTTGTAGATAATGTTTTGAAAGAGTTTGTTACGATATCTAATAGTTTGTTTTAACTAATCCGCTAAATGCTAAAGTATGCAATACACCGTACATATAAAAAATGAGCTATACCGTGTGGATCCTAAGTTGATACTTTCTTAACTCAAAAATAAGACAGATATAGAATTGAAAAATCTAAATCCGTGCCTAAACTTGTGTATGGAAAGTTACACTAATTAATGAATATGTTTTTTACTTTTTCTTATACATCATGATTCATTATTGTGTGCCGGTTATTGTAATTCAGTGGCTTGTGATTTCACTAGCGTGTTTATCTGAAGTAGTGAATTAAAATTATTCAGTTTGGTAAATTGAAAATGAAGTGCGATTAGAAGAACACATTTTAAATGTTCGGGGAAGATCCAACAACAAGTATGTAGTTAATTGCAGATCATGTGGGAATAAGTCAACGAAAAGTATTCACAGTGGTACTGCTGAAAAATCAATTGTATCCCTTTCACGTTAAACGTGTTCAAGCACTACAACTTGAGAATTTCTCCCGTAGTGTTCAGTTTTGTGAATAGTTCTTGCAACTGAATGAATGTAATCAACACTTTTGTGACGGAAGTCACTAAATTTTCCTTTAGTTTAATTATAAAAATGTTTAGTTCAAGTTAATTTCCGCCTGTTAACGTTTTCAAAAACCGTTTTTAAACATTTGCGAGAACCCCGTATTACAAAATATATCATTATTTACCGAAATTCGAATCCAGATGTAAAAAGAAAATGTTTTCAGTCCTCCGACTTGTAAATATTGGCTACTCCCACTCCGAACCACCCGGAAACCGAACATGTCCGATCGTAAGGTATAAAGTCGAGATCCCACCGAATTGACCGAATTCACTCTTTTTCCAGTGCAAGTTTCCGAGTTAATTTGAGTAACACCGTCACCGTTAATACCGTCGTTTCTTATTTTCACCGTCTGTGTCAAAACTGTGAAAAATTCTTAGGATTTATTTCGTTATTCTCTTGGTCAACCGTCGCTTGTTAAATATTAGCAAATAAATTATTTTTATAGTCCGAGAAAATTAATCTTTACCAATTCTGAATTGCCACATCGTAAGTTTTGTGAAAGTTGAGTTTTAAATTAGTTTTAAATCTGTCAAATATAAATTAAAAAAAATATTGAAATATAAATATTACGAAAAATAGCGTCATCTTTCGCATTAGAGGTAAAAAAAAATGGTATATGGCTAGTATCCTTGTTAACAGATGTTTTAAGCTAAAACAGTAACTTCACGACAAATTGTGGCTTGCATCCTTTTTACACCAAGGGCTTCAATTGTATACCGTTTCGTAAAAGAGGCTGGTTTCTTAAAGCCGCAGTTCCAGGAAATTAATTTCCCAACTTTGTACGGAATATCGTTTTGGGATTTCTGAAGTTACATAAGCGAAGCAAGGCCAGTGATTCCACAGACCTGTTTCGCTGACTTAATTTCTCAACATCCAAGGTAACCCGAGTCAATAGACCTTTCACTACTCCGTCAATCAGTAAATCTTTATTCACTACAGATCGTCGACCAAGAGACAACATTGCTCTTTTGCTTTACCTGACTCCATACCATCTCGATCGGGTTAAGCTCGCAATGATACGGTGGTAAAAGTATGTATTTTGCAACTATTTCCTCAATCTTCTATTTGTCGTATTGCTCTCTATATGGGTTGGCAACTTTAACCAGCTCAAATAATTGTGCACAATTCGTCTAAGCAAGCTCTTAAAACGCTCATCATATGTATATTCGCGAGAATTTGACTGCCTTATCCGCTTTTTCTTCTTGCAGGAGATATCAATTCGCCACTGTTTTGTTCCTTTGGAAGCACGACTTGCCGCTGTAGTCACACTCAATTTATTATCATTGATTAAATAACAAATCATATTAAAAATCACAATTTTCGCACTCGCATGGAGCATTTGTCCGCGTTTGAATTTCTTAAACTCCATGTTGCAGGTGAGAAATCACAACTGAACCAACCCCAAAAAAGTAATTAAATGTCAAAGGTTTGACAATTATAAAAAAATCATGGGCTTTTAATATGGCTTATTGTTTTTTCTTCTAGCATTTTTATTGAATGACAATGAAATTTTTTTTTCAAATTCTGATTAGAAACACAATAGTTCGATTATTTAAAATACAGACCTGTACTTTTTATCCTGAATACAACCATGTAACCTATAAACCACTTACTAAAGTTTTGAATACTTGAGGTGGTACATATAGTGGAAGGTATGCCGTCTTTTAGTAAAGTGTTTTTTTATGGGTATTACCGATTTGAATAAATCATTTCTAAGTACTAACTAAACAAAACAAATATCTTAGTAATATTTTTTCGGTATGTCAATAAATAAAAACGCTAGAGCCAAAAAAATAAAAGAAAAATATTGTAAATAATCCCAAAATAAAGTTTTATTTTATATTTTCTTCGAGAATTTTATTACCTAAGGTTTTATTTAAATTATTATTAAACTGAATTAAAAGAAATTAGGTCAGGAATTACCTAACAGTACTTTCCCTGACATTACCAAGCATTACTCTGAATTAGCAAAGTAATGTCACAATTCAGCAACCATGTTCTTTTCTTGGAATAAAATATACCTCGATTTACAGTTAGTAAAATATTACTGTTTGGATGCAGTGATTAATGAATGCCTTTTAAATTGAATGCTTTACAAATTATTTAAAGCAATCTTAGTTTTAAGAGCAAACTGGACACCTCGAAAATTTATAATTCATTCTGAGCCTTTATTTTTAGTCCGATTTTTGTAAAATTTTCAGAAAATACCAATAATAACAAAACTTAGGGTGGAGAAACCTTGAATTTTTTGTAAACCTTCGCAAAGTATTTATGTTGAAAAATTTTAAAAATAATTTAAAAAAAAACATTTATGTGCCATTCTGTATTAATTCTATAAAAATTTACTGCTTTTTGTATTAATAAATATCTAGAAGTTTTTAAATAGAATGCTATCCCACCTTTTTTTCTTAAATGTCTCTGTAGAGTGTCACTTTATCGCTGCACAAATTTAAAGCTCTCAATATTGTCAAGACTCATAATATCAAGAAGTAATCCCAATGGCATGTATATAAATACAATTTTATATTAGAAAATCTTTAAAACATTTTTGCTTTCGCAAGAGGTCCGGTTTCCTCTTAAATGTGAACTTGAATTCTCGTTTTGATCACCTTCAGCGTCTTCTAGCTTCAGCCAAGTGCAACCCAAGAACTAACCGATTTAATCGTTCTTTCTCACCCAGAATAGCTAGTCTTTAGATCTATGTCCTCCTGTAATTTCTTTGATAATGATAAAAAACAACTACCCCTAGAGCTTCCTTGGCTCACATAATACTTAGATTTTACCTTGAGGATGTGTCAATCTATAAAATATGAAAACCAGTTTCCCATAGTTTAATGTCACTATTTTTATTTTATAAGCAATATAGGTAAGTGATAAATCATGTATAGCTTCTTTATTTGATAGTTATCAATATTAATAATGTACCTATACTTCAATATCAATATATATTCCAAAATTATCTTTATAAAATAAATATTTAATCATTGTTTAGGATTCAAGAATACAGTGGCTAGAGGTACTTCTACCTATTAATTTTTTTAGATAACTAACTCATTTACATACTAAATTTACAGATATCCTTTATTATATCTGATTGTAGAGGTACCATTTTAGAACATAATTGATTCAAATAAAAGAGACTATTGAGATTATTTAATTCCTTATTTAAATGATGTTATAAATCATTGATGGCAACTAATATGCGATACTGACTATTGCCTTAAAATTAAAATAAACAATAAAGTTAGGTACATAATAAATTTACCTAATACTATAAAATTACTAATACTAAAATTCCAAATTTATAAATGAATAAAAAAAATGGGTTTCTTCAATAGTTACTGTAATATTTAGGAGTTTTAATTCTAAATCCCCCTAAAATAATTTAGTACGCACCTGAGTCCCTTTTTTATCTTGTGTTAGCCCTATTATGTATGTTGTAAAACTTAATTGTCACTACAATACTACATCAAAATTTTCTTTTAATTTTTTACTTACGTAAATGTTTAGTTTCCCTTCAAGATTTTTGGTTCGTATATCTGTTAGGTTTTCGCATAATTGCAGTATTTTTGCGGGGTCGCTCACTTCAATTTTGGTCAAAGGGTTATCCTCAATATAAGTTACATTATCTTCGTCTGGAATATAATACGCTTTGCAGTATGTAGGCGTTTTATATAAATCGCTGTTTGCCATTTTTTATTCGCTAATAATTTAACAACAAATTTCAATCACGAAAAATTTAGATATGCCGCTGTGCTTAATTCAATTCATTTGATGTACAAGATTAGATAAGTAATGAATTTTATTATTGATAGTGTCATGGTGATACCACATAATCATTTACCAAATGGCTTAGTTTACTTAATCCTGAAATTATGGCTCCATTAAATTAATTAATCCATTAAACCTCATATCTAGTGCGCTTTTACAAACTCAAATATGGGACACAAAGCTCTTAATAGTTAACAAGCCTAATAAACGTTCGACACGCGATAGAACGAGTAGATATAAATAAATATACCATACACACTTGCACTTTTTCTATTATTGTTATTTGTTGTTATGCGCCTTTACTTTTTATTTAGTTAAATTTAAAAATAAATAGCAAGGAAGCGGAAGGTTCAAGATGCACGGAAGTGGTATGATATGTAATGTAGTGACTAGTGGGCCAATTGTCGGTTTTGTTTAAGCAATCGATTGCGAGTTTGCGTGTTGAGTTTTGATAATCAAATGTAAACAACGTTGATGTTGTTTTTACGATGTGTTTACCTAACATTTCCATCATTGTAAATAGAGATCAACTAATAAGTCTATGTACAAACCCTTAAAATTGATTAATGTGTTAATTAAAAACAAGTGGATGTACTTTTTAACTGTTTAACTATTAACTAGACTAATATCGTGCAGAGAAACATTAAATTTTATCTTGTAAATGGAATTCGGAATTTAATTTTGTAGAAGTTAATTTGACAGTCATTTTTCCGGAAAGAAGGGTAATTTAAATGACCACATTTAACGTTTTCAAAAAATTTCAATTCAATAGGTGAAAGTACATATAGCTAATGGATAACTGCATTTTCTTTGTTTAGAAAATTTTTATAGGTGTCTGATGTAGTTATTGTTGTAATAAAATTTTGAAATAAATCATTATGAACAGCAATTTTTTTTATTTAATTATACTAGATTATAATTTATAAACTTTATTTTACAATTTGCATATCAGTAAAATACTTAATTCGTTTTAAAAAAGGCCGACTTCCCTCCCCACATAATTTATATAATATATGGATAATATCTTTTAGACAAATTATTTTAGCGTTAACTGTGAAGGGCATTGAGGTAGGTAAAGGTACAGACAACGTTCATATCACAGATCAGTGGTTTTAAGTATATTCACTACTCTTTTGATGTTAGTCACAACCATAATCCTGAAGTGAAGTGGTAGTTCAAATTCTTCAAATGTATCAATGACAGTAGTTCAAATAAGTTACATCATTCATCCTTGTTTTTCCAATGAGTAAGTGTTCTGTGCAATGAACTTCATTGTGTTTTTCACAAATGTTTGATGTTTATGGTTTTTATAGGTTATAATGATCTCAATTTATGTATACAAATAAAATGATAAAGAGTATTAATAGCACAGTAATTGTACTGTGTAAATATATTGGGAAAAGAAATGTGCGGAAACATTATAACTATTCATCTTTAGTGCACCTTCCTATTAAAGAAAATAAACATGCTACATTCTTTCAACCTTTAATAAGATTAATAAGCAAAATAGCTGCTTCGAAAAAATTGCAAGAGTTGCTAAATGTTAATGCTTATAGAGCAAGTTGTATGGTATCTAATCATACCAATTTGACTAAATTATCTACAGAGGAGTTAGAGAAAAATTATCATTTTTGTTTGGAAAATGGGTTAAGCAAAGAGACACTACTGGCTTACCCAAATATTTTATCTGATACTGCATTAATTCCAAAAGTTCGTAATTTAAAACTTCTTCCGTACGATATAAATGTAAGTGCTCCATTACTATTAATTCCACTGAAGAGATTTATGGGTTTTCTAAATGAGGAACTGGCAGTGAAAAGAATCGAGGAATATAAAAATCTGTTTCAGGTAAAAACTTTTATTTTATCATTACTCAGGTCAATCAATGTTTTAAGGTTTTAGGTAGATGTAAGTGATGTATGTAAATGGATATCTACAAAATCTTTTTTAACATCAATTAATATCAATAATGTAAAAGAAAATGTACACATTTTATTAGGTAAGTTTTCTTAATTTATGATGTAGTCTCTTGAAAAAAATATACATATATAGTATCAGAAATATCTCAAGTCCATTCACTTTATTGTTTAAATGTAAAATGGATGAAACACGTTGTAGATTAATTAGATCTTTTCCTATGCATCAAAAGTCTAGCACTGAGCTACACCACTTCTGAAAATATCGTTCCATTTATACAATTTATTTATTATTTATTTATAAAGTACGTGTTCGTGTAAACTCACCTTAATAAAGTTTATGCTGCTAAACAACAACAAATCACAACTGAAATAAGACACCCACAAACTGTAACTAAAAATGCGATGCTCTTTTGTCAGAGGACTTGGGGTATTTCTATTACTTTATATCCCTATAAACTAAAATACACTATTTTCTTTTAAATTATATAAAAATAACCTCAAATACTTACAATTTAGGAGTACAACATTAATTGAATGTTATGTTAAAAAGTTTATGCATAGAGATTTGACGCTCGATTTCACATTAAAATATTGATATTTATAGATGCTGGTGTCACGCTACAAGCCATAATCAATGATCTTTGGGTGTTAAGATATAGCCCAGGTGTCATTGACGATAGAATTAAATTAGCAAAACAAAATAATATTGAAGTTATTAAAACTTGGATGGTGCGAGCTCAAAAAGAAATATTTGATAAGTAAGTAAACAACTAGAATATATATTTAACTTAAGTATAAGTATTTTAAATGTGCCACCTGTCCTTTTTTGAAGCAAAATATCCTTGTGACTTTTTAATGCTTAAAATGTCCTTTTTTACGGCAAATGTCTTTTTTTACAGTACATATCTTTGAAAGGGGCATGGTTTGTACAAAAATATATAAGCAGAGGACCTTTTTTTTAAGAAGTTCAGGAGAAGGATGAAGGCTTTTTGTATACCAGAGCCCCTGTCAGCATCGTAGTCCTTTATTCACTTTTCAAAAAATCTGATATGTCCAACACATGACTTTTCTATCTAGTTATTACAGGCTTTTTCCGTTTATTTTGTACAACCTATTGCAGCACCTCTATAAATGTTTAGAGGATAAACTAAATATATACATTTTACACATACATCTACCTCGAAACATTTTTCTATAAATATTCATTGAAAACGAAAATACTGAAAAATTTAAATTTAGCACTTTTCCTACAATTTTTCCATTACGATCCATTTTAGAAAAATCATGTATAAACAAAAATTATAGAGATCGATATCGCAAACAACATTTAGTTCAACAATTTTCATAAAAATCAGAATTTTGCACATTTTGTCAAATTTCTCGAATACGGACCATTTCAGGAAATTTTTACATAAAACAAAAATTATAGATAATAATATTAGAAGTAACTTTTATTTGAACAATTTTTTTCTCTAAACATAAATAACATATATTCCATAAAATATAAAAACGGCCTCCCATAAAGTACCCCCCCAGATGTTCCGACTTTGTCCAAAATCTAATCATTTCACGTCAGGCCGAAATAAAACTTAAGTTTAAAATTTAATGTTTTTTTCTTTATACGTTTTTGAGTTTTCTTCAAATTTCGAAATTTACACATTTTCTCAAATATCTCGAATACGGTCCATTTTAGAGAAATTATGTATAGGATAAAAATTATAGAGAATTATATTAAATATTTTTTTACATTTTGTCAAATTTCTCGAATACGGACCATTTTAGGAAAATTTTGTATAGAACAAAAATTATAGATAATAATATAAGAAGTAACTTTTATTTGACGAATTTTCTTCCCCAAACTTAAATAACATATATTCCATAAAATATAAAAATTACCACCTATAAAGTACCCCCCCAGATGTTCCGACTCTGCCCAAAATCTAATCAGCTCATTGGACGCTGGAACAAAGGTTAAGTTTAAAATTTGGTGTTTTTCTGTGTATCGGTTCATGAGTTATGCGACACACAGACATCATCGCGAAAATAGTCAAAACGGATTCAGGAAAACTCAAAACGTAAAAATCCGTCGAAAACTCGAGGTCGAAAAAATCATGATTTCTATACTTTTCTTATATCTGTATACAGATAGGAAAGTAAAAAGTGACAACCCTATTTAAATGGTATCTCCCATTCCCTACAAACTTTATTTGCGTCATATCTGACGCATCGTAAGCAGTTTGTAATATATAATGGCTTCAAGTCTATTGAATATTTAGCAACTTCTGGTGTTCCACAGGATAGCAATCTAGGCCCTTAACTTTTTAACATTTTTATTAATGATTTTCTAGAAAAAAACGATGTCGAGTGCTTATTATATGCTGATGATTTAAAAATATATTGTGAGATAAATTTTAAGAGTGATTGTTACCGACTTTTTACAAATCTCAGTTACATTAAGGAATGGACGGAATGGTGCTCTATAAACAATCTTACACTGAATGCATCCAAGTGTAATGTGATTCTCTAGTGTATTCTCTTTAAAAAAAAATCTGTCATACTTTCTAATTATAAGCTCAATAATACCACTCTTTAATGGCCTCGAAACTTTTACTGACTTGGGTGGAACATTTGATGAAAATCTCATTCGTGCTTCACTTATATAGATAAAAGAAGCAACAGATTTCATTACGTATCATTTGTTTGGTCCCAATTATTGGAAAAGAGAAAGAAGATATTTTATGCGAACTGAAAGAACACAGACTGTAATCCTATATATCTTGTCTGACAACGCTGCTGGTACACACAACTAAAAGACTGTCAATACCAGTGGCTTATCTTATTAAAGATAAAATCATAACTCCTCGATTTTTGTGCGAAAAAGATTAGTAATTTGCAATAAATAGGTACTAATTTTGTGTAAGTTAAATATAAAAAATAAATCATGAAATACTAACCTATATGGTGTGCAATAAACTTTATAATGGTTTAAACTTTAAAACCTATTTGATTTGGAATAAGAATATGCAGTTGAGTGGAATGTACCTAAGTAAAAAAACTTAAAAACACTATTTATTTTTTTCCAAGAATAATGCAATATTTATTACATATAAAGATGTGAAACAAAATAAAATTCAATAAATAAAATAAAAACAAGATAATTAAATCAAGATTTATTTTGAACAAATTTACGAATCCAATTTTGGAGTTTTACAAATTGGTAATAATGAGAGATTTTTATATCAAAATTCAGATTTTTAAGACTAATAAATTTATAAAATTTAATAACTCAAAAAAATGTAGTATATATACAAGGCTTGGATTTTAAATGGAACGCTACTCATAGCGGATCTGCCGATAAGAATTTTGGAAAATCCGTAAACACTTAGAACTATACAACAATAAACTTACGTTAGTGCTAGGAGTTAAAACGTTTTTATTTAAAAAAGAAAATATTCGTTTCTAACAATACCACTTTTGTATTTATACTTCTTATTCTATTTTTTCGTGAAATATCCAACTTTTTTGTGGTCTCATAATGAATGGGAACATTGAAATGTTTTTAATATCAGTTTTATCAAATCTAGTGCCTCATATCAACATTGTAGCAAGAGCTAGCCTATGTATGGATATTTTTAAAGAAATATTAGGGATTTCAAGAACATACAAACCTTAAAACCATATATTATGCGTAGGTACGTCAGATCCAATCTTGAATATGCTTTAGGAGTTTAAATTGAATTCCATGTAAACTTATTACTTTGTAAGAAATGAAACTAGAGGTAGAAGTCTTGAAGAATGTATTAAATAATAATAATAATAATTGTCATTTATTGAACTGAAAATTCAGTCCAATAGGCTATCGACCGAAGTCCTTCTGCCTAAGAATGTATTACTTTTTTAATCAAATTAATTGTAGGGGGTGGGTGGCTCAGTGGTAGAGTGTCTGTCTGCGGAATCCAAGGGTCCTGGGTTCGAATCCCACTTGGCCAGAATTTTTTCATTTAATTATTTAAAATTAATTGTGATGTCTTGGTAGGATTCCCCACTCGACCATTCACTGTTGGGTTCTAATTAACAGTGCTGTTCCCAAAGTGGCGCTGGGAAACAGTAGCAAAGCCTACACCGAACACTAGGCGAAATAACCTAAGTAGTTGAAGCCAATGACACAAAAAAAACTAATTACCGTATTTTTTGATCACACCTCGTTCATATAATAATCTATCTTTTATTTAAAAAAAGTAAAGCTTTTACTGTATAACAAGTATTAAATGTTTTGATTGTATCCTGTTTGTTTTTAGTTATGTTAGGCGAAGATCGGACACTAAAGAAATCTTAGGCGATAAACATGACCTGGTTGAATACCTCTCAGAAAAACTAGAGTGTTCTTTGGAAGTTTCAAAGTTTTTAATTTCTAAACAGCCTGCTCTTCAAAAGAAGAGTTTGAGGAAAATGAGTGGGATGATTGATTTTTTGCTACTATATGGATTCAAACCGATTCAAATCTGCAGGTCTCCTAAAATTATGTTGCATAGTGTGGAAACTATAAGAAAAAGACTGAGAGAGTTGGAAACGAGTAATATACAGTTGGATTCGTTACATATTCTGACAAAAAGTCAGCGACAGTACATGTCTTTTATTGATTCTATGAAGGCAAATAAAGGCAAGATGAAAAATTATTGTTTTTTTTTATTGTAATAAAAATAAACGATATTTAATTTCCACTAATAGGAACATGTAAACACCCACTATGAAAATTCTCTGACTTTCCCTAACTTTCCATGAATTCCCAGACATTCCATGATTTTTTTAGAAAGTGGTCACCCTGAATGAATATTGAGATACATCAAAATATTCTACTAATAAAAACATGGTTATAATGAAACAACTAACTTTAATTAAACTTTTAATGATTCGGTACTTTTATTTGCACATTATTGCTTTGAGTATTGAAATAAACAAACAGAACTACAGCTGATAATCTAGCTTGCAGATTTTGTTGGCTAAGTCCATGTGCCCATTCCACTCTACCCCAGTGCCCAGCTTGATATTCTTCCTCCAATCTAGACAACAAAACTGCTTTTTCTGGTGTTATGAACCTCTCAATACATGCCATCGTCAAAATCACTGATTTTAGAGTGTCAACGCCATACATAAAACCTAAAATATGTTAATTATAGTTGAATCCAGAAACTAATAGCCAGTATGAAGAATACTGATAAGAGTTGCCATAGGCAATAAACAATATAGAATTCACCCAGATATAAGAGTATGTAGAGGTCATGATGCACCAATGACTTATTTGCATTTTTGTTAAACGTTACCATGGTATGTTGTACTAAATTACAGGTTTGTTAATTGTTGGGTATTGGTATGTTACTCAAGTAAATTGTTGGGTAATGGTATGTTACTCAAGTAAGTAGTTAGTACATATTGTAGTTACACCACTGGCTTATCTCAAGCAACTCTACCCAAGGAAAAAGCTGACTACCCAAAAATGTCCTGTCCATAACCTCTGAAAATCTTGTGGAATTTTAGCAAAATAATGATGACGGCATTTTTCATACTTTCCATTATTGCCTATTATATTTGGATTCAACAATGCATAGAACTTTTTTTAATAAAAATGGTTCAGGGTATATATTATATAATTCTAATTGCTAACCTGTTACAGCTGCAAAGTTATATGACATTAAATGTTTGGTTAATTGTACTTTATCTTTATCACTAACTGGAGGAACATCCATTTGTACACATTTTGTTAAATGGAAATTAAATCTTCCATTAAACCAATCAATAATAGGATCCCATTCTTGAATTTGTAGTTTAAAAAGCTCTTCTTCTTCCTACAAAAATGTTACACCAATTAAGGTAACAGAAGATACCCTGGCTGAAACTGCAAAGATACCATCATGCCAGATGTGGTGAAAGATGCCACCTTTTCGTTGAAATAATTGAATAATCGGTAACAAAAAATATTCTTCACTACTTACATTAGCTTGATATAAAATTGTATCAGTATCTAGGTGATTGGCAATATAATTTACAATATCATATTTAGTTAAGTTATTCGGATTATCCAATGCTGTATTGCATAAAGTGGTCTAAAAAAATAACAAAAGTTGTTGATTTTATTACCATTGGTTAATTTCTAACTCACAAGATGCATTTTGCTTTGAATAATTTTATCTTTTTGCGAGTTCCATTCATTAGCTACAGCCAAAGCAAGTGGTTCGCTCTCTACTGTAAATAAGTTGCCTTTAGGGGTCTTTAACTTCCTTTGGTCTAAAGTAATTTCAAATTTACCATCAGCTCTTAATATGCCCGTGTCTTTGTAAAATCGTTTCGGCGGAGCAGCTAAAAATACAAGAGCTTTATAACAAATATTAAAATATAGACAAAAGCATTTACCGTAATATCTGACTGATAAGTTCCATTTTTGAACATTTACGATGAGTAAAGCTTCTGAAGAAATTAATTTAAAAAATTGAAAACCTTTATTTAAACAATAATTCATATTGTTCGAAACGAGTGAGTTCCAACCTCAATTTTCAAATTAATTAACCTTTAAATCCTTTGTTGCATTTTAACTACTTAAAGAGACAAATAAACTACAGTAACCAACTTTCTTAATAGTTCAAGACCATATGACAGCTGTGATACAGAACCGGTCTTTAATAATTTTACTTTTTCGTAATATAATCAAATATCTAACGATGGGTTTGTTTTGGTTTAAACTAAAGAAGTGGAGAGGGGTAGAATGAAAAGGTATAGATACTATGCACAATTTCGTTTTGAACATTGTGTAAACAAGATTCAGGGACGATTTAAGAACATTTTGTGCAATAATAGATACACGAGACGTTTAAGTCTCAAAGTATATTCCGTCTTTTGCGCAAGCGCCACTAGATGTAAAATGCGCCTTCCATTCAATCAAATCATCGAAGTATGTGTTCAAATCACATTGGGGATGTGTTGCACTAATGCGGCCTGATGTCTTAACAGCTGAACTACTAATTCTAATAAAATGTACATACACATTTAAAAAATTGAAAATACCTTATTCGTTTCTTTACCTACAAAATAATATATAAAAGCTTATAACAGCAATTCCTATCGTATTTATTATATTTCTACTTTTGAAATCTTAAATTAAAATTTGACATCAGTACATACTCGATCATATCTAAGATCAACAATAACTAAACTAGATAATAACTAGGCCTCAACAAAGATGAAAGAAGGATTACTTTAAACTAACAACAATAAATAATATTGCAAAATTATTAGTTATAAATAAAATACAATTATATTTGTTCGTAAATATATGTCATGCTCTGTGAACATTAATATAATAACCTGTGAAATGATTGACCAATCATCTGATGGCCAGATCTTGAAGTTGGATACATGTTAAAATATACTTATCTAGCTCTTATTGCCGCGTTTGGGAATCCACATCGGATGCATCCGAGATGTAGTAAATCTTTGATCACGTGATTCAGTATACGTAAATGTAATGGGACAGAAAAATTAGACTCACAAAGCGTCGTATTATAAGCGAAAGTACGGCAAGTCACTAGAAATTCATGTCTTTAAAAGCAGTTTTTTGCTTAAAAATAGATTGGAAGATATCGGAAATCTCTGCAGCATTCTCGTTTGTCTATCGATCTATATATTTCTTGGTGACTTCCATTTCCGTGGTACTTGGCAAATTGAATGTCCAGTGGTTGACATTTTTTAATTTCTAATTTTTCTCCGGACACATTGCTTCAATAAAATAATTGTTGTTGTTAAATCTAGAACACTGGAACGCGACTCATTGTTGTTTGCATTTTTCATTAATAAAGGCCGTTTAGGGCAATTTTTTAGGGGGGGGGGGCTCAGACAAGCTTAAGGGGAGGCTCAGCCCCCCTGGCGCCCCCTCGCTACGGGCCTGTATTGAGTTGAACGAGTGTAATTCACTGATACTGAATTAGTTCGTGAAAGTACCGAAACAAGCCTTATTTTAATAATAATAATACTGGGGGGGTGGGTGGCAGAGTCTCTGCCTGTGGATCCAAGGGTCCCAGGTTCGAATCCCACCGTTGGCAGGTATTTTTTTATTTAATTTAATTATTTAAAATTAATTCTGATGCCTTGGTAGGATTCCCCACTCGACCATTCACTGTTGGGTTCTAATTAACAGTGCTGTTCCTGAAGTGGCGCTGGGAAACAGTAACAAAGCCTACACAGAACACGAGGCTAATGACCTTAGCAGTCGATGCTGATGACACCAAATAAAAAAAAAATAATAATACTCAGAAATAGCCATTATTTGCCAATGGTTGAATACTGTTATTTTAAGAATAACTATTGATTAGTTTTATTAACGAGTTTCTAGTACCCTTTAAGTGCACAATTTCATATTCCGACACCTACAACTGATTTGATGTATAGCAGGGACAGAAGTTGGAAACAGTGGCGTGCCGAAAGAGCCTGCAATGAGGGGGGGGTGGTGCTCAGCCTCGACTACTTCGGGCAAGCTTTTTATATAGTAATAACTATACTTATACTTAATTTTATAGTAGCGGAATATGTCTATACCTCATAATTTCCCAAAAAAATAGATGGAATCTGGTACGTTAATGACGCTATGAATTTTATTAATTAGAATTGTTATTCTTCAAAAGTTGAAAGAAACAAAAAATTCCATCTATAAACCGATTTCAAATATCACCATAGTAGTTTCGTTGTCACCCAGTATAGGCAGTATATTAATTTTTTTGAAGTAGAGGGGGGGCCCTTGAAAAAAATTGCGGGGAGGCTCCCGAAGACCTTGGCACGCCACTGGTTGTAAAGGCTTTTGCCAGTTCTCTCACTTAATACACATAAATTGACAGGTTTGCGGAGGATCTAACTGAAGTGGATACGATACATTGGCGTTCAAAATTATGTTATAGATGTTAATACCAATTTCGAGTAGTTTAATAAATTGTAAATAGCTGTTGAAATTTTGTAGAATTAGGATATTATAATACATGTATAATAATTATTTATAGTCCATAAATATATGTGATTGTCCGGTTCCGCAGGTAACAATTACTTATTCTATGAAACGACACTGGCAGGTAAACATTACCACAACATTACTGCGAAATTCTCGAAGCCGTCCGCCGTGGTTTGGCGTTTACCCCCTCTCTACCTACCAAAAGCCTTTCCAACTTCTGCCCCTATATATAGCTACTTTTGATCCCATTTACTGGATAAAATTAATAATGTAATAGATGTTCTGTAAAAATTTAGGACTAAGATTGCAAAAAAAAGAAACAACTGTGTCATTCAACATATATTGACAATTATTATAATATATGAGAGAAACTATCATATACAAATCTAATTTCAACAAAAAAGAAAACAGCCTTGTAAAAATAATATTTTTAAATGTAAGCCTAAACTACAATAAAAATTATAAATTATTATCTGATATAAGTGCCTAAGACAAGCGTAAAAGGACTATCTATTTTTAAGTAAATTTACGATAATTCTCATCTGACTGGGTAATGCCGAGATTGTGTCTTTATTCAAAGTCTCTAGAGTTTCTTCGAATAATAATATCAATGATGCAGCATCAGCTGGACCAGTCTATAACAAAAAGCAAGAGATAAGATGCCATCTGTCAAATGTTTGGGTTTCTCAACTTGAAAGCAAAATGTATACCTGTTGATTAAGTAGAGTACTAAAGAACATATTCCACAAATCTACTTTGAGATACCTAGGAAACCTTTGTTGAATTGACCATACATTTTCCTTTTTTTGTAATTTAATATACGTATCAAAAAGCAATACGTGAGCTGTGGCAGCTATGCAAAACATGTCTGTATGGTAGTTCCAAGGTCGCTCGTCCAACATTTCACAACAAATAAAGTCTTCAGTCGTAACGCGCCTCCTAAAATTCAAAGTAAAACATGATTATCAAAAAACAAAAAGGAAACTCTCGTCAGTTTAGCATATTTTTTTACTGATTTACTACAGTTGCAAAAACTAAAAAAACAAAAGAAAAAAATACGTGTGGCACTGTGGGACTGCCGCGGTAAAGCTATTGCATAGCATTTTTTATCAACTTAAGCAATTATAATTATTTATTTTATTTATGCAGTATTTTTTTTCTTTGATATTAATTCAAGTTTTTTCTTTGATATTAATTCAAGCTACACTTTTTGAGCGTGGTGACCGATAAGAAAACATTTTTTTTTCTTTTATTGAATAAATGAGAAGTTAATATTGTTTAAAATATTTTTATTATCTTACAATACATGTAGGTTATTCAGGAATTTTTATCATTGAAACTATAGGTTTATGGTAACTGAAATAAGAAACATAAATTTGAGACTTGATATCCTCTAAATATCTGGAAAATACCGCGTCAATGGTGGTCCCATATTTTGTTGTGGATTCTTGTGGATCATTATTCATTTTCTAATTCAATTTTTCCGAAATTGTGTCTAAAAGAGATAGAATCAGTTATGGCCAGTTAGCAGCACCGTGCCGAAATCTGCCGAACTAAAACGACGTTAGACGATGCACGGCTTTCAAAGCCGCACCGCTGTGCCGGTCGGAGTGGAAGGTGTTAGGTTTATTTTCGTTACGGAATTTCTTTTTCGATTTCTCGATTTTCTTTTATTGAATAAATGAGAAGTTAATATTGTTTAACGCCGCACCGCTGTGCCGGTCGGAGTGGGGGGTGTTGTTTTTTCGTTACGGTTTCGTTTTTTTTTTTATTCGGTCGCCGCGCTCAAAGCCCGCGATAAAAGCTATGCAATAGCTTAAAAATGTTTTGTTACCTGAAAGAAGCATTACGAGGGAACAATGACATATCGATGCTGCAACCAAAGTCTATAAGTTGCAGGCCTACAGTGTTTTCGGGGGTAATGAAAACGAGGAAGTTGTCGGGTTTAATATCGGCATGAATAATGTGCACCTGGTGCATAGCTTGAACTATTTGAAGCATTTGGATGCAGAAGTATACTACTAAACATTCTTTCATGGTTTTTCCTAGTTTCTGTTTGTGTACGTTGGCTAAATCAAGTAGAGATCCTCCGGGCATGTATGTTGAAATTATTAACGACGCTTGATCACCTTAAAGTAAAACGAAATAAGTGTACATTTGGTTCAGTAACGACACGTTAGTGGACATTTATACAGTATGATGCAAATAAAAGAAATCGATATTTTTAAATAGAAATGTGGTTCATGAGGTACATCATTCGAAAGGTCTTCTAATTATCTATTCAACCATATCAATAATTTTAAGTAACTGAGGTTTGTAAACTTTCAAAAAAATATTTATAAAATTACAGCAGATAACTTTCAAGTATTAATTTTCGACCGTAAATACCCAAAAGTAAATTTAGTCACTGGAAGGAAAAGTTTCTAGCTCGATTTAAAAAAAAAAGTAGTTCTTATCAAGATTGCTACGTTCAAATTAAATTTTATTTTATTTATTTACGGAAAATCTCTCCACAGAGGTCCAGGAAACAACAAAGGTTAGTAGCGGTAGAACGCCCCTGATAAAAACCATGCTGAAAGGGGGAGATATAAGATTTGAAGGAAGCAACTATTTCATCAGTAAGAATTGATTCAAATAATTTAGGAATTGTGGATATAATAGATATACCCCTATATTTTTTTATATTACATTATTATTGCGAAATTTTGATGAAAAAACAAAAATAAGAGATCCATTTTTTTAAATAGTTTTTTTTTTTTTGGATGAAGCTACATTTCTTCTATTGTCGGTATTGGGCTACGGAAAATCAACACTGGTTGCAGGAGTACCATACTCAATTGAAATATGGGCAGGATAATAGGACCATACTTTTTCAATCAAACCCTAACAGGTTTTCGAAATTTAAAATTTCTGCAAAGTTGTTGCACATAAACAGAAATGATTTTTTAGTGCAGAAAGATAGTTCTCCCCGCCCCACTATGCTGTCTTGGTGAGAAACTACTTGCATGTTTTAAAAGGGATGTCACGAAATAATGAAATTAGTCCTTTCATTTGCACCATACTGTATATTAAAATAAGTCTAAATATATTTGATAAATTGCATACTTACCAAAATAAGCCAATGGTACGTCCATAAACCTATCCCTTAAAGGGTGATTTGCCAGCCTAGATTGCAACTCCCTGCATATATAATATTCCCATTTATTTGCCGGTTTTTGAAATTTCATTGCTACTGTCATATTACATCCTACATCTATCGCTTTGTATACAGTACCAAATGTACCCTTTCCTAATTGTTTATCAACTACATACCTCTCGCGCCCTAAAAAGATAGTCTTAGAAAATCCATTCTGTCATGTATCTAATTATTGTTAACAAAGATAATACACTCCTGCAAATAATGTTTTCTATAAGATTATTTATAATAAAAATTTTGTAATTTGTTTTTCCTAGTTTTAAATTGAACTTCATGAGACCGTAAAAGATACAAACATATCAGAAATAAAGCATAAATATCACTATGCTGTGACAAAAACCAATTAGTTACTATTTGCAAATTTTGGAAATGTGAAAATATAATTCGCAATTCACACTACGAAATTAAGAAATGTCTCACCACATCTCCAAAGTGAAAACAAAGTAAAGAAATATAAAAAAATCTGAAAAAAAAAATAAGTATATCCGTCAGGGAACTAAACTAGAACCTCGGACTCGAGCCGTCGCGCGTCGGCGCCTCTACCTATTGGGCATCCAAGACAAATTGTTAGAAATGCCGACAGCTTAAGTCAGAGGTTTCAGGTTCAATCCCTAACCAATGTACTCATTTTTTCTTTTCTTTATTTCCCAGCCATTTCAATTTTTCTTTGGTTTGTTTTTACTTTGGTGGTTATATTTTCAGATTTCCAAAAATTGCAATTTTCAATTTTCGGATCTAAACCGTTTTCATAATCTTTCTATTAGTTAGTATTTATGTAATGAGTAATACACAAAAAAAAATCAAAAGTAGACCATGACCAACAAAGAGAGAGATGTGAGTCATGTCTGTGATAACTAAATCTAATCTGACATTTAAAAACAGGAAAAATTAAAGGCGCCGACATGTGTGAATTTATCCAAGGTCAACTTTAGAAATATTTTTTTGTGGATCACTCTATATTTACATGGAACGAGTGCATTTTTCAATAAATATATTTTTATTCTAAAAACCTAACTAGATCTGGTCATGAAAGGAATGTTTTATTTTCAGGTTACCCTGTATAAATAACAGTTTTGAGAAAAATTGTATTACCGACACAAATAGGTTCCTTCTTGACACAAAGCCTAGGTATAAATTGTACCTCCGTGTATCCAAAGGTATGTGGTCCAGGAAAAGCTACCCTTTCCAGTAGCTGGCTGATCAACTGACTTTTGAAAGGATCAGAAGGCACAAAATCCAGAGGCTTAACAGTAGCAGGCGCCGGCATTTCTCTCATCTACGAAAACATACACTTACTTTTTGGCAACGTTATAGGATATGATTGTGCTTCAGTAGTAAAACTCTTTCAGTCCCTTGTTAAATGCTTAATGCATTAGCATTTGTGGGCCCAATAAACTTTGAACTGTCATATGTCTGAATGACATGAGTTTCAAATTTTGTAAAGTATAAAAAACTTATGGGATATTAGTTATTGAGAGATTTAACAAGCATTCTTCTAACAGGGTATTTGATTCATAATATCTAATTCCCCAAGAAACAAGACTAGCTCTGTCAATTCTATTAGTAATCAAACTCGCAGGCCCTACCCTTGATATGTTATTTATGAAGCAAATTTTTTAAAAATTTCAGTGTCCCTGTGTTTTTACGAAAATACATACGTTATACTGTTGAATAAAGTAAAAAAGCGCTAACAACGTTCCAAAATTTAGTGAAAGCAGACTGCAATGAATAAGTCTTACTTACAGATGATTCAAGCATGGTTGAATGAATTGTGCTGTTTTGATTTTCCCTTCCGGATTGAGTGGTTCCAATCAGATTGCCCAGGACTGATCTCAATTCTGCATTAGCCATCAGGTTCTGGGCCAAATTGCTGTTATGTTCTTCTGATATCATGCCGAGTTGGTTTGTCGTACCCGAACCAGATGAACTGGAAGAACTTCAATATTAATTAACAATTGTAATAATAACAAGATGAATTAAAAAAAAAGGAAATTCCTACCTTGATATAAATATATTTACTATTTTCTACAAGTGTTTAATATAAGCTAATTTACCCAAACAAGCTCTTCTCTTCTTCAATTATGCTCAAAATTTTGTGATCCCTAACTGGAATCATTTTCTGATCTCTAACTGGAATCATATTCTGATCCCTAACTGGAATCATATTCTGATCACTAACTGAAACCATTTTCTGGGGTGTACTGGCTTGCATCGTGTTCAAACTGAAGAAAGCATTGGTGTTGACAGTATCGTCCATAGAGCTGTTGTCACAAAACAGGGACACCCTCTTAGCACTGTCAGTGGCCTGGGCGGTAACTGCTACGTCCATGCCCCCCCGAGATCCTGTTTCGGCTAATTCGTCAGCATTCAGTGACTTGAAGGCAGTTTTCATAGCACTACCTGAATTGAAATGAAAAAATTGTGTTACACCAACTTTAATAAAATATATCATTAAACACCTGTTATTTTTTTTACCTTTGGGTTGATTTTGTTCCAGTATCTGTTCGAATATGTTAAAAGATGGCCCCGCCTTATTTGCTGGCGACTGCCATATATTGAAGTTAGCCTTAGGTACGCCCCAACTCACAACGTCATCAGATGTCATTTCAAATAATCTACAATCCTGATCTTGCATGGGAGAAGATTGGGTTTCCATTGGTGAGTGTTGAGTTTGCATAGGCGATACCGTTGCTAAATGTTGAGTTTGCATAGGTGATACCGTCGCTAAATTCTGAGTTTGCATAGGAGATAGCGTCGCTAAATGCTGAACTTGCATGGGCGCTACTTGCTGCTGTATAGGTGAAGTATGCTGTCGCTGTGATAAATGTTGTTGGGCTTGCATAGGCGATTCTTGATGCTGTGTTGGTGTATGCTGTGTTGGTGTATGCTGTTGACTTTGCATCGGTACAGCCAGATGTCGCACCGGTTGCTGGGGTTGCATCGGCGAAACATATTGTCTCGATGGTAAATGTTGTTGGACGTGCATTGGTGATGATTTAAACTGTAAAGGCGTTTTCAACAACGGCGACCGTTTTAATGAGCGACAGAGAGAATCATTCTGAGCCTAAAACGGAATCAAATCAAAACAATTAGAAATAAAAACCATTGTCTTTTTCTTTACCTGAGACGTGGTTTCTTGAACAAATTCAACTTCTTCATCATCATCAATCAGAATAGGTTGTTGACTAGTTTTCTTTAGATACCGCCTAGCCCTAATTTCTTCAATACAAAATTCTGTATTGAGCTCAGCATATACTAGTTGTTTTGGATACATCGGTCTCTCTGCCGGATTTGGCGGATCGGGATAACTAACAGCGACATGCCAGTCTGTGTAATCCTCAAGAGTTGTTTTTGGGTAGTTTTTCGGTAAACGTAAGCCTCGTTGAGGTTCCTCAGTGTCTTCGTGAACTGTATACAATAATATCAATGAATTCATAAAATAAATTGTTAAATGAAGGGTTTGGTGTAAATACCGGTCAATTTTACATAATTATGAAATATGGACGAGGTAAGTTCGAGTCTCAACTAACTTCAGTCAAAGTTTCTTTTTTAAATTGGTAGAATAAAGGTGTTTTTGAATATTTTTGAAATGTACCGATTTTTCAGAAAATTTAATAAAAAGTTGAGCAACATCGTTTAAAAACAATAACATTTTTATCAAATTTTATAATTTCTTTAACATTCAACACCACGATCTTTCCCCCTGTTGTCTTTTACTCTCTCTAAAATAATGAATTCATACGATATATTTGTTCCTATGATGCACAGAGCAGTCACTTTCTGTTATGGTTTATAGTTGACGTCAAGATCCCTATACCTATACCATCGGCAAGGGGGGAAGATAGATTCTGACTTACAATCACAAAAAGAACGTACAACTAAGCTTAGTCGATGTAAGTTAGCTCAGATTAGTGGTAAAAAGAAAGCGACTAATGTATTAACTACAAACCTAAAAATCCAGCCACTTTTCCCGCACCGCTGCCAATCACACGTTTCTTCACCGGGACAGTACCCGTCCAAGGTCCGGCCTTCAAAGTGTTTTCCTTGGGCACCTCTTGTCGCTTCGCGGCGGCAATAATACTGATGGGTGGAGCATCGACGACGGCTGCCGCCGTCTCTCCTGGTCGATCTTCATGTACGTATACAGAAGCGTTAGATCTAGATGATGAGCTCGAGCTGTTTGAAGGAACTGTAACTACGCCATTGCTGCTAGGAACGCGCACACTTGATACTTTTCCCGGTTTGTAAGTGTGCAAGGCGGTGAGCGCTTGACGCTTTTCTATTAATCGACATTCGTCAGGGCCGTATATCAACTGCGAAAAAACATTGTGAAGGTAACCAAATTTTCTATAAGCATATTTTGTCATCATATCAATACACTTGAGGAGACGGATATTCACCCGTGCGCTTGAGTCATCAAGATATTTATAAAACTATCTGCCTTTTAAGCAGTGAAGCATGTAACTTCGACAACCGATTACACTCTCGGTCCACTGAAAAGAGATAGATGTATAAAGAACAGTCTTTACTCGAGATCACATACTTTGATTACTATACAGTGCAAGAGAGAGGTCCGACACGCCCAACATAAGGCGCGGCCATTTTGATTCCTATGCCACAGTTTATAGCTAAAGAATCAGATCGCTCACTCTGCGTCGGCACTTTTGATTTCAATGTTCCAGTTTATACACTGTGCAACTCGGATAATACAATATATGACAACCGCCTATTATAAAACAGCAGTCTTCTGCGTATCCTGAATTTGTATCCCTGGAGTGGATGTTATTTTGGAACTTTCAACTGGTCCGAGTGAGCTAACCGATCCTTTAGCAATACACTGTGACTCCAAAAATAATATTCATTGACACTGACAGCAGCAAGAAAAATATCAGGTGCGTTTTAATCATCCGCTTCTGCTTCCGGAATTGTCGGTTTAGTCGTTTTAACCTGTCAGATTAAAACAAGAAAACCGACAATTCCGAAGCAGAAGCGGATGATTAAAACGCACCTATTAAAAATATTTCGCCAAGATGTAGGCAACATGTAATAAGGGATCAAAATGGCGGAGTTTTCTATCTTCTCCGTATAGTTAAAGAAAATCAAAGTATGTGCTCGAGATACTTTCCATGTTAATTTTTTAAATTGATTGTCATAGTATTATCTGTCATTGGATGTCAGTTGGCTATTTGAATTTTTGAGTTAATTTTGTTTGCCTATATATTACATTTGTTACGTTAGAAACGTTGTGCAGACTTTATAAAAGCTACGTCCGTCCTATCCTAGAATACGTAAGACCCGTGTGGTATCCAGACCTTGTACGCGACCAACAAATGCTGGAATGTGTTCAACGCCGCGCCACCTGGATTACCTTTGGCCGCGTTAGCCCATCATACAAGGAAAGGTTAGAAATAGGAAATCTTATAACATTCCAACAAAGACGTCTTCGCGGTGACCTAATTTTGTCGTTTCGAATAATAAAAGATAACTTTGGCGACCTTAATCAAGACTCCCGACTTCGTGGACATTCGCTAAAACTACAGAAAGAAATACAAAATCATTGTGAATTATCAAATCAACAAGCAGGTGGGCATGGCGATCCAGTCTTAATAATTGATAGGCAACCCATGATGCATTATTATTCATAAATGTAAATAACTTTCGAGTTATTAACATTAACTGAAATATCAATAATTTTTAGTAAGATTAGCGATTTATATAATTTGCAGTCATAAAATTTATTGTTGTTGTTTCCTACCCTGAGTTCCAATTATACATCCGTAAATGTCATTTTGTTTTTGAGTTTGATAGTAATGGTAGGGAGTCAGTGACACTTACAAGTGTTATTTGTGAAAGGTAAAATTTTATTACATTTTTATCTTGTAGAACATGGCAATAGTTTCCTAGACAGCGATGAAGCCCTCGACGATGACGTTTTAAAAAAATCCTTTGTAGAAAATGCTGTTATGTAAGCGCAAACTTGAAACTTTCAGATATTAATTACATCAAAAGTTGGTAGAAAAGTTTGTTGAAATTCGGCTCACAGTAGGTACCTCCTCGATTGCTTCAGGCATTTCACCGCTAGATCGATTGCAACAAAGTATTTTCATCGTCTACAGGGAAAGAATTAACAATACATTTATAATTTAGCCTTCTGCAAATGTGTACTAAAAATGTTTCTTTGTTTGCTTTTAATGATCTTGTTCTCAGCAAACAGACCATTGATAATGTGCAATGCTCTAAATTCCTTGGCCTTTACATATAATACAATTATTTAAAGTTGGATGAACACATCTAGAAACTTAACAAACAATTAGCTTCAGGTTGTTTTGCAGTCTGGGTAGTTACTAAGGAACTGGTCACTTTGAAGTATGGAATTGTGTTTTGGGAAAATAGCTCGCAGTATCTTTGTATTCACTTTTTGTTCTTCATTATTAGCCACAGCAGTTATACAGATCACTACAAACCTATATTCATTGAACTCCAAATATTAACATTGACTAGCCTATTCATAATAGAGGCAGTGAGCTTAATTCATAATTTCATTATATCATCTCAGCCAAGACAATACTCGGCAAAACAATATTTTAATTCTTCCAATTTTTTCATTCCACTGTGATCAGAAATACAATTACATATTTATGAAAATCCAAAAATGTTTAATCGCATACCCAATTCTTTAAAAATGATTAGGTCTCAATCATTATTTAGAAGTATGATAAAAAAATTACTACTGGAAAAAGTTTACTATAACCTACACTCCTATAATGACAGTTTTGCAAGTTAGTAAAATTTTATATTATAATTTATTGTAGTGCCCCTCTTTTTCTTATATATTGCTTTTTTTTTGTTTTTTTAACATTTATAGATACTTATATTTATATTTTAATGCTTTAATCGAGTTGGTTTTCTCTGAAAATAAAGTATATTTTAATTGATTAGGTCGGCAGGATCATCTTGGGAGTTCAGTGGTTACTAAACCATTAATTATATCAAATAATAAAAGTTTAATTAGTGACTTATTGCAAAAATATTTTGAACCAAAACTATTGTAATATACGTTAGTATCTGATGTCCAAGAACGAACGTCAATAACTTTGCCGTGAAATTATCAAATTTAAATATTAGGAATATTCTCCATTCTCCGACAAAAAATGAACAAAAACCGCATAGAAATATATCTGATAGTCATTTCTAATAAATACAGTAGCCCTGGTGCTGGTAGTGAAATTAAACTAAACTTACGAGTACCTCAAATTGTAACAAGCTTGTCACTCCAAATGAACATAAAAAAAATCTTAAAAATCAAAATGTTGACACAATAACTTTTAAAAATGCCCCCCGTCCATCTGGGTTCAATGACCTATTTTAATCAAATATTATTTGAAACTTACCTACTTAAACATAGTAGTGGCATACTTCTACTTTATAATCGATTTTCAAAACTTAATAAGATCTTTTTTAAAAAGAAAAATATAGTTTTGTACATATGAGGAAAGCTCAAAAGAAGGGTAAGGGGAAAAAACCAAAGATGTCCATTTTATAGGAATTTTTAGGTAATCAACTTTTTATGTTGGTGATACCAAGTCCCAAACCCATGCTAAATTGTAAGCTAATAAAACAAACGAGATCCGAATAATAAGGCATAAAAAATAATCATAATGGTTAAAATGGTTGTCATCGCACTACTGGAAAAAACCGAAGTTGTCCAGGCTAAATACAACGATTTGCAAGTACTAAAACGATTTTGTCACTCAAATTTTAAAGAATTTTATGAAACATTGTTATACAGATGAAAATCTCTTTATTTTAGGTTAGTTTTAAAATGGAAATCACAAGTCGTCACGTTTACTTTTTTAACTTGAATATAATAATCTTATGTTTAAATTCTTTTTTAACAATTTAACTATATAGTAATAAATTACGTTAAAAATATTAACCTGCGGTTTTATTTCTATGATTGTAACATACAATTTGGTAATAATATTAATTATAAACTCAATTTTTTCAGCAAGTCAGTTTTGTGACATCATCTGTTTTTCCCCTTTTCCTTCAAATATTAAAGAGTTTTAATATATACATACATATATTTCATAAACACCATTTCAAGCAAAATAACACAAATACAAAGCAGAAAAAGAATAGTAAATGTATATAACAATATACTATTTAGATAGACGCAGCAGTACCCACGTCGTTTTTTAATTTCAAAACAAATATTGTTTTGATTAGTAACTTTCGACTTATTTCAGATGCATATTATTTATAATGCACTAATAATTCACCACCCCAAAGTTCCTTTTAAGTAACGCTTCTAATGATAAATAATAAACAACTCATTTAAATAAACTTTCGTTTTATACATACGTGCTGCCCAGCTGCCATTATCAAATTTTGATGTGCATGCATAAGATCTTCAAATGGCTGTGCACAGTTATTCTTTCCCTCCTCGAAAACTTTATTTGCAGCTTGAAAATCTCCCGCAGCTTCATGATAATACGCCCATGCTTTGTAGAAATCTGCACAGCCCGTACACAGTCCTTTGGCTTTCATCATGTGATACAGTTCAAAGGGATTTTGTTGTAAGTCGATCTAAACAAAAATCCGATGTAATGAAAAATAGACATATTTAAATATTTTGATCTCACATATTTGATCCATAATTTACAAAACCGCCTCTCGTTGATATATCTTTGATCGTTTTCAAATAAACTTAAGCAGTGTTCGAGGAGTGGAATTAGATTGCCCTCATGTCCATGTTTGGGATAGGTCTGTTCAATCCAACTGATGTACCTGTAATAATTGTCTAAAGGGTCTTCTCCTGTGTACGATTTGATTAGTGTTTCCCATTGTCTAAAAAAAAAAATAGAAAAACTGTATCGTAATGGTAGTTTTGATTTTTTAAAAAAACTCAAAAATCTTCCGGGTTTTACAAACATTAGTAATAGTAGTTGAAGAACTATTTAAAATAGGTAACCCTAATATACAAACAATATGACGTATACAATGTATAAGAGTCTAAAAATATAAAAGAAAGCGTTTATGAACATTTTTGATTATAGTATATTGTAATTAGAAGATTATAATTAAGTTTTAAATGAAATAATGTACACTAATTAGAATAATTAAAAAAATAATAATAAAAATTAAATATCCATTAAAAAAATACATACATTAAAAGAATTTACCTACAGAATCACAGAAGATAGTAATATAACAATTATCATTATTTTTTTACATAGTCTGCTAAATGGTGTTTAAAAATCCATAAAGATGAACTAGTTTTAATTGTATTTGGTAAATTGTTATAATTTGTAAATCCTTGTCATGCTACGATACAATGGGTCATGTCACCATGAAAATTGGTGAATGAGAAAGTAGTAGGACCTTCAAAAGTTGCAAAAAAAAACAAAGAAAAAAAAAACAAAGAAAAAAAAAAACAAAACCACAAAAAGGGTGAAAAAGTTAATAATAATTTGACATATCATAATATATAGATATTTAACTACTTTACAAATTACAAAATGTTTGTACTAAGTCAAAATGAACAAATTACAAAGTAGATACTTAAAATAGACAGGGTGTTAGTATATTCGACTGACAACCCTCTAATCCAGAGCTCTCGATAATTGATGAATTTTGATACAGGATACATGAACCCTTAAAGAGCTTAGTTACCGAGATACAGGGTGTTAAGTTTTAAATCAAAATTTAAAATTTGTCATAAACCAAAAACATCTTAAATATGTTTTTCTAATTTTGACATATAAAGTGACATTTTTTGTAATCGCAGCAAGTGTCAAAATGATCTACTTTTTGCAACCAGTTGCATAATGTTGAACATTATCAAACAAATAAAAATAAGCCTTCTTTGTAGTATACTCAATAATGTACATTATTATTGATAGTTTATATCAAAGAATGGCAGGTTCACTCATAAAATAGAATTTGATTAAACTTACAACCTAGTAATAATGTTGTTTTGATCCTTATTTTCCATTATAAATCAGCACAAAATAATTAAAACACAATACACCAAAACAACCAACTTTTTTTAAAACTAAATAACTTTTTATTTTATCAATAAAATTATGCATATGTAACTAACAATAAGTAGTAATATTGGTTGCCTAGATGTCAGTAATGTCTTACCAAATTTTATAAATTATATAGTCAAAATTTGAAAAAATATTGTATGTAACACATTACGAAATGCCATTTTATGTACTCGTTCATGTTGCGGGACCTCGCTCTGCTCGTCCCGCAAATATTCGCTCGTTACAAAAATGAGGCATTTCGTAACTGATTTCATAAATGGCTGGTTCCAAATATCATCTACCAAGATCTTGTTAAATACACATTAAACTATTAAAAATATGACACATGCTTACTAACTTAGAATTTACAAATATTGAGTCATTACAAATTATCTAAGTACATGCGAACTTTTATTTAAAACCAAATTTCTGCAACACCATTCATTTTAGCCTCCATAAAAGGTACCTACTTTTTTAACTAAAATGAACAGAATTTAAAAAATAAAATAATAAAAATGCTTTTCCAGTGGTGTAAAAGGTAGGGGGGGGGGGGGGATTTCCACTTTGATAGTGTACCTCTGGTTACATTTTTCAAAAGTTGGTTTATGTCAAAATATTACTTTCTTAAAGAGTATATTAGTCACCAAATTTGAAAACATATTTAAATGCGTTTTCACTTTATGGACAATTTTGAAGTTTGATTTCAAACTTATAACACCCTGTATCTCAGTAACTAAGCTATGGTCCTATATCAAAATTCATCAATTAACGAGAGCTCTCTGGGGTAGAGCGTTGTCGGTCGAATACCCTGTATACATTATAGCTGCACATAAACAAATTCGTAGATACAAATAAGGGAAAAAGTTTAAAAATGTAAAAATTCAATTTGAAGTAATTAAAAATGTATAGATTACACAAGCACATGTGATGTAATGTTTCAACTGGTAAATAAAAATTAACCTAGACAAAGGTAATAAATCTGTAACAGTATTTCTTGATCAGGAAAAAGCCTTTGACACAGTACCTCATGATACACTCTTAAATATTCTTGAACAATATGGAGTGAGGGGTATCGTGTTAAAAATTATCTACAAAAAAAAAACAAATGGTTAAAATGAAAGATATGCCAAGTGACCCAGAAGTAAAAATAGGCGCCCCAAGGAACCGTTATTGGACCAATCCTGTTCTTAGTATATATAAACTCTTTATTGAAAATACTTGTCAATGGAACAGTGATTTCATATGCCATGACACTGTTATAATTTTTAATGATCACACTTGGAAAGACGTAAAGATCAAAGCTCAACTAAGCATAAGTAGAGTTAAAAATTGATTAGATTTTCATAAAATTTCCATAAATGTTAGCAAAACTACTTTTAGAGCATTTTCAATAACAAATGTTAATCGACCAAATTTTAACCTACACATAAACAATAACTTTAAAATAAATGTCTGAAAAAACAAAATATTTAGATAGATAGATATTTATTGAAGTAGGATACACCTAATATACAAAAAAAATATTATAGAAATACAAATACAGTACACTTAAAACTTAAAGATAATTATTATTAACATTAACATAATCTGAGTTAAGAAAAATAAATTTGTTACACATTACAAAGATACTTTTAATCTTGAGTTTAGACAGCCTTAATTAACAATAAAATAAATAACAGTTGAAAGCATGAACCCAAATATTAAAAAAGAAGAATAAAAAAGTAAAATAAAAAAGTAATAATCAAATATATAAAAGTTAAAATCAAATTTTATCAGTTTTAATAAAAGTTGTCAATTATTTTTTAAAACTTGCTAATGAATTACAATCCTTCAAGCCCCTGGGCAGTTCATTATATTCTTGAAAACCTTAATACAATAACGATGCCTGTGATTTCGAATAATTAACTTTTTTAATGTATATATCATTAGTTGATCTTGTGCTGTAATTATGAATATCCCCATGATAACAAATAAATTGGTGAAAGTAGGATGGAGCCAAAGAATTATTTTATAAATAAATATAATTGTCAAGTAGTACAACCTATGCTGAATCAAAAACCATTGAAGAGAATTAAACATTGTGGCAATTGATGTGAGACGATGTTTTAATATTATGCGATGTTTTAATATTATGCGCATGCCTAGATTTTGTAGTTTTTGGAAGTTGATTTAACTTGTTGAGATTAAATAGGCATAATAATCGAATTGAGGCTGAATAATTGTATTATATACTGTTATTTTAGTTGAAGTTGACAAAATATTTGAAATTCTAGAGAAAAAATATAATTTTTTCAAATTTTTTTAATTAATATAATTAAAGAAATCATTAAAAGTAAGTAGATTATCTAATTGGATATCTAAATACTTAATAGTTGGGACTATTGCGATTTTTGACCATTTATTTGTAAATTAACATCACTGATATCAAGTAAGCTATATTTATGTTTAGTTGTAAAAATAAGTGCTTTTGTTTTAGTTACATTCAATTTCAATTTGTTAAGTTGAAAATGCTGGGCAACTTTCTCCAGTATTTTATTCATTTTCTCGATTGCACTCATTAAATTTATATCAGAGCATGTTAGCAGAGTGTCATCAGCAAAGAGATCAATGAATTCACAATCAACAAACAGTCTAATATCATTCAAATATAGTATAAAAAGCAGCGCCCCTGGGACACTTCCTTGCGGAACCCCTGTGTCAATGTTAATCTCGGGTGATATCTGATTGTTAAAATGTACTTTTTGTCTACGGCCTTGCAGATAATCATTCAGCCACTGGTATACTTTTCCACCTACACGATATTGTTGAATTTTCTTAAGTAAAATACCCCTATCAATGGTCTCAAATGCACGTTTCAGGTCTAAAAAAACAGCAACTACATATTTATTCTCATCCACATCATTTTTAAATTTACTCACCATTAACTGTAATGCAGACTCACAGGAATACTTTTTTCTGAACCCAGACTGGATAGTTATTAAAATAGAATTATTATTAACATGTATTATCTTTTGTAGTTGTTCATACACAACCAGCTCTAATACCTTTTCAATTGACGGGAGAGTATTTACAGTCCTAAATTCTTCCGATTTTATTGTATTATTAATTTTTTGAATTGGAACAATAGTACTAATTTTTAGTTGAGATGGAACTTTGCCAGTATCAAGTGAGGTATTAATTAAGTTTAAAATAATGAGCCCAATTGTTGCATACACTTCCTTTAGAACTTTAGAATATTAAATGCAGAATATTTATTATCCATAATACTTTCAACAAAATATTTGTTAAATTTAGTTGCTATTCGTTAAATTTAGTTGCTATGTCAACATTATCATAAAGGATAATATGGCCTGTCTGATCACTAAATTGAACATGGTCAGTCACATCATTTAATTTAATATTTACTAGTTTTTTGTTAGTTTTCCACATCTCTTTAAGATTTTCTTTGAAACAATCAATTTTATTAAAATAATAAGTAGATTTTTTTGATTTCAGCACATTAACTACCTTATTTCTACATTTTTTAAAATTTATTCCACATATTCAGCTTTTGATGTTCTGCACATGACTTGAAAGACTTATAAGAATTATCTCAGATTTTAATTTTATTGTAAACCTCATTATCAAACCATGGTACATTAGGGTTATACTTACATGTCTGAATAGGGGCAACCTTATTAATAACTCTTTCACAATTTGAATACAACTAATGATAAATTACTTCAACATCAATAGTATTAAGATTCCATTGTACATAATCAGATCATTTTGTATATTAAAAATGTTAGTTTCATTATAATTCCTACTTTTTTATAACTTTGTTTGAAGTATTGCTTGTAGGAAAAAATTACATGATACAACTCTTACAGCTCTCCTGTACAATGATGAAATCCTAAACAGAACACTCCACTTACACTTATGTTGTATTTTCATATTTAAAAAACCTCATTTAAGAACTACTGCTACACATCCCCCACAACACAAGAGCCAAGTCAAATAACCAAAACCAAGGTGTCACCAGTCAATGATTTATAACAGTTGCTCCCAAAATTTTTAATAAGCTACCGATAAACAGAAAAAAATGTAACCAAATTACATATATTTCGACTCAAAGCAAAACAATATGTTACTATTAACTTAAGATTCATTTAAGGAGATTTTGTATATTAACTGATACACCCCCACCCCACAAGATAACAATATTTTATTATCATCACTATTATTATATAATGTAGTTCTGTAAATTCATACTTTAGTTTGATATTTTTATAGGATAGTGTACACAGGTGGATACACCTAGGTGTTTATTTGTAGTTCTGTAAATTCATACTTTAGTTTGATATTTTTATAGGATAGTGTACACAGGTGGATACACCTAGGTGCTTATTTTTCAATCTTTTTTTAAAGTTTTATCAAGTGACTAACTGTCAAATATAAAATGTATATATAAAACATAAATAAAAATAAAATAATTATTCATTTAGGTATACACAAAGTAACTGCTTCAAAACAGGTCACAAATAAATAACTTTGTGATAAAGAACCCTTTTTTTCTATCTTCTTACTAAAAAAATAATAATTTATTAGGTGACTTGACCATGTTCAGGAATAAAAAGCCAAAAAATGAGTACACACTAAATTGAACCTGTAGAATCCAAATATGTAAAAATAAACAGGGTGCCCTAAATATTAAAAAATAGAAGTATAGGCATTTTTGACAAAACCAGAAGTTGGCCATATTGTAATTGTTCGGAATTTTTGCTTAACATAAAGGAAGTTTCAAACTACAAAATATTTTAACTTTGGTAAAGATATTAAGAAAAAACAAACTAATATTAAAAAAAGATCATTTGAAGAAATGCTACATAAAAAATAAAAAAAATTAAAGTTATTTATAAAACAAGACACAACTAAGTTCTTACTTTAGATAATTATAGATAAATTGTATTATTTTAATAAGTGTTAAGTAAATGTTTAGAAACAAAAACGTTCAATTTGTTCAAAAAGGAACTGAGGATGACCTCATTTAGGTCAAAAATATCGACATAAAATAAATGTCAGTTCAATTGCTCATTTTGGTCCATAATTAACCAAATTGACTTAGTGCGACAATATTCGTCTCATTGTTTCTTTTTTAACAACAGTTATTAGCTATGATTGTTGTGTGGTGAATATTTTTGATATACTAGGTATTGCTTATATCCTTTGAACGTTTATGTTACCAATACAATAAGATCAATGTAGCCTTATGAATACTAAACTTAGTAATTAGCAAATCCTGCACTATTGTTATTATTATTTCTATATCTGTCAAATACTTATAAAGTTGACCTGCTTTACCTCTGACAACCTGAATACATTTTTGTTTACTATACCTAGGTAATTGTTATAAATTTGTTAGTTTTAGTGTTATACCATTAACATTACAGAGTTATGTGTCACTGCCTATAGATGTTTTATTTTTTATTTTTGAAATATTATTTTTGGTTTTCAGTGAAGTTACTTGGATTCATTGATTGAACACCAATTATGCTTAAAAACCAACAAAGCTTTATCAGCTTACAAAACTTTAAAGGTGTTTATATTAAATTAGATTTTCAGTTAAAGTTAAAACAATCCCTAGTGATCGCCAGTGACATGCCAAACAAAAAAAAAACAACTTACTCTTTTTGTTGTAATAGTTCTAATTGTAATCCCCTGTTAGTTTGGGCCTGTAAACCCATGCCAAGTTGTTGCACATTTCTACCTCCGGCAAGAGGTAAAATGTTTTCTTTGCTCAATTCAAACTCCATGAATGATTGATGCTCAACTCAGCACAGAACTGTCAAAGTGGCCCAATAAAGTATATGGTCACTTCATAAAAAACAGTAATAGAAAGATGACGCTAGATTATCCGAAGAATAAAAGGACTAATTCAACGATTACAATTAATAAATTATATTAACGTGAAATACTATTAATTAATTTGATTGGAAAACTGATCTACACAGCTTTGCATACAACACAAATAACGACAAAAATTGACAGCATGACAAATGACAACTGAAAGATTACGTCACAGAAATACCAACCCTTTTTTTTACAGGTTCCATAAAACTAACTGAAAACGTTTAAAATATGGGGGAACAAAATTAACCAAACAAAAAGAAGAACTAACCGGAGGAACCGTGAGAGGAATACACGAATCGCACAACAGTTTTTATTTTTTATCAGCTAGCACCTTCCTTGAATGGGCAGCAAAAATAATATATAGGGTTGAAAAAGTTATCTACAAAAAAAAATTTTCAAATTTTACAATTGCTTTTGACCAGTTACGAAATGCCTTATTTTATGAAATGAGTTAATATTTGCGGGACTAGCAGAGCGATGTCTCGCAACATGAACGAGTTACATAAAACGGCATTTCTTATATAACGTGTTATACATACAATATTTTTCTAATTTTAACAAAAATATTTATAAAATTGTGTTTTGGTAAAACATCACAGACATCTAGGCAACCAATATTACCTTCTTGTATTGTTAGTTGCATACGCATCATTTTATTGATAAATAGAAAGATATATTAATTATGTATTCTCAACGATTTGAAGTGTGTTTATATCGTTGCCGTGTATTGAGTTTAATTATTTTGTGCTGATTTAAAATGGAAAATAAGGTTTAGAACAACGTTATTACTAGGCTGTAAGTTTAACTAAATTTTATGTTTATAAGGGCCGATTCCACCGTTGTGTTAAACGGAGATTAAAATGAGATTGTTAATGTAAAAATTTCATTTTAAACTTCGTTTAAGGCAACGGTGAAATTGGTCCTAAGTTAACATGCCCTTCTTTGATATAATCTTTCAATAATAATGTAAATTAGTGCTTTTAAAACAAAAAAGGTGTATTTTACTTGTTTTCTTTTAGCAATTGGTGACATAATGAATTTTTCAAAATCAGTTCAACATGATCTTTTCCTTTGCATCGAAAATGTAGCCAACACGTGTAGCACTCAATAAACTGGTGGGGTAGAAAGCCAATGTACATATTGTAACAATAGAACGAGATGCGACTCTTGGTGCGTTTGATCACAGAACGTTTGATTTGATCATCGGAGATCTCCGAGCGCTTCAAAAGTGTTTGAATTGACACTCCGAGAGATCCCTAAAGTGTTTGTTTCGCTTTGGAGCGAGAACATAGAGCGAGCTCGATGTTCTCTGGGGGGCTATTTTCAAACTCGAGAGAATTCATTTCTCTCAAGAGAAATGTCATACGTCAACGTAAAACCGTATTTTTAGGGCTCTTAGGGGCAGTGTAAACTCACTGACTGTTTCTCTCGGTTTATTTAGAGAGAATTAAAATCTTCCTAAGAATTTTAATCCTCGATGCCTTTAAAAACAACATTTCCACATTGACGTATGACATTTCTGATGAGAATCTTGAGAGAAATGAGTGCTCCCATACTTTGAAAATAGCCCCCCCGGGGTGCTATTTTCAAAGTCGAGAGAATTCATTTCTCTCGAGAGAAATGTCATACGTCAACGTAAAACAGTATTTTTAGGGTCCTAAGGGCCAGTGTAAACTCACTGATTGTTTCTCACTGTTTATTTAGAGATAATTAATATCCTCCTAAGAATTTTAATCCTCGAGGCCTTTAAAAACAGCGTTTCCACATTGACGTATGACATTTCTGATGAGAATCTTGAGAGAAATGAGTACTCACACGGTTTGACCTATTTTCAAACCGTGTGAGTACTCATTTCTCTCAAGATTCTCATCAGAAATGTCATACGTCAATGTGGAAACGCTGTTTTTAAAGGCCTCGAGGATTAAAATTCTTAGGAGGATATTAATTATCTCTAAATAAACCGAGAGAAACAGTCAGTGAGTTCACACTGGCCCTAAGAGCCCTAAAAATACGGTTTTACGTTGACGTATGACATTTCTCTTGATGGAAATGAATTCTCTCGAGTTTGAAAATAGCCCCCCAGGGGGGCTATTTTCAAAGTCGAGAGAATTCATTTCTCTCGAGAGAAATGTCATACGTCAACGTAAAACATTTCTCTCGAGAGAAATGAATTCTCTCGACTTTGAAAATAGCCCCCCTGAGCAGAAAGATCGAGAAGAGGGAGAAATTTGTCTTTGTCTCTACCTATCTCTTTTTAATAACTTACAAACAAATTTGAATCTCAAAATTAAAGACCAGACAAGAAGTCAACAAATTACTTAGCCGCGTTTGTCTTATAGCTAAAATTATTCATCATAAAAAAACACAAAATGTGTATTTGGAAAATACATTTTTTCTGTCCAGATCTAATCACCAGTAATCACAGTCATGGAGTATGAGAGCGAAGCGGGCATTTGTGGTAAATGCTGCATTTCAGGGCCATTACCCCTTATTATTAAAAGTTTTTCCATTTTCTTTACTTTTTGCTCACTATTTTAACATACAAAATAGAAACAAGAATCACAGAAAAGCGAGGTTATGTTTTTTACTGTTTTATTTGATTTGATTCAATGCTCTATTGTGACGTCATCATTTCTCGGTCTCCTCGACGCTCGCTCGATCGAGTTTCAAATCAAACGCCCCTTCTCTATGGGCCAGCCATTTTTATTTCTCATCTCACTCGAGAGTATCTCTAATAACCATTTTCTGTTTCACATTGTTATTGTTCAATCCACATGCTGGTGGATGAGACAAACAAAGTAAAATAGAAAATGGTTGTTATAAATACTCCCGAGTGAGATGAAAAATAACCTGTCTTTGCCGATAGAGTCGCATCTCAAACAAGCATTCTACCCCACTCCAGGGGCTCGATTCTCGAGATCATTGGAAAATTTTCCCATGAGAAAATATTCCACTACTTATAAGGTCTTTTCCTTTGCATCGAAAGTGTAGCACTCAGCTACACCACTTCTGAAAATATCGTTCCATTTATACAAATTGTATGGATGGAACGATATTTTCAGAAGTGGCGTAGCTCAGTGCTACACTTTCGATGCAAAGGAAAAGACCTAATTTGTGCTACACTTGCTGCGTTTGAATATCCACATTCCATATGAGACCATAGATATGAGACGTGAATTTTTTATCACGTGATCGAGGATTAAGACAAGTTAGGACCGATTCCACCACAAAGCACGTATCTTCTAGAGACCCCACGCCAATGTTAAACTTTTAAACCAAATTGGCGCCACCTTGTGTTTGGAGCTGGAACTAAAATGACAATTGACAGATGGCGGTAAATTCAAATTGTAATTTTTAGGAGTAGGTAGTAGTTTTAAATTAAATTTTAAATGATTTCCACATAAATTATTTTATAAAATAAAGAATGGAACTAGTAAGTTCGAAACTTTTATTTTACAAAATAATTTAGGTCGATTATACCAAATTTGAAGAATTAATTTGTTATAAGCAGGGGTCTGATGTGAAGAGTTGGTTCTGCATATTATTATTAAATAAATATAAGATATATCAATAAACAATAAAATAGAACATTCTTAAAATATGTTTATTAATAACTTAAATAATATTATTAGATAAAAATAAATACAAATAATAATACATATTTAACGAATACTTACTTGCAGCAAATAGGTATATAATCTCAAATCTTTAAAATACCTATCAATAATTTAAATGTGAAGTAGAGACTAGGATATTACATTTTATTAACACTAAAATAATATATTTTATAAATGTCTTTTAAACCGAGGACAAATGTAATATAGGTATTGTATTAAAAGGTGAATCCTTTTAACTATTCATTCAATGATAAATAGGTATTTTCCTTCCAAATACAGATGGTGGTATTACTCCACTGCTTTGTGTATTACTCTCTTATGTGAAAAATGATTTCGGAATCTAGTCCAGTGATAAATTGATTATCAATTAGTTGTTATACCCGTTTCTTTTTATGATGCAGATGCATGGTGAATCAATGAAGTTTTTCTCGAAGTTTTCAACGTAGCACCCACAGGTAGCACCAAAATTATTGCAAAACACAGTAGGTTATAACTAAGACGAAACTATAAACAGAAACCAAAAGCCAAAGCCAACAAAAAATCACTAAAATCAGACGGAAAAATGAGATTAACCAAAAACATAAATAAATACACGTCACATCTTTGGAGTCTTTGGTTGTTTTTCTCCCATAAAGCTTAAAAATGGAGTAAGAAATCAGAATTTTACCAGTAGCCCCATCTAGAGTTTGGAGCAAATAGCATAAAAAATGTCAATTGTCGGTTTTGACCTTGGTCATTCACGTGGAACCTCTATGTGCTTTGTGGATTCCACCGTGGTGTTAAACGGAGTTCAAAATGATATTTTTTAAATTTTACTTTTGAGACTAGAAATTAAACTAAATTTGAAATCTAAACACAAATTAGACACACTAACCACTTTTATATAACAAAAGATTATATGGAGTGAATAGAGTAAAAGGAGTCCACATCCCGAACTCAACATTTATAAAATTATTTGACAATTTGACAGTGACATTCCAGAAAATAAACCAAAACCACACATCAAAAATAAAAAAAAAAACAGCTTTGAAACCAGTCAATTTAAATAAACAATCAGTGATTCTTATTCATATTTTATCGTTTATTGTAAAATATATCAGGAAGGAGATAACGTTACGTAAATACTTAATGACCTCGAAAATGATTTGGAATAAAATCCAGTCTGTGTTTGTGTGCAGTCTGTTGCGAAATTCGTTAGAAGACTAGTACTAGATATCTACAGACATAAATACAATTATGGAAGGAAGAGTTTTATCCATTCAAAGCCATGTTGTATCAGGATATGTTGGAAATAAAAGTGCAGTGTTCCCTATGCAGGTATACACATATCACTAGTATTTGATTCAATGTTAATTAAGTGCACTTATGATCAAGGTCAATGTTGGTTTTACCAAATAGACCAGATTATTTAGTAAATATCTAGTTTGACCTCTTCGATTATGAAAAAACTAAGCATAAGGTATCGCTTTTATAAACAAAAGGTAAAAGCAGGGACAGAAGTTGGAAAGGCTTTTAGCTTTTCTTTCACTTTATGTACAGGAATTGACAAATTTGTCTTTGAGCTAACAGCTAACCAAATTTATCCTAATAACAATTTCGTGTAATCATGTAAATTTAGTTTAATAAATTGTGAATAGCTGTGGATATTTTGTAGAATTAAGATTTGGGATATAAGGCATGATACTTGTTTAAATAATATTTCTAGCCCATAAATACATACGATTGCCCATAGTTCTGAAGATAACAATTTGAAACTACTTACTATATGATAGGACATTGGCAGATAAACATTAACACAAAATTCTCGAAGTCATCTACCAAAGGTCTTTGTAACTGCTGTCCCTGTTCTACCATATCTTGTGCAAATTAATAATAGCTTTGTTCGTGGAGCCTGTTGCTGACAAGTACATGACTTGTCACTAATAAATAATCAGAAATGTTTGTGCCCAACTGTGATTTGTAGAAAATCCCTGTCAAGAGATCACCATGAATATCATTTGTACCAAAATGACTATCATACACTTTAACTGCAAATGAAAGTAAGACAGAAGACTGTGACTTGTGAAGAGTGTTTTTAGAATTTTATTATTCTAGATGTATTAGTACTGATGTTTAGGTGGTTCCAATGATAGGCTACTCTATTGATAAGAAAATTTCTCCCCAGGAGTTTATTACATTTTTCTTTGGAAAGCTTTTGATGATAACCTCTCAGATTTGTATTGTGACTGAAGTGGTAGATGTTTCTCAAATTACAAGCATAATGTCGAGTTTTTTAAATGTTTCAATGAGATCAACTCTTGTTCTCCTGTCTCTTAAAGTTGTCCTTATAGGATAGATCTTTAAGTTCTTGCTGTAATCTGGTTATTTGCCTTTGAACTTTTTCTATCTACTTTTTTTACATAGTATGGATGCCAGACACTTTGGGCTGGAAAGGCAAAGAAGCATAAGTCAAAAAGTGTCCACTTTGAATTAAGACCACCACAATTCTGTTAAAGTGGATATATATGATGTGACAAAGGGGCATTATTGTTTGTGGTTCAAGGTGGTTCAGAATCCTACACTTAAAAGTTAATGATTTTGTGTTGAATGCCTTAATTTGGGTGTTAACATATAAGATATCTTTAGCCTGGTATTGTGGTTGTGAATTTTATAATTAAAAATTATGAACTATTAAAATAAGAAGGTAGAAGATTATGAATCATTTTATAGATATAGCACATTGCTTAATACATAAGCCTTTGTTCTACAGAAAACTAGTCTCAAGATCTCCAGCATTAAGGATATTGGAGTAAGCCTGCTACATATTAAAATAGGTAGGACAATATTAAAAATGAGGTTGAATAATAATTTTATACAGTTATCCTAGAATTCATGCTTAAATATTGTGAGACTCAAAAGAAAATATAATTTCTTTAAAATTTTTTTTTGTATATAATTAAAATGACTATGGAAAGATAAATGACCATCAAGCATAAAACCCAAAAGTATGTATTTGAATGCCATTACCCACTCAACAATATTGTCTTCTATTTTAATGACTACTTCATTAAGCTTTATATGTTTATACTTAAAAGGTGTATAGTTATTATCATACCTTTCATCTTGGCAACATTTAATTTTAATTTATTTATTTTCAAGTATTTGGTAATATTGTGAAGAGAGTTATTCATTTTTTGCATGACAACATTAAGGACTTTATCACTAACTGATATTAAAGTATCATCAGCAAAGAGGTGTATATATACTCACATTTATTGAAATGTTCTATATCGTTAACATATATTAAAAATAGTAAAGGACCCAAAATACTTTTCTGGGAACTCCATATTTTACATCAATAGGTGAACACATTTTAAATGTTATAGCCGGGTCATTGCAGATTAGGTGGGATAAGTCAATGAAAAAGTGTCTATGACATTGCAGGGAAATCAATTGTATCCTTTTTCCGTTCAAGCACTACAACTTTTGTGAATTGTTCATGCAAAGGACTGAATGTGATCAATATTTAATTTTGGTCGATAGCCTATTGGACTGAATTTTCATTTCAATAAATGACAATTATTATTATTATTACTTAATTTTATTGACAAAAGTTCTACACATGTAAATTAGACAACCGTATTGGATACATTTTGGAATAAATAATTATTTTTAAGCTATTGCATAGCTTTTATCGCGGGCTTTGAGCGCGGCGACCGAATCAAGAAATTCCGTAATCCGTAACGAAAAAAAACCTAACACCCCCCACTCCGACCGGCACAGCGGTGCGGCGTTAAACAATATTAACTTATCATTTATTCAATAAAAGAAAATCGAAAAATGGAAAAATCGAAAGAGAAATTCCGTAACGAAAATAAACCTAACATCCCCCACTCCGACCGACACAGCGGTGCGGCGTCTAACGTCGTTTCAGTTCGGCAGACTTCGGCACGGTGTTTGTGTGCGTGCGACTAGACGTATGCGCGTAGACTATCTGCTAACTGCTCATAACTGATTCAATCTCTTTTAGATACAATTTCGGAAAATTGAATTTTAAAATGAATAATGATCCACAACAAAATATGGGAACACCATTGACGCGGTATTTTCCAGATATTTAGAGGATATCAAGTCTCAAACTTATGTTTCTTATTTCAGTTACCATAAACCTATAGTTTTAATGATAAAATTTCCTGAATAACCTACATGTATTGTAAGATAATAAAAATATTTTAAACAATATTAATTAATTTATTCAATAAAAGAAAAAATGTGTTTTCTTATCGGTCACTACGCTCAAAAAGTGTAACTTGAATTAATATAAAAAAAAAAAAACTTGAATTATTATCAAAGAAAAAAAAATATTGCATAAATAAAATAAATAATTAAAATTGCATAAGTTAATAAAAAATGCTATGCAATAGCTTTACCGCGGCAGTACCCGAGTGCCACACGTATTTTTTATTTAAGTTATGTTAAAAAGTTGGTTAATGACTTCTATCCACAGTTATAAAAAGTATCAACTTTGGAAATTAACCCAGGATGTGTTATGAATCAAAAAAATTTGGGAACAAAAAGTAAACAAGGAATAAAAATCTATAACAAACAATATCTTATTGTAATGGTTAAAAATTTATAATTGGAAACTAATGTTTTTTTACATACTTATCCATAATCCCTTGTCAAGCAAATCGAACCATACACTCACACGTTTACCAACATAAAAGGTACAATACATTATCGTTTAATAAACAAACAAGTAGATATTTAAAAATATAATGTTCTAAATTTAGTACACAAAATAAAAAGTCTATTGGTTAACTTCTAAAACCTCGACACAACATGACATAAATAATCTTTTTACACTTATATAACAAAAATAAAAAAAAAAAAAAAAAAAAAAAAAAAAAAACAATGCAAAGTAAAAACGCCAAATAATGTCACTACTGGTCCTGAATATTTAGCAATTTTAATTATGTCATTTGTATGTAATGTAAAAAATTATTCCTCATTTGATATTAAGTCACATAACTGCTATCAGAGTTGGGTAGTATCCGGATACTTCTGTATCCGGATACTTTATGTGTATCCGGATACTTTTCAAATTTTGTATCTGGTATCCGTGACCAAATTTGTAAGTTTTTTCGGCATTCGGATACTTTTAAATTATTTACCACAATCATAACTGATCCAATCCATATTATCTCTATTAAAATATATAATCGAAATACTTTGAGCTACCCTGTATAATTAGAAATAAAATACGTATTTTTCAATATTACAATATTTAAGACACAATATTGCAATTGTGTCTTAGAATTTCGCATAAAATGTGTAAACAAAATACATTTATATCACTTGAGAAATAAAAATCAAGTAAAGAATAGGAGAATACATTCCTCTTAATAGAAAAAGAGTAGAAATTTGGAATTTTGTTTAAAATCAAGTTTTTTAAAAAATGGTATAATTAAAAAAAATATCTCAGATAATCAATCAGCTTAGATAAAAAAAAAAATGTAAAAATAAAAGAGAATATAGAATTTCCTGTAATATATAATAATAATAATAATAATAATAAATGGCCTTTATTTGTACATACCAAAAATACAAAAAATATGTAGAAATGTACATTTGCCTGGGCGAGATTTAGCCTAAGGCTATTCTTACATCTAAATATCTCTTCAAAATTTGATTTAAATCGCTTTGTTGCTCATATGTTACTGATCATGTGTTATTTATGTCGTCATCAACATCAATAAAGTATAGAGATCTGACAAGATCAAATATACGAGCCTGCTTTGCCTATGCCAGAACGAAACATTCAGCAATCTCTCACTCCTCCTCCTTTCGACGCTCTCGAATCTACCAAGTACCGGTCGTCGGAGGATCTACAAAAAATGGATTGTCGAATACATTTGACACTGACGAGAATATCGAAAGGTGTATAAACATGGCAAGTCGTGCCAACAACGAGCTTATTTCTTTAGATTTATATGGACACGACACTGGCTGGTTTTTGGCGCGGTTGAGGTGTGACGCGTTTTATTTACACGCACCTTTATGTTTTATTGTTCATTTTGTTTTAATGTTTTATATTCACAGAATAAAAATAATAAACAATTTATTGAGTAGTTTTTTCCTGTTTCTATTATGTCTCTTTCCATTTTCGATAATTTATTTATGCCTAGTATTGTTTATTGTTACTCGTAATGAAAACATTATTTTAACTCACTTTAAAAGTATCCGTAAAAGTATCCAGATACTTGTATCCGAGTACTTTTTAGGTGAAAGTATCCTAAACAGTATTCAGATACATTGTAAGTATCCGTGTCTGGTACTCGGATACTTTTTTCCTGTAACCGACCCAACTCTGACTGCTATAAACCTTAGAGCATCAGCAACTGCGCTTAAAGAATACCATTTTGGTTTTCCGAAGTTGTTCGAGTGAAAACAAGTTTCTGTGTAGAACATTTAAATTGGTATAGCCATTTATCTATATTTTTGATGTTCTTTGTCAACTTTTCTCATATGATATAGGTAATCTGTGGTCAATAATTATATTATAAAATATTGTTAGATCAAGGAAAATGCTGTACTATTTGACAATACATAATAGTATAGTTGAATATTTTGCGTGACTTGGCAGCATCTCTGAGCTTTAATTTTGATACATTTTATAAAATATTTTTGATTTAAGAAATTAATTGTGTCGTTATTATTCATTTGCACAAGATATGGAATTAAGATTTTTTATTTACAATAGTGATACCTAGAAGTACATATGTTTAGTTTATCCATAAGTGAAAAAATATCAAATTATATAATTATCTTATTTTAATCCTTGTAAAAATTCTTTTAGGTTTTAGGATTAGATGTAGACTTTATTAATTCTGTTCAATTTTCAAATCATACAGGATACAAAGTTGTCAAAGGACAAATTCTAACAAAGATTTAGAAGATCTGATTGTTGGTCTGTCTGCAAATGATATTGATCTATACTCACATTTACTAACAGGATACATTGGATCTGTATCATTTTTAAATCAAATTATTGATACTATAAAACATTTGAAAGACAAAAATCCAAATTTAATATATGGTAAGACAAACTCTATAATTACGGTATTGCAAAAAGGGATTTTTTTATTGAAGGTAGTACATTTTTTTTTAAAACACTTATTCTGTTTCTGAAAAGACAGTACTGTAAAATTGTACTACTAGAAACATCCATGTTGAAAACAAAATCCTAAAATAGATATACTTCATTGGGAAGTGGTCCATGTCCTTGTATGAGTACCAATATTTATGTAGATTTATTTTTTTAAAGCTGATTTATAACAGTCTCAGTTTCCTGGCCTGACATCCACAGAACATTCTTTCATGCAAATGCGATGTACACCAAAAATTAAGTTTTACTCTTCAAGCAAATACTTTGTTATGTTCTCAACATCTATAGAGGAAGTGGTGAATTGAGCACAAGGAGAAGATAAACAGACTCTCTAGTTCAGTGGCGTAGCACAACTTAACAATAATCCCTACTTTTAATAATAATAAACGTTCTTTATTGAGTTACTATACCCAACAGGCCATCGATCGAAGTCCTTCAGCACAATGATAATTTTTTACAATTTGGATTATTTTTAATCTTATGATCAAGATTTTATATTTTACAATATAATAAACAAAAAAAATGGAACCCACCTATAATAAACCTAGATGAAGATAGATGTTATGATGTAATAGGTCTTTTCCTTTGCATCGAAAGTGTAGCACTGAGTTACACCACTTCTGAAAATATCGTTCCATTTATACAAATTGTATGGATGGAACAATATTTTCAGAAGTGACGTAGCTCAGTGCTACACTGTTGATGCAAAGGAAAAGACCTAATGGGTCCTATGATTGAACGTTTACGTTATCCGTAACGTACATGTTAGGCCGAATTTTAAAAGTAACGAGGCAAGTTCGGATGATGGAAAACTGTTAAATTAGAAGATAACAGGCGGAAAATAACAGTAACGTGTTGGAAAAAGTTTTCCATCATACGAACTTGCCTCATTACTGTTAAAACTCGGCCTAACATGTACGTTACGGATAACATAAACGTTCAATCATAGGACCCAATATGTGATGGCAAAACCACCTCACCAGGATATGACAGTAAAACGAGGAACATTTTAAGTAAATTTAGTGCTACAATCTACACACATATTCTTAAAATATATAATTATTGCATACACAAGTAATACTTTTCTCATGAATGGAAAAAGGTGTCATCATTACCATACCAAAATAAAACAACGATCATACAAGAGCTACATAACCCTAATCAGTTTTAGGAAGAAAACTTTAGAAAAATTATTAAAAACAAATTATCAACAGCTATAGGAGAATATATTCCAAAACATAAATTTGGTTTCAAAAGTCAATGTTCAACTATTCATCCACTAATAATTTTAACTTCAAATGTACAAACATCCAACCTAGAAGGAAAATCATCAGCTGTAGTTTTTATCGACATAAAGAGTTTCATAGTGTATGGCACACAGGCCTACTGTATAAACTATTTTCAGCCAATTACTCAATCTACATTATCAACAAATTTTAACAAATCGTCTATTAGGAGTATGTGTTAAACACAATAATAAAGTCTCAAGATATTTCTCAATGAAGCAAGGAGTTCCACAAGGATCTCCATTGTCACCATTTTTATATACATGGATATTTACAAAAGAAATCTACCCAAACAGCTATATTCCAGTATACTCAACACATAATAAAATCAATGGAACAAAAATATCTAGCTCTGGGAATGTTTTTTGACTTGTCAAAGGCCTACGACTGTCTAGACCGTAACATTCTGTTAACTAACAGTTAGACAACAAAGGGTCCTTATAAGTAAAGCTCGGATTTATAGGCAACAAAAATTGAAGAAAAAATCACTTATAGGCAAATATTTTTATCGAAAAATGCAGAAATATCAACATATAGGCAAATGCTTTCAACTCCATAATTATTAATCATTAAATAACAAATATATTTGCACAACATAACTATTAATAACATATGCAGCGATGTCAGGGTCCCTCAGGGGGCACGCATGGGTCCATTGTAATTTAGTATTTACATTAATGATGTAGTGAAACATTTAAATGATACTGAAGTTTCAATGTATGCTGATGATATCAAATTGTATAATATCGTTAAAGATTCATCTGATTGTCTTGTAATGCAGAACAATTTGGACAGTTTGAACGAATACTGCTTTTTGCATGGATTAATAATTAATCCCCTAAAATGTAACGTAATGTTTTTCTATAAGAAGCATAACATAAACTTAATTAATCATACTTATGAATTGCATGGAAATCGTATTAATAAAGTTGATAGTATAAAAGATCTTGGGGTTATATTTCAATCTGATCTATCGTTTTCTCAGCATGTCGACTACGTTGCTGGTAAAGCCTTAAAACAGTTAGGATTCGTGAGAAGGCATTCGGCAAACTGTGAATTTGCATACAATTAAAATCTTATTTTATTCACTCATAAGGTCACATTTGGAATATTGTTCTGTTTGGTCACCATGCGCACAAATTTATATTGAAAAGCTTGAAAGAGTGCAACGTAGATTTTTAATGTATTGTTCTTTTAAATTGTCACTACCGTACTCTTATACAAATATGCTTGCCACAACAAATAATGAAACGTTAGCTTCACGAAGAGAATTTATTACGTTTCTATTTATCTTTAAACTGGTAAATGGCCTTGTTGACTCTCCGGAACTCTTGCAAAGGGTAGATTTTTATATACCACCTAGGCCGTTGCGTGATAGCTGCACATTTGCTTTGAAAGATCATAGAACTAACTATGGCTCAGGAATTGGTATAATCAGACTTCTGAGAAATGCTAATACATTTGCTACAAAACAAAACATCGATTTTTTTAATTCTGCCCTGAATCAAGTAAAAAGAGCTGAGAAGTAAAAAAAAATGTGTTAGGTTTACATAATGTATTTATATATATATATATATTTTTTTATATTAAACTTATGTACTTTGTAAATGGTTTAAACCGTATGATAAATTGATAAATAAAAAACATAATAAAACGAAATAATTGTTAATTCATAATTATTAAACATTGTAACACCACTGAAAAGTTTATCATTAATAGCTACAATTAAGTGCTTTTCTATATTTTCTATTTTAAAACTTAAATTATGTATTAAAGATTTATTAAAATGTTTAAAAAAAATAACCTAAAACTAGGATGATTAACTTTATTGGATGCAATCATCATCTGGCTTATATCAAATTTGAATGTCCTTTTTTTTGAACTACTTAAACTATCCAGCAGAGATGTTTGGATCAACTTAGAGGATTTTGATTCATCCAAATCTGAGAATTTAAAAAAATAACAGTAATAAGAATTTTAATACCACTTATGATAGTCATGGGGTGGGTTAGCGAGAGAAAAAATGAAGCTTACCGATTTGAGACACGGTTTACAAAATGCTTTATCTTCTCGAGAAAATTCCGGATATGGTTGGATCCATGCACTTAACTTAGAAGTCTTCTTTCTAAACAAACTCACAAAACGTCTAAAACTTTTTTAAATGTGTGTTGTTTACTTTTCGGCAACGCAAAAAACTAATCTCTGATACAGTAACTGTACAAGGGATAATGATAATATTGATAATTGTTTATTATAAAAGGGCAAAAGATTAGGGATTTCCTGAAGCCACGAACTGGTAAATCTTCCTAGAAAACCATTAATAAACAAACCATTGATATTTTATTGTTCACTGAAAGATTTATTATAGGAAGGTTTAGTGATAGTAATAATGTTATGAGTAGGTATTCACGAAAAAAGGGCAAAATGTGCAAAAAACAGAATTGGCAAAACAGACAATTTGCCTATAAGCCGATCTTTACTTATAAGTAAAGAATTTCAACATATTAAATCAGATACTGTACTACATCTGTTGGTATCCCACAAGAGAGTATTACAGGTCCATTGCTGTTTGTCATATTTATGAATGACCTATGTCAATCTAATTTAAAATGTATCCCAATATATTTACTATTTATGCTGATGATACTAATCGTTTGGCAGATGGGGAGACGTTCCCTGAGCTACTTATCAATTGCAGTGATCTATTCTGTAAAGTAAAACACTGGTTCACAAAAAACAAACTTATTTTAAATGAAACGAAAACTAAAGCTATACTGTTTTCCAGTAATCTATTAGGTAATGAAAAGCCATATATTATAAATTTAGACAATGCATCTGTTGAACTAATAAATACTGATGCAAAGTTTTCTATAACTGTTTATGCTGATGATATTAATCTTTTGGCAGATGGGGAGACATTCCCTGAGCTACTTATCAATTGCAGTCCTTGTGGGACTCCACCGACAAAAACAACATATAGTACACATGTGTATGCCACATTCAAATATATTTGTGCACAATGTGAAGATGTACATAATGTACAACTCGCACCACAGTAAAACAGTGTCTTGACACTTTACAGAGCAAAAAAAGTACCTTGTTTCCTACGCGATAAAGTAAAAGATATAGAAACTTTGTGAAGACGTTACCTTCATCCACAGTGGCTAGAACTGAATCTGATACAAAACAGACTAAATTGTGTTTCATGAGCAAAGGGAAACATTTTAAGGACGATCTGCAAGTCAAAATAAGCAAAACATCTTGATTTTTTTGAAAATTATTAAAAAAAATTAAGAAAAGCGGATTTTTTATAATTTCTTTCGCTTATTTCAACTTCCAAAACACGCCCATAAAATATTTCCCTTTCCTCACGAAACACCCTATATTATTATTGCCATTTTTGTCCCGATTTTAAGCATTACATATTATTTTATTAAGGATATTATTAGTATGTCCGCACTCTAAGTCAAAATTGAGACATTGAGGTTTATAGTGGCCTAACCCACAAAATTTCAATATTTACTTTTATTCATAAAGGAATAGCTTATTATTCAAAGTTTCGGTAAAAGACTGGCCGTTTTATAGTTATGAAACTGTTAGGCCGAAATAATAAGCTATTACTTTATGGATAAAAGTAAATATTGAAATGTTGTGGGTTAGGCCACTATAAATCTCAACGCCTCAATTATTATTGAATGTCCAGGTGTTTATTCGGTTACTGTTTCTGTTGTAAGACACAAATTTGTGAATATTAACACTAACTTAAACTAAAAAATAAATAACAAGTTGAAAGATGAGTGTAATTACTGTAGCAATATTAATACCAACTATACAGGTCATCACAGTCATCCTCCAACTTTTAAATACATTTTTCGCAAAACGACATTTTTGAACGTACAACATTTATCCTTTTAGCCATTGATATATTAAACATTTGTAATTTGGTTATTGCTATGACATTTTTTATTGTGGTCTAAATTTAGATAATACTCTTATAATAAATATTTTTTGGAAATTAAGTATTTTTTGTAAGCAAATTTTTGTTAACTTTGGTAGGCAGTTCAAGCATATGATTATGGTATTCTCTAATGCTAGACGATTTTGCTGTTCGTACGTGATTTTAATTTTTGTGGTAAGTTGTCATAATTATAAATCGTAAATGCTGATTGGTCTAAATATCTAAGGTTAGGATTTGAATGCCATTTTGACATTATTATAATTATAAACTGTATTAGAATATATTGAGGCCAATTCCAGAATTATAGGGAATTAAAAGCCTAAACAGCTACATTTGCTGATATTTTAATATTCAAGTCATAGTATTTAGATATTTTAATGTTTGACTTATCTACCGAAAATATTAGCCTTAAATGTCAAAGCTTGAAGTGCGAACAGCAAAACGCTACTCATGTGTAACTTTTTTGAAAGCGCTTTACTTTTTTCAAATACGAACAGCACAGCAAGTACAGAATACCAAAACGTTTGTGTTTTACACTTTTGTTAGTTGTTTGTCGCGTTTCTAGAAAGACGCGCTTAGTGCTTTCAAAAACGCTGGTTAGAGAATAAGTCCCCAGATCTAATTTGTTCAAACTACACAACAGAAACGTAAAAATTTAATTTTCATGTGTTTTAAGTTTGTGATCCAGTAATGGGCGACAATGGACAACTTTACGTTCCCAAAGAATTGGTTCCTATATACAGGGAATCAGTCATTAGACTAGCCAGTATTATAACGCCAAATCTTTTTGAAACAGAACAATTATCTGGTATAACTATTAAAGAAACAGATGACGTTTGGAAAGCAATCGATGTTTTACACTGCAAAGGTTGCGAAACAGTTATCATATCTTCAGCAGACATACCAGAAAAACCGGATCTTTTATCTATATTTGCAAGCAGAAAGAAAGGTAATTTGTTTAAAACTATATATTAAAATTTACAAATTGAAAATATCACAGACTGGAACATGATGCACATCTAAATAAAAAAAATTTTTCTCCTCATGTTTTCTTCATCTCAACTTCCTCATCAATGTTTGTACTCTGAAAAAAAAAAAACTATATTAAGAAATTAGATAGTATAGTTTTATGTATTCAATATATTTTCCATACATGAATTTATAAAAAAACGTGGATATATGGTTACATGTTCAGTGAACTTGTACTCTCGTTTCATTATATTTATGTAGTCATAGAATACAAAACAAGATTCAGGTTAAAGTTATGAATTAAAAATTATACAAAATGTAGATAGAATAAATAACTTAAAAATCGTACAAACCAAAAAATACATTAATGACAAAAGAAACAATTAAAAACAAAAATTTTACAAACTAATTAAAAAATACTTTAATGTAAAAAGAAACAATGAGAAACACACGCACAAAGTTGCAAGTAGTTTTACAAGGATGTCTCTGTAGTTTCCAGTATATTACTGATTCTTGAAAACAACTGGCTTTATCCATACATTTTCTTGTTAATTTGTTCGAGAAACAGTGGCCTCTGACGTTCTGTGCATCTGAAAACTTGCAAGAAAAATTTTTGAGACAGCAAAGCAAATTTCTGGTAGCTAAAAGTACATTCAATATCGGAAAATTTTACTAGAATTGTTAAGATTTTGTAAACTTCGATCCTACTTTTCTGCTGTTTGGAGACTACACTTCACTACAATATTCTAGAATGAGTTAGTAGAGAGGTAACTTTTGGATTAGACACTTGCTTCATACTATCAAAATAGTTTTTACCGGTTTTTGTTTCACTTTAGCGGAATTTTATTCATCCGGGAAACAAAAAGTTAAACGGAATGACATCAGGCCAATACAGTGATGATTTCATGATCAAATTTTAGCAAACGTTCATCAACTGTCTTCCAAGATGGAAAAACCATTCGTCAACAACTTGTGTTGTCCCCAAAATGAAACAACACCTTGCATAGACAAATTAAAAGAGTTAAGAGTCTACAAGAATAACGCCAACTGGGTCCCTAGACTAAACACCTAGCAGGGGAAATCTGTATTGCAAGGGCTCCGCCCTCCAGAAAATAATTCCACCATTTCTCGTCATCAATTGAATTTTCTTGAACACTTATTTTTTCTAAATAAATATGTTCAATTGATATCCACCTCTGGAGGAAAAAACGAACAAGAATAATATTGTTCAAATGCATTCTTCAATTCTTGGATCAAAATTTGTAGGTATGTACACAAAGACAGGTAAAGAAAAAAGGAATGGTGGTATTTACATGTGTAAAATTAAAATCAAGTGCTTTCCGGTATCAAGCCATCAACGTTTGATGACATCCTTACGGCTTAATAGCCGAAAGCGCTAGAAAAATTAATTTTAAAAAATTACCTCTTTTTTCTTTCTGAATTGTTTTTAAACCTTAATTCTATTTTAATGAAAAACATATTCAATAAGCTTGTTAGGTGTATACCAGTCTTTGCCAAATAGTCATTATGCTACTATACAATGGGAAACAAAAGTTATACAGTTAGGTACGAACTATTTGGTGGCCAATTTAATCGTGCTAAAAATGTAACTTCTGTTTCCTCGCATTAATTTATTGCGCAGCAGCAGATTATTAATTCTTAAAATTATTCTAGGGGTTTCACACGAGAAATATATTATGGAAATAAAAAAGCTTCCCGTGGCCTTTACGGGTTCTGGTGATTTATTTGCATCCTTAATTTTATCCTGGATGCATAAAACGGAAAACGATTTAAAACTATCGTTGGAAAACACAGTAGCATCCTTGCAATCTGTTCTCGTTAGGACGATCGAAGCCATGCAAGGTAAATATAAATATCTTGTTCTTGACCAAATTAATATTTACAGGGTTTTGTATTTATACTAATTTTTGTTTAGGTAAAGAAAATACCGTCAGAAATCGGGAACTCAAGTTGTTGCAGAGTAAAAAAGATATTGAAGAACCAAAAGTAATTTATAAAGCCAAGGTTGTTGAATAATCTTACATAGTCCAAACATTTTGGTCGTTATTAGTTTTTTATATCTTTATCTACAAAACTTGTTAGTATTTTAAAGATTTTTATTTTATTGTTATTATTGATTTTAATTTATCCTTAAGACAATATGTTGAGAACATTTCAATTATTTTTTTTCAATAATTTAAGATCAAATCTTTTTTATTTAAATTGTAAACTGGAAATAAAAAATATTTTTATTATTCTTTTGAATAATAATTATTGTATGACAATAAATTTTATTACTGTTGATTTTAAATGAATTTAATGCTATACTGTCTTCCTTGAAGAGCCTTACTGAGCAGGACCAGCCATACTTGTTCAGCAATGTTATATAGTTATTAATAAAACAATAATATTTATATTTACCTTTTATTTTCAACACCTTACATTTTACAAAAATTATACTAGACACAGATTGAATTACAAAAATAATTTCATTGAAAATAAATTAATTACGTACTAGCTAAACTTAATTGCTATAAAAAAATACAGTGGATCAGCATTTGGAAGAAAAACATTTTTATAAAGGTACATTTTTACTTGTAAGTTACTAACTAAAATAACAATTGTCCAAAATGGAGCATTGTTAATTATTATTGTTTTCACTTATATAAATTAAAACAAATCGAAAATCACTACAAAACTTTTATGTTTAACCTTCTACTGTCTAAACAAATTCAAATTCCTTTAGTAATTTTAACACAGAGTCTTCGATTTTGATAAATTGGTAACAGCAGTCAAAACAGAGGATTAAATTACAAATGAAAGTATTAGTGACATATTTTTGGACCAAAAAACCTTTAATTTCATTCATAGATGTTGCAATAGCAATATTTTGTGATTCATCTGACATTTGACTTTGGGAATCACGAAATATTCCTTCAAACATTCGTTTATAACGGGTAGGTATAAAAGTGAAATATGGAGTTCTACAAAGTTCTGTATTGAGCCTTGTACTTTATTACAAGTACTAATATATACATATATAGACAAATTTTGCTGATAACAATTATGTGGCATCTTAAACCCATAATAAGAAAAATCCTACCTATTTCATAATAATTAAGTTGATATTCGGTTTTAGATGACACATCAAATTTTATTAAGCATAATTTTTGAGCTATGTATCATCTATATTTTCAACATTTAAAAAAAATATATTGCTATAAAAGTTTGTTCTACATCAAAATCTAACCAATTTATTAAAACCACAAATTTACATACAGGGTGAAATAAAAATCTGTAAAGATTCAATAAAAATAAAATTGAGTACCTGTAAATTACCTAAAATACTAGACTGTGGTGCATCCCTGTCGCCTATAATTTTCAGGGCATTTAAATCAAAGTTATGAAATTGGAGATTTACTGAAAGTCCGACATGTTTGGTAATACTCAATACTTCATTCGTTTTTGAGATTTTTGGAGGTTTCCAGACTTTTGTTCCACCCTGTATTTTAATTATATGTAGAAAGTTTTATGCATAAAGTATTTTGTGGTAATCTTTCACAATAAAACAAGAAATTGATTTCTAAAAGAAATATTCCGAACAGGAAAATGTTCTACTTGGTGAAAACAATACCTAACCAAATCGTTCCTTAAAAAATATATTGTTAATAAATAAAAAGAGTTACATTTTACACTATTAAAATCATATTTACGTAATTTAAACTATTAAAACTAAAAAAAAAAACAGAACAATAAACCACATTCCACGTTTAAAAAAAAAATCAATACAAATAGTTCTAGAAAATAATAAAGCATATTTATTTCCTGAGTAGAATATTCGACCATTAAATAAAGATTGAGTAGGTACCTATATACATTCATTATGGAAAATTAACAATGCTTCAAAATATTGGCTTACCATCATAAAATGATCAAAAAGTAAACGTTATTCCCAGGCGCTGCAACCTCAAAAACATGACGGTGTTTCTTCTTATGGTTGGTATGAGCTCTTCGCAAATTACTGTATACTGGGACTGTCGGTGCCACTGCTGTTGTTATCTGCAGATGCATTGGAATTTGCCAGCGCTGCATTCCTAAATGCTTTCTTGGGGTTTTTTGATAAACCCGCAATCTCTCTCAGAAGCCCTGATATCTTGTTGTTCAAAAGATCTACTTTGATGTTGTGTTCTTTTTGGAGATTATTCAGTCTAGCTCGTAGCTCATTTTCAGTTGTAAAATTGTTTGCTTTTAATTCAGTTATCTACAATTTAAAAAAATATGGTAACATCATATAGGACGAAACACTACAATGCGCTTTATTAAAGACAATTCTATAGATGATTAATTGTCAATCAAACACAGTATTATAAGAAAGTAATAAAACCTAATAGGGACCGTGCGTGAAATATAGAGGCAGCACTACTGCCGAACTTAGCCCTCTCTAGTGTTTAATTTTAGAATTAAATGGGGTGAACATTGCAAGTAAATAATGAAGGGTATTTTTTTAAATATTAAATATAGTTAAAAATAGATACCGGCCCGTACCAAACAATCGTGTATATGGTCAAAATGACGTAAAATGTGAAACATTATTAAAATCTGGACATGCATATACATTTTAAGCAAAAAGATTTAAAATGGCTAAGTGACAATACATTGTAAAGTTGTACCTTAAACAAGTGTATCCAATGTTAAAATATAGGTATTTAGTAACACTGAACTTAAAAGTATTACAATAACATTTAAAAAATGTAAATTAATAAAAAAGATTGATAATAATAATTATAAATCTTTTTAGCTTTATGTTAATCGAAATGTCATTCATCCACTGGCGTTTATGAGATGTTCAATGATACATATATTATAGATTGCTCACCCAACTATAAAAAAATTATGAAAAGCTGGTTGGAATGTGCCTTTCCTAGTGCTCACTAAATAGAGCCATTCTAGCCCAAATGTGTTAAAATAAAATTTCAGCATTTTAATCTTTAGAAAAAGATAATAATTAAAGTTTTACTTATGTACTTATGTATTTGGAAAGTTGAGTTTTCATGTAGTTAAATAATATTAAGAGATCTAAACAATTTTTATAACAGATGGATATAAATAATTTTAGACTACTATTTCAAAAACAATTCTACATAAAATACATAATTGCAATATGTTATACAATTTTGAAAAGGTAATGTAAACAATTTTGATATGAGGTATGAACAACTTTGGTAAGAGTTGTAATTGGACACTTATCTATTATTCTGAATAATGTTTAATGGTAATGTCACTAAAAAAATTTACAAAAAATCACTGGATTTTTAATATTTTAAAGTTTGTTACAATCTCTTTTGACAGTAATTGCAATGTATTATTTATGATTTGTTTATTTTAATAATAAATGAGAAATAGTTAATAAATTGTAAAGAGGGCCGTGATATTTTTGTCAAATTGGATATTCTTATTTCATAACATTCTACATTAGTTTTAATCTACAGAATAAACCATTATCTGTAAAATTATATTTATATAAAATGGTCATTTAAATATGTAAAAATCTTAAGGCTGTATGTCACGATACTAAATTAAGTACTAAATTTAGAACTAAATTAATGCATTTTTTAAGTACTAAGAAAATGTACGTTGCAAACAGCAAATTTAGTACTAAATTTAGTACTAAAAAAAGTCATTAATTAATTAGAACTTGTTCTATTTTCTACTAAATTTAGTACTAAAAGTGCGTCGAAATGTTGCGCAGAAGTTTTTCACAGAAAAAATTGACACGACGGTATTTTCTGTACCATTTTGTTTTTAATTAGCGAAAATTTTGCATTATCGACTTGAATAAAGTTCGCTTGTTTAATTTTGTAGATTTTATTGTGTTTTTTTCGTGGTTTATAGTAGCATTGGTTGTTGTCATGTCAAATTGATAATAAAAACACCATTTTACTTCACTTGTCTATTTTACCCAGAATATTTCATTTCTCTGCTTAATTCACGTATTAATACGTCAATGCGCGTGCGTCTATAGTTAATTTAGTACTAAAAATATTTTTAGTTCTAAATTTAGTACTAAATTAATGACTTAATTTAGTGCTAAGTTTAGTACTTAATTTAGTATCGTGACATACAGCCTTTAATGACAAGAAAACACTAAAGATTCTAATTTTTCTGTAAATGATTTCTTTACAACTAAGTGCTCAAAATTGATACAAGCTAGATAAAAAGAAAACTTTGCCCAGTGAAATACGCTTTTCGTCGTCTGATTTACATATGGATAAGCAATCTTTGTAATTATGTATATCATTGGGTGTGAGGCATAATTGTGCTCTGTGGAAATTTATAAAATTTCTTTACTATAGAATGAAATCCAGGTTTCTAAAGTGATGTGTTTGTACATCCACGGATGCAACAAGTTTTTTCGATATTGATATTACGAAAATAATTCGACTTCATTTTATTAATAATTATTAAACAATAAATGCCGTATAAAACATTAATAAATACCCCCCAAAAAGTTCACATTTTTGTCACCAGTTGGCGTTAAAGTCATGACGCACGGTCCCTATAAGCTCCACAGATGTTTTATTACAGTTAGGGCAAAATAGATCTTTTACGTCGGACACATGAAATTGTGCATTGAAATGTACTTAGCATCACAATTATTTTTGCAAGAATACTTGGACTGTTCTATCATAAAAGTAAAATGTTTTCTGCAGATAAAGAATTGGGAATCTATATGAATTAGGGTGTGGTTCAAAACTCACTCGTACTGAAGGTTCTAGGCTTATTGTACTCCTCTCATTTTCTATCCCATCAGTAAATATTCTTGATAAATTCAAGAATGTCTGATGGGCGCTTTCGCGATTTCTTCAGGTAAAACATAGTACCGGACACCGTCGCCTAAGAAGGCACATAAATGTCATCAATCCAGCAGAAGCCACAATGTGCATATTCTTTGAAGATTGAGTTTTCTAACACTAGGTGACAAAAGCCAGAAGCATGTAACTACATGCGAGAGACACAGTCAATTCATAAAAAAAACAGCTAGACGGCATACTTTAAAACGGAGTCCCACAATAAATTTGAAAAGGTCACGGTAAACAAGGACAAATAATCTTCAACTCTTTTTAAATCTAATCTAACGGCACAGTATATAAATAGGAATTCCGTCCCCTCTTTACATGTTCTACATAGGGAGCCATCAGATATCCCTAAGAGATTTAGGTATATTCTCAGGCCCCAGTGTTCCATAAAGAGTCCTATTACGGTCTTTAGTTGGCTCCTGCTAAGGTTTAAAGTCAATTTTGTCTGCTCTTGGATGGACCTCTATGAATATTCTGGATTGCCAGAGTCCAGGAAGTTCCAACCAAGATATGGTGTTCTTTCTCTATTTATTTGTTCCATTAGCATCCATTTAACAGGTTCATATGATATACCACATGTGGGTTCTGGGGCCCTATTCTCGAATGTCTATTTATTTCTAAATGTCACACACGACATTGATATGTCGAACAAGAACTCAAATGGTGAATTCGACATTTGCTGTTAGACATAAAGTCGAGTGGTATTCAACACATACTTTGATTTTCTTTTACTATACGGAGAATGGTCGCACTGCGCAGCTTTCAGAGTGCCTTTTAAAAGGAGATAGAAAATTCCGCCATTTTGATCCCTTATTACATGTTGCCTACATCTTGGCGCAATATTTTTAATAGGTGCGTTTTAATCATCCGCTTCTGCTTCGGAAGTGTTTTAATTTCTCTAATATCGTTGTATGGTGCACTTTTCACAAAAGTTTCCATCCAAATTAATGTATGCCGCCGCCATGACCTTTTCTCCATTACAAGGTGTAATGGAGAAAAACCTAGCAGTGGGAATATAAATCAGCATTGAGAAAAATCAAAAAATACAAACAAAAAACTGAAGAGCAACTTACCAAAAATAGGAAATCAAAGCCAGTAAAATTAATGGAGATTGGATTTCAGTATGGAATCATAAAATTGAAAAAAACGTTGACTATAGAACCTTCTCAAATTTATAAAGTAAAAATCATGCGAAGAGTCCTGGCTATGTGCACTATAAGAATGCTATGATTTATTAAAACCAGAAGAATATTTTAACATTTTTAAACTTTTGGTGACTCAATACTTCAAGAACCACCACATTCTTTACTTGCTATGCAGCATTTAAAAGGACCTTCTCTTAGAAATACAACAAAATTATGAATATTCATTCAGTATTTATTGGTGGGTTTAAAGAATTTATTGTAAGTATGAATGCGAAATGTTGATTAAAATAACGTCAACCAAAAATACGAGGTATGTTCAAATTTAAGCTGGAATTGTATTTAAACAAAACAATAACATACTGTCCTTGCAGCTCTGTACATTTCTGCTAACTTCTTCAGAATCTCATAATTCCTTCGCCATAGAATGTTTTTGGTAGTTATACAAAAAATTCTTGACATCTTTATTGTCATGCCCCTCCAAAATTCTTTGAGATGTACAAACAGATTAAAAAGCAAGGGAAAAAATATGGACTATAGAGAGCATGAGGAAGTGTTGCCATGAAGAAGTATGTTACTTATAAATAGGCCGTTTAAGTCTATTTGTGTGAGGTGTTCATATTTGTGTAACAACAGGTTTAACTATTTCAGACAAAATTGTTGACAACAAGCAGCATTAATCTGCGCAAAAAATCTGTTTTCTGCAACTCAAAACGACGTCGCCATTACCTTTTCAGTCGAAAGAAAAACTTTTTTGGCCAATGTTTTGTTTTTATTGTGATTGCTTGCTTTCTGGGACAAAATGATTAACAATTTCATCAGAAGTTTTTCATAACTGCTTCTCCTCTTTGTTCGTAGTATTTTAAGAAAGGGGGCGTCCATTAATTACGTGAGGTGTTCAAGGGGGGGGAGGGGATAAAACTAAATCTTTCTAAATCTCACTTGGGGGGAGTGGGGGTTTCGTAAATCTCACGTAATTTTTTTTCTAGTAGAAAACGGTGTAAAATTGCGTGAAAGTAAAGTTAAATTATAGTAAAAGTATTTCTAGAATAAAATATGGAAAAATCTTATAATTATATTTATTTATTTTTATTAATTTCCATTTAAGTATTTATCATTTAATTTTATTAATGTGATTTTAAATAATTGCAACACTCTCAAACACTAGTCTTTGCTAGTCTTATATAAAAATAATGGAACATATTGTGTTTTTGTTTTTTTTTTAATAATCCAACACATTTACACCCAAAACACGAATTTTGAAAAATCTCACGCGAGATTAGGGAAGGGGGGGGGTAGTTAAGGAAAATCTTACCAAATCTCGCCAGGGGGAAGGGGGAGTCAAAAAATCCTCAAAAATACCTCACGTAATTAATCTCCTGCAACTTGAACTTGTTTGTTTTTGCTCTAAGGAAAACGGCAGACATTTTTTTAAAGTTCATGAAAGAACCGCGCCAATTTCAATTACGTTAAATTTAGAACCAAAATTCTGGGTTAAATTTGAACACACCTCGTATACCAATCAAACAAAATGTTCAACAACAAACTAACCAATTTGTCCTTGTTCAGCAATTCCGAATTTTTCTGGGATAACTGTTTCTGCAAACTAGCGATTTGTTCCTTAAGTTGTGTCATGGCCACCATGTGATCAGAACTGTTTGGGTCCATGTCTCCCCTGCCGGGCCCGCCCGAATTGTTGCGGGCCATTTTATTAGGGGGCGCGTCTTCCGGCGGAGGCATTTTGGTAACATCGGGTCGATTTGGTCGTTTGCTGTGACTTCGCGGCCTGGCAAAGAAACAAAAATAACACATATAGGATGTTGTTTCTAGTTTTCAGGTTCGGATTTAATAATTTTTTGTTCTTAGAAAAATTTTAACAAATCTTTAATGAAACTACTCATAAAATAATAATTCATATTTATTTCGTTTTTAATAAATTTCGAATATTTAACAATAAATGATACATTTTTTATTTACAATAACGAATAACTAAAAGAAACTAAAACTGTACAGAACAAAAAGCATATAGAATTTAAAGAAATAAATTAATTTATAGAATCCATTGTTATAACATTATTGGAAAGAACCCATGACAATTTGGGAATCAATAAGACGTGGCGCTAGGAAACAGTAACAAAGCATACACAGGACACGAGGCTAATAACCGTAGCAGTTGATGCTGATGACAAAAAAAAACAAAAAAAGAAACAAATTTTCAAAATTAAACCCTGCAGCCTCCAGTTTTTTTGAAATAAAAGTAGGTCACTGCTTCAGGGAAGGGGACAAGCTGGGCGACGGGGCCAGAGGGGCACCACGCATAATTCAGTTACAAAAGGTAAATAACACAGTACAAGAGAAAGATTAAAAAAAAAGTCACAGACCCAAAATGTAATTTGTACAACCCAGATATAAGAGGAACTCTTTCTTTGATGAGACCACCAATTTTATCCACATAAGAAATAAAGGGCGATTGTCGGGTCGTCTACACTCGATAGTTATTTATTATTTTATTAGTTTATACTTTGATACTACATGATACTTCTTTCACGGATAGTGATATTAGTTTATTAAAAAAAAAAAGATGTAATTTAGTAATTTGACAATATAAAAAAGTAAAAAGTCAGAACTCATAAAAAGCCTTTTATTTCTAAAAGAAGCGAAGATACTAAACATTTTGGTGACCCCCACGTACCTATGGATAGACCACGCAGAGATGATGCTGACCAAAACAGAAATCTATGCAGGAGAAATAAATCTCGAGATTGGAAGCGCTACCAGCGTGGAGGTACCTCATAAGAGTACGAAAACTATTGCCTCTAAAAAAAGTACTTCCGATATAAGTATTCAGAGAAAGAGACTAGAAATAGAAATAAAGAAACAAGAATTAGAATCGGAAAACGGGAAATTGAACATAATTTAAAAATTTTGGAACTGGAACGTGACTTGAAAGATGCTGAGCTTCAAGTCGAAGAAGAAAAATCTCAAAAAAATTATAAATCGAAATTACCAGACTTTCAGACTGCTAAATCTAAAACGTAGCTGATTGGTTAAATCATCAACAAGATGTATCATCGATTCCGGAGATTTTCAATGAGCAAACAAAACATTTAACACCGAATAACGACATAAAATACTTGTGCGAAGAATTAACAAAGGCAATAACACATATACAAATTTTTGTACAGAAAAATTTATTGCTCGACAAGTAAATGACAAAGATTTTTACTATTTCGATGGTAAACCGGAAGACTGGCCAATATTTTACAATCAGCTAAGAAATGTTATATCTTTGGGGCAGTACAACCAGGAAGAAATATTGATTAAATTACAAAAGTACCTAAAAGGAGAAGCGAAATCAGCAGTTGCTGGAATGATGTTAGCTGCAAGTAACGTTGATCTAGTAATAGAAACTTTAAAAATGAGATTTGGCAGGCCAGAACAAATTATTGACAAATTAATTACAAATATAAAATATATTCCTTTTATAAAAGAAAATAATCTTGAAAAGTACTTTTTTCGAATGAAGTTGCCAATTTAGTAGCCACAATGAAAACTTTAAAATCCTTTGGACACATGGCGAATCCTCGATTGCTCAGAGAACTATTGTCTAAACTACCTGACATGTTACAATTGAAATGGGGACGAGTAGTAGCAACGATGGATGAAGATGTTGATTTAGAAGACTTCAGCAGATGGGTAACAGACCTAGCCAAGGCAACAAGTTATATCGTTACATCGAGCTGGGAGAAGACAGAAAACTTATGTCTCAAAGCCGAAAACAGAAAGAGTCCTTAGTACTACTCGATCTTCAGAGATTAACCAGAATAAGTGTAGTTACTGTGATGGTGAAACACATGAGGCAGAATGTCCACGAATGAAAGCAGACGATATAGTCACGTTGGAAAGTGGTGACTGAAAAAAAAATGCTTTTGTTGTTTAAAGAAAAACCACCATAAGACAAAATGTAGAAGCAGAATATCCTGTGGTATTGATAATTGCAGAGCCTTACATCACCCGCTTCTCCATAAGTTAAAAGTTGAACCCGAAAATTCCATACAGAACGAGACCTTGCCTACAGTTGTTAACAGCTTATATCCAGTCAAGTACAAAGCCAATAACATCCTTATAGGAACAGTACCAGTAAACTTGTACGGCCCAGGGGGAAACATGCGTGTTTTGGCACTTTGTGTTGAAGCATCGACAGTTACGCTGGTAGACAGTAGAATAGTAGTTAAACTGGGATTAGTTGGAGAGCCTCAAGAGCTTTATCTACAGTGGACAAATGAAGTAACATCTAAACTACAAAATTCACGATGCCTAGACATGAATATATCAAATCGTGAAGCGAATAAGAAGAAATACCTACTGAAGAAAGTACACACAGTAGATAACTTAGCACTACCTTCACAGACAATCAAATTACAAAGTTTGAGACATCATGAACATCTTAAACGAATAACTGCAGAAGACATATCCTTAGAACAACCGATGCTGTTGATTGGCCAAGACAACATTCATTTAATAATACCAGAGCAAGTTTTAAGCGGACCAGAAAATGTTCCTATTGCTACAAAATGTAAACTAGGATGGGCAATACATGGCCCAGTTGCTGCAAATGATGTAAACTTTACTGCCTGCACCTTTCATATTAGTGAAAACTTATCCCATGAACATCAACTAGATGAATTAGTAAAACAAAGCTTTTCACTAGATTCCTTCGGAATCGATACCCGTAAGCAGCAGATGTCACCCGATGAAAAAAGAGCAGTGAACATAATGAAAACAACAGCAAAAAGATTTGAGATTGGACTTCTGTGATAGGAAGATAAGCCGAGACTCCCAGAAAGCAAGAGCGTAGCTATTCAAAGACTGCGCTACGTAGAAAGAAAATGTATAAGAGATGAGAAGTTAGCAGAGGAATATTCTCAGAAAATTAAGAGCTATGTAGAAAAAGAATATGCAGAGAAACTGACACCTGAGGAGGCTGCTATTGAAGGTCCAACCACTTGGTATTTGCCTCATTTTCCTGTAATCAATGTTAACAAGAAAAAACTAAGGCTGGTTTTTAATGCAGCGTCAAAATCTTTTGGTAAAAGCCTGAACGATCATCTCTTAGCGGGCCAGACTTACTGCAATCCTTAGTAACAATTTTATGGAAATTCCGTCAAGGGAAAATAGCTTTCTGTGGCGATGTTCGAGAAATGTTCCACCAAATAGAAATCAGGGAAAAAGACATATGCTCAAAGATTATTTTGGCGGGATCTGCAGCTCAAAAGAGAGCCCGATATCTACCAGATGAGAGTAATGACTTTTGGAGCTACGTGTTCGCCAGCATGTGCACAGTTTATTAAAAACCTGAATGCTGAAGAACTTGCTGACGACCCCAAAATTCTTAAAGCTATAACGCAAAAATTTTACGTAGACGATTATCTGGAGTCGCTAAATTCCCTCGAAGAAGCTATCTACACCATATGAGAAGTAAGACGAATCCTACGGCTAGGAGACTTTGACTTGGTGAACTGGATGACCAATTCTCGAGAGATTCAAGAACATTTGTCAGCAGATCTGTTAGCGACTACTAAAAGCTTGGGCGATGGACACTTTCTTAAAATTCTGGGAATGTGGTGGAACTCAGAGAACGATACCTTTAAGTTCAAGTTAAATAATTACGAAAAGAATCTTAAAATAAAAGTGAATAAAAGACATGTCTTAAGTTTAGCAATGACTTTGTTTGACCCACTCGGCTTAATCACCTTTTTTACCATAAGAGCTAAGATAATATTGCAAGACATCTGGCAATTCAGGTTGTGACTGGGATGAGCCAATTCCAGAAAAATTGGAGGGTACCTGGACAAAGTGGACAAAAGATTTGCAAGAGATAGAAAAACTTGCAGTCCCTAGGTGTTACTCAAGAAATTTACCGGCAGCAAAGAAAATTGAAATGCATGTCTTTTGTGATAGCAGCGAGAAAGCATACGCTGCTGTTTGCTATTTAAGAGTAATTTCCGAACAGAAAATAGACATTTCTATATTAGCAGCAAAGGCAAGAGTATTTCCACTAAAACCACTCTCAATACCTAGGCTAGAATTACAAGCCGCGGTTATGGCAAGTCGGTTAGCTAACTCTCTACTCGAAGAATTAGAAATTCCAATAAATGAAGTTTACTATTGGACAGACTCCAAATGTGTACTTAATTGGATACGCAACGACGCACGGTAGGAAATTCAAGCAGTTTGTAGCATGCAGAATAGGAGAAATTCAAGAATTGACCAGGCCAGAGGATTGGAACTTTGTACCCACTGATTGTAATGCTGCCGACTTAGCAACAAGATACTCAGAATCACAGAACTTGAATACTTGGTTGTGTGGACCGTCATTTCTACAGGAAAGAGAGGGAAAACGGCAAAGGACAAGAATTTCTTAGATACAGAAGAAATTAAGAAAGAATACACTATTCTTGCGACTGCAGTGGAAAAAGATATAAAAAGATTTTCAAAATGGTTGCGTCTGATTAGAAGTACAGCGTGGAGTAAAAGATTTATCAAAAAAAAAACTAAAGAAAAAACGTTTTCCTGTAGAACTAACGCTAGAAGAACTAACCGACGCTGAAAGAAGATGGATTAGAATTTTCCAAGAAGAATACTACCCCAGGAAATGACATGTCTAAAGAATGGTAATGAAATTCCAAAGAAAAGTACAATTGATTCACTAAACCCTAGTTTAGAAGATGGAATACTCGTTTTGAATGGAAGAACCGACTTATCAATCCACAACCAAAAAAATCT